GCTATCATTTGACATGTTTCCAGCTTGTTTCATGATTCTGAAGTAGTAATCTGGTGGATGAACTTTTGGTTACAATTTGCATTTCACTAATTTTGAACTCAAGTTTCCTGCTGTATTCTTTTTTCATTTCATCAAGAGAGAAAGATTTTGATTTCAAGTTTATTTCTGAAATTAAACTTTTTAGTTCATCGTAACTGACATTGTATTCATTTAATTTAAGGGACTGATCTTCATAGGTCTTTTCCAGTAAATCCCTTCTCAACTCCTGAAGTGATGATTCTTCATTACCCATTATCCCTTGTATTGTCTGTTGAATCAAGAAAGGGAATTTATTCTTTTCCAGCTCAATCACAACATTGTAATTTGTGACATCTTCATCAATTTTATAGATTGGTGACCAGTGATCACAAATTAAAATTGCTTGTTTTCAATTCAGGAATGGAGGAAGAAGTTTGATCAAGTCAGAATCAAATTAGTCAAATCACCAATGAAAAGCCCTGAATTTATATTTCATAAAAATTAAGTTGACCTACCAATCTGCTCTAGTTGATTTGTGTTAATACGCTCTTCAGGCCAGAAGTTTTGTATGTATCCTTTTTCTCTGGTTAGTTGATAGAACTCCTCCACATAGCTCAGCAGAAATTTGGATCTTGAATATGAGGATTTTTTCCCCTCAAGGATGCATTTTCCTCTCTGATTGTGAAGCGGTAATTTACTTGGAGAGTTTGTCTGGTTTTGAATTTTTTCAGGTTTACCAATTTGATTTTGATGAATTCCCCTTGCCTCAGATGCAAGATACTTTTGAATTCTGGAGCTGAAATGAGAGACAATCTCATAGAATCTGAAAGAGCTGTCAAAGGGGAATCCATTCCTATGATAGATGTAGAATTCTTTCAAACCAATCATTAAAGATTCAAGTCCTATTTTGCCTGATGTTGAAATCAGATGTTCCCAAAATGCAGACTGACTTTCCTCATCAAGAAATGATAGATCAAGCATGAGAGAGAATTTCATAACTAGTAAATCAAATTGAAATAAATGAGACAATGACTGAATCAGGGACTCTAATCTCTATGACAGAGAGGGACTCACAGTTATCTAGTATGTTTATGTGGCATGAATCTCGATCATATTTACCCATTCTGGATTGAAGTTGAATTCCAGAATCCTGGTAAGGATGTTTTATAATGTTTTCTGCTACATGCTTGTACTCTTCAAATTTCATGCAACACTTTGATTTACTCCATTTCTGTATTTTCTCCATCAATTGATTACTTTTTTGGCCAGGCCAATTGTATCCACTTCTGGAAATAACCAATGCATATGCTTTCCATGTTTTTTATGAAGAAAAATAGTTTACATCTGGATCACTTGAAATACTTCTGCGCTCAAAGACAGTATTAACTCACCAAATGCATCATAAGTAAAAGAAGAATTCCAAGCCATTGTAAAGGTATGGAAATCAACTGCAACCCTAACAATATCTTTTGTGACTTTGAAATCTTTTAGTTCTTTCAACTTAAAGAGCCTCCAAGCCTCAATATCTGTGGTTCGAAGTGTTGGCCAAGCATCGTTTTCCCCCAGGCACCAGTTATATATAGTGTCTCACAGATTTTCTGCTTGTGGTGTATCATGCAGATTAAACTCTTTTTCTGTAAACCTATGGTCAATCATATATCTTCTCCATGATTCTTCCAAGTCAAGCTTTTCCCCGCTTAGTATATCCTCCAGGTTGGTCACTGTTTGAAGATGGAATCATGTTTTTCAGGATAGGACTCACCTGCGTTGAAGAATGAAAAATAACTTCAAAAACGATCTGTACAAAATTACAAACCTATCATGTTCAAAATTCTCTGTCGCCCATTCTCACCTGTTCTCTAGCAGATTAGCCTACACCGTCAATTTCCATCAATCCCAAATTGAAAGAAATACAACTCACCCAACTCATTCAGCTTGTCAGTGAGTTTATTGATGTGGTGGTCTACTGAATTTCTACGGGCTCTAGAGCCCCATGTCACGTCCTTTATTGATAATTTTTTGTAAACATCCTTGACTGAGTAAGAGAAATGTTGGCAATGTCAGTTAAGTGGACCAGCGGGGTGGAATCAGCTTACATGACTGCTTAGCAAAGATTATCGGGTCTTCCATCTTCAGCTATCAATGATATCTGGAATACTTACACACTTGGCCCATCTGGGGTTCTGATATTAGACCACACCAACAGCGAAGAATCAGTGATGCGGTGACTAAAAACCAACGGATTTCTGTATATTTCATCTTAGTATTGCAAAGTCGACAGTCAAGATAACTGGCCTGGTAATAAGGGATTTGATAAAGCATCAATTGATATGCAAGTTTGTCGACCCTTTCCCTTTCCCCTCACCTTTCAAGCAGGACCTGTGCAAACAAGAGATAGCCGCAGTTCTGCTGAAAGCTGTATGGGCTCATACTACTTTGTTGACACTATGTACCCTTTTTTTTCTTCATTTTCAATGCGACAGGCATGCAAATTGTACACTTCCTTTGTCTCATCCACGAAAGCTGCACTGTGTATTGGATGTGATGTTTAGGAGTTTATTTTTTCGCTGAGACATTGTACCCTTGTTTCTCCATGTGGCTGTGCCTGAGCAACACCTCCACGGTATGTATCCTCTCGGTATCCCAGACTGCAGTCAGAGTCAGGGTGATATGTATTCTCTTCTCCAAAATCAACACCTTCATGTCAATAATTCATGTGCATCAGAATGCACATATCCCTTTTGTTTTGACACAAAACAACACAAAGAAAAAGAAACCTTATTAAGTATGAAGTCCAAACAAGCATTAAGTATCTCGAGTCATCAGATGCGGATATGCTTCAAATTTCCAGAAAGGAAATATAAAACCAAATGAATAAAAAAAAAGTGTCAAAAACTTGTTGAAACTGTTGAAATCTGGCTCCAATGGCGCGCAGTGTTGAAATCTGGCTCCAATGGCGCGCATACACTTTGTGATGTCATTAGAGTGTGATCTTACACAGTTTTTTTTGTTTTTCATTGTTCTTCGCTGTTTTCTCTATTTTTTGTCTGTTGACCATTTCCTCGGTTGACCATCGATCATCCTGTCTTATTTCTACTAGTTGACCATTAAAAACATCAAACAACTTCGATCTTAATCTACCACTTTATTCTTATCTCTTATTTCTTTTATCTTATCACCTTGTGTCCTCTTTTCCTTGGCTCCTTTCACCTTCGTCGAGGACTTATCCATCTGGGATTAGGCTTATAGGTTCATATCTTTCTCTTTTCTTTATTCTCTTAACCGTGTATAAGTTCTAACAGTTGATTCATTTCATCAAAGTCTTCTAACCCAGTCATCGGCAGTGTCGTTTCTTTTCTTCTTTTATTTTTCATCCACAACGTGTTTCCTGCTTTATCTAGGTAATACTTTGTTTTTATTATTTCTGTTATTTTTATTTCTTTCATTTATTCTAACTGAAATATCATGCTTTATCTAGCCAAAACTTTTCAGAAACAGGGGGTCTTTCAGAGCTGATTGTGATTTATTGATCAGCATTGTGGACTTCCCCAATACAGAATACAATTCAGGATAACAAATAAATTGATATCTTGAAATTTTTATACTTGGAAGTGAAATCAAAGGCAGCTCTTTTTTGTGAGGTAAAATTCATCCAACAATGCCATGCATGCAGGGTCTTGTTGCACACATGAATCATAAATTTAAACTTTTGATGTTTGTTTTCTTGGGAAAAAGAAATCTATTGATTATAACCTGGGTAAAAAGATAAAAATTCATTTAGTTAAATTTCACCCTATAACTGGAGTCATTTGGATTCCAAGTGCATTGTTAACTCCAACATGACTGGAATTAACTGTGGAAAGAAAAGCAAGATTAGATGTTTCCATCTTCAACAGAAAGTAGCTTTTATATGTCTACAGCTTTCATATTTTCCCAAATTGATGAGCACAATGACCTCCATTGGTAAGGGTTGAGAGAGGGCTTGATTTCATATTGAAACAGGTACAGGCTATTGCATGATTTGAAAAATGTGTGCTTCACTGCTTCTAGCTTGAAAAAAAAAAAGAAAAACTAATTAGAAGCTTAAAATTAAGGTTCACGTCTGGAGGCATATAAGTGTAAAAATATTTCAGTTTGACAGGAGTTGGGCATCTGCAAAGCAACAATTGATATGTGATGTGTGTATTGAATGTCACAACATAAGACATCAAATTTACAATGAAATATGCATATATGTATTGGTAAGGGCCAAATTATCCATAGGGGGTATCAAATATAAGAAATCCACCATCAGAAACCAGTCACTTTTCCCAAAACTTTTTTTTTGCATCAATGGGCCCCAAAAAGGGTTAAATGAAGAACCAAGATGTTTAAAAAAGGGTGGATTTTTTAACACCAGTCAATTAAATAATGGTGGATTTGGTCATATTTGATACCCTTGATGCATTGATATTTGTCTAACCCAAGATTTTTGAATCTCTTTTTTCAAAACAAAAAACACTGGGAGCTTATATTACCAGTCATGGTAATTTAACAAAGCAAATTTTTTATGAGCTGTCATTGTTACTGTTGCTATGTTTTTAATAGAGATTTCAAAACAATTAAATTCAGAATTTCTATACAGACAAAAAAACCTTCAATTTTCTAAGCATTTTATTCTTTGTTTTCTAAAGAGATCAATTATCTATTTTAGAAACTTCTTGATAAGTTTACCGACTTTTGAATTCAAGAAATCAGTAACATGGCCGTCTCTCAACATAGAGATCATGAGTTTTTTCTCATCTTCGATGATCCCGATTGCCTGAGCCTCTGAGAGAGAGTTTGCCTTTTGAATGACATCATCAGAGAGAAATTTATGCTTGACAATTTCCTGAAAATCGTTCATCTTTAACTCCTTTTTAGATTTGTAAACTTTTTGGACCAGAATTGGATATGAACAATCGTAGAATATGTCCTCCAGAACCTTGGCAGTCATGGGTGGTAAGCTGGAGAATATTGGAAGAAGAGTATTGGCCCAGGTCGAGTATGAAACTTGGTTTGACATGTCTTTGGTGAGATCATTGATATTGAGTAAGATGTTAAGTTCTTTTTGTGACATAATTCCTTTGAGTCCATTCAAATTCACTTGTAGATTATCCAAGATTGATTTTTTCTCGATTCCATATGTCTTGGTCATGCAATAATCTTTTCTTGCAGAGGGATGAATGGACAGTGTTTCAGTAGTTGATTTATTCAAAACTTGTATTATAGGGGAGATCAAACTCACAAATGTGATGCAAAAGTGGCAGGTTTTGATAGAACCTATGGCCCTGCTCTAGAAGTTGAAGTAGATGGTGAGCATTGTTGAAACTCATGGATGAGAACTCCTGAAAGACAAGCATATTGATTTCATCCCAGATTTCTTTGATATCCTGGAGTGGTACTTTCTCATTTGAATGTAGCAGAAGCATCTCAAGTTCAGTCAGTTTGATCCAAACTTTAAAGCTATACTCTTTTTTTCCAACTGTCTTGAAATCTGAATCCTTTGATTTATACTTCATTTCAATCAACATTCTTCTTATCTCTCCACATATTTCCATACTATGATCACAAACCTCCATGTGGCCTACTGTTTCTGCCTGTTTCAATAAGTGTTGTCTGAAATTGCCAAATGGTGGTGAGATTTTGTTTCCCATTATTTCCTGCATTTCAGCTTGGATAGATAGAGGAAACTTTTGATCTTGAAGTAAAACAAGGAGGTTGTAGTGTGCCACTTCTTCCTCAAGAAGGTCTTTTTGTGATAAGTGATCACAGAGTAGAAATGCTTTTTTTTCCAGATTGAAAAATAATCAGAAAAAAAAGCTAAGAATGTGTCAGAAATGTACAAAACTAAAATGGTTTCTTCACTGTTGTCTTCAATCAAGATTTCATGAACTTACCAATCCTTTCTAACTGTGCTTTTGTAGCACGTGGTGCAACATGTGGTTTTGATATAATTCCATTTCTTCTTGTTTGTTGGGAGTATTCCTCTACATAATGAATCAATAACCTTGCTTTATACCAGGATGAATTTGTTTCTCCTAGTGTATCTTGCCTTTTCTGTCTTCGATCTTTTCTAGAATTCAGAGGTGAAGATATTTGCTTCTCAGCTTCCAGATTCTTCTTGATGCTAGAGCTCAACTCAAGCACCAGCTCATAAAACTCAAATGAGTTGTCAAATTGCTTTCCTCTGATGAAGTACCCACTTAATCTTTGAAAAGCTTTCATCAGGGCCTCAATTCCACTTTCATTTGCCATCACGTTCAAATACCTCCAAAACATGGATTGACTTCCTTCTTGAATAAATGAAAGATCCAATCTTTGACAAGAAATAACAACTGGTAGGTTCAAAGCCAAAGAAATGAGAAGGTAAAAAAGCTTCAAGACACAAACATGTTATTCTAGGCAAGAGGTACAGCACTTACAGTTGAAAATTATACGTATATGGCTTGTCTCTTGATCATATTGCCCTATTCTGAATTTGAATTTGATTGGCTTTTCCTGATGCGGCTTTGATATCAACCTTTTTGCAGCCTTCTTGAAATCATCAAACTTGACGAGATTCTTTGATTTACTCCATGTGTTGATTTTCTTGATCAATGGATCATCATCATGCGTAGTCCACTTGAACCCACTTCTAGAAAGTGCCAAGGCACATGCTTGACCAAATTAAGTGATCCAAATTGAGAGATGTAAGTTAGGTCACATATAGAAGATGCGTGTTCTAGAGAAGAAGAAGAAAAAAAAATGATTATGAAAGAGCTTTCACTGACCAAATGAATCAAACATATGAGAAGCAGACCAAGCCATTACCAAGTTATGAAAGTCCACTGCCACTTCGACACTATCGGAGGTGACCTGGATATCATGAATTGGCCTCCTTCTACCAAGCGCATCCTCATAAACCCGCGAGAACCCATCCCTCCCTCCCTTGCACAGATCATACAAATCTTGTCGTAAGGTTCCTTCTTCGGAATGGGTGGATGAATCTAGTGAGCCTTTCCCGGTAAAACTCCTGTCACTCATATACTTTTTCCATGGTTCTTCCAAGTCAAGCCTTCCGTATCGAAACATGAGTTCCACATCGAAGGCTACAATATATCAATCAGACCAATGTTTTTGTTTGGTTACTTTTGATTGAGACTCGGCTATGTATCAACCTAAAAAAACATGGATTAAAGTCGATTTGAGAAGGGATTCAAACCTAGCATTTTGATCAATCTCAGTCGGCCATCTTGTGCGTTTTTTGAATTGAGCATCAAGACATTACAGTCATTATCCGGTTCAATCTGTTGCCCAAATATGTAGACCACTTACCACCGACTTCATTCAGCTTTTCCGTGATTTTGACAATGTGACCTTCGATCGATGTCTTCCGGACTCTAGACCCCCAATTAATTTCCAACGAGAGACTTTTATAAACATCTTTAACTGGATGGGATTAAGTGAGAGGGCAGTTTGAAGTTTCAGCGTTACAAACTAGGTTTTTTTTTATCCCCCCCAAGGTTAGCTTATAATCAAAAAAATCTGATGCTTACACACTTCAACGGTCCCAAGTTCTGGGATAAGGCTTCCCCTACAACAGGCCAAAATCAGACAAGCGCCAGCTAGCCACGGACGAATGCTTGAGAATCTCATTGCGGAAACAGTTGGCAAGTCCGAGTGAGCCAAGAGAACTATTGAGATTCAAAATGCTTGTGAGGCGGAGAAGTGGAGTAGTTCTTACACAGACAGGGCTCAAATAGGCCCACCCCAGAAGATGAAAATATTAAGGAATGGGCGCAGCTACGTAGCTCCATTGAACCTAAAGTGAGAAATCGTCTGGGGATTGCATGTATGACTTTAAAGTTCACGTTGGCTGCGTTGCTGTCTCCTCTCATTACGGCAATTCTCCCGTTTTGACTGACGAGACCTGATGCCCTTTCAGATGTGGACCTTGTTAATGCCGTCTCCCCAGGGGCCCTTACAAAAAAGAAGTCACCATGAGCTGAGTCTGGGGTTGCTGGAGTGGGGGGATGCATGGATTGGTGCTTGGAATTGGGTGTATGCGCATTGCGCGCTCGCCCACTGGCCGGCGGGACCTCGGCGCGACCGAAGCTCCAACCAACACTTTCTTTCATCCATCCCAACCAGTCAACAGCAAACTATCATCATGGTCAGAGAAGCCCAGGCATCGATAGTCGAGAGGGAGTTCCTTCTCCAAGCACTCAAGGAGGGAACTAGGATCGACCAACGAGCCCTGCTCGAACAACGCCCCGTCTCGTTATCCTTCGCTGAGGACGGCCATTCGGTCGATTGCTCACTCGGTAATACTAGGTAAGCCGTCCTTTTTCTTTTTTTTTTGTTTAATCTACGAAAATCGGAAAGATTCATAATAAAATGTGTGTCTTTTTTTTGGTGAAAAAAAAATATAACTCATTTTGGTTGTAGGGTGGCTGCTCATGTTTCGGCTTCGATCACTAAGCCTTGGGCGGATAGACCGTTCGAAGGCCTCTTCCAAATCTCCAGCGAGATCAATCCGATGGCCAATTTCATCTACGATACCGGCAGGTGACTGTCCATTTTTGTTTTTTCCTTTCCTTTCATTCCAAAATAAAATAAAAACTGATTTCATTAGCTCAACCAACCAACCAAACAAAAAAAAAAAAATGAATTGCGATGATAAATTCAACAAAAGGTTAGGTCATCAGAGAACGAGATCCAGATCTCACGAATGCTCGATAAAAGTCTGAGTCGAAGTGGGGTGATCGATAAGGAAGCCCTCTGTATCTTAGCAGGACAAATGGTATGTGAAGATCTTGTCTATCCTTCTTCAACAGTGTTTGTCGACGCGAATTGTGAGACCGTCTTGGGTTTTATAATCAGGTATGGTCGATCCGTCTGGACCTTCATTTCTTGAACGACGAAGGCAATCTCTTGGATTGCGCATCGATCGCAGCCATCGCGGCTCTGCAGACATTCCAGAGACCCGATGTGACGCTGGTCGGGGAAGAAATAACGATTGTGAGCAGGAGTGTCTATTTTCTTGAACGACGATTTTTTTCATTCATTTCACTAATGTGATCCCACATCTGGGCCGCAACGATATTAGCATTCGATACAGGAAAGAGTGCCGGTGCCGTTGACATTACACCACACGCCGATCAGTCTAACGTATGGGTTTTTCGAGCTAGACAGCCACAAGTCGAGTGTAGTCCTGGACCCGAATTATCTGGAAGAACAGCTCTCGACAGGCACGATCACTCTGGCCTTGAACCCCCAGAAGGAGATCTGTGTCGTCAACAAGTCCGGCGGCGTCCCCCTGTCGATCGAGGAAATCATGAACGTCGTCAAGCTCGGAAGCCAGAAAGTTAAGCAACTCGACCAGCTCATCAAATCTCTCATCTCTAATCGTAACTCCCCCGTCGATCTCACCGCCGTCCAGGATCGATAATCTCTTGTACCTCTTTTTACTTGTTGTTGTGCATCTGAGGATTTCTTCTCTCATCCTATAACTAGTAAAAATCGCTTTCAATACACAAAAAAAAACCGCTGGAATCGTGGCCATCTCATTTCAAAATGCTTTACAAAACTTTCGCAGGAAGATGGCTTCCAGTCACAGTTTGCTTGGCTGCAGAATCCATGACCTTTAAGGACTCACAACGCCCCCTAATCATTCCAAATACAAGCCCAGCTGAGAGAGCCCAGCCCTTCCAATACAGCAGATTGGAGACGCGGGCAGTTATGTAGTCGGCACACGAGTCGAAGCAGGCCCCGGCCGTCGAAAGCTGAAGTGGATGACTTGAGTACTAAGCTTGTCCGAGCAGTCTCAAGAAGAGCCAGTCTCTCTCTCTCTTGAGAGCCTTTTGTTTTGCGCATCTACAATGTATTCGAGACCGACCTGAACCGCTCTAAGTTTATACCCGTCGGATGCAATAGCTATTCATTTATAAGCGGCTGAAGATGAGACTGCAGACCAGCTGAGAGAAAAGACCGCCATACCATAACCAAATGGCTCTGCGACAAGACCGTATACATATTTATGTCGTACGTATCCGCGAGTCATCAAGACTCATGTCTCCGACTCTCTTTTGGTTCCGTCCGTCCGTCCCGCTCTCTTCGAAGTTCGACGTGGAACGGCAGCAGCATCCTTTGGCCGCAAGACAAAGCTGCAAAGCGGGCCTTGGGGTTCACACGTCCATTCCGTCTCACAAGAGACATCCATCATTGTAAATGTGCAAGTTTCATTGGGATGCTTGTCCCCTTTTTTTTGCATTACTGTTCACATGGATTGGCTTTCTTCTTCTCAATCATCTTCGTGGAAGATGATGGTTTTTTTGAATCAACTTGAGGTAGAAATAGGTTATCCTATATGTAGACATACAGTTAACCCAACAAAAAAAAGATGTTGTATGTATATGGAATTACAATACAAAGAGTTCCTTAATGATTTTCTTTTGTTATTGGGTCGAGGTTATGATTATATGAACCTGATCTTTCCTATGTATAAGATAAGTTAAAAACATCCAATTTTAGGATAAATTTGTGCATGATTTAAATTTATTTTAAATAATTTTTAATTAATTTGATGAGTTGAAGATGAACTACGTCACAATGGATAAATGTAATGATAAAGTAATACACCACTCTATATTAATAATAGAAGCAACCAAAAACAAATCAAAACAAAACAAAACATATTTGTTGAATATGAATCAGTATGTATAAAAAAAAGAGGGGGTGAAGAAAGTCAGAATGTTTTGATTTTGATTTTTGATTTTTTTTTTGATGAATGAAGGATAAGAAGACCCAAGAGAAGAAAAAGAAGGAAAACACGTCAAGGGAATAAAAGAAAGAAAGAAAAAAGAGGTGAAGAGTACATAAAAAAATCGATCAATCCATCAAACAAACAAACAAACAAAAAAGGAAAACTCACAAATCAATTTGAAAAAAAATAAGGAAAAAAAAAATGAACAAATAACCAACCAAAACGCCAAACCAAAAGAGCATTTGATTTAGACCTAAATGAACAATCAACCGAAGAAGCAGGAAAAACCAAGCAAATTTCCCTTGCCCATGACCTTCGAAACCCCACCGCAACGCAACGCAACGCAACGCAACAACAAAAAAACCAAAGAACATGGGGGGGACTTAATTTTTGCGGGCGACGAAGCCCAACTTCTTCAACATGCCGAGGACGTCTTTCTTATTGACGGGTTTGATGAGCAAGCCGGCAAAGAGGGTGCCCTGTTCAGAACAAGAGTAGTTTTCAAAGAACGAAGTGACGGCAACGATCGGTGTTAAAGCGTTCGGGTTTTGCGTCGATTTGATCATCCTTGCTGCATCTTGTCCTTCAACTAAACATTCCCCATAAATCAAATTCAAATTCAAAAAAAAAAAAAAACTCAATATTTTTTTTTTGGAGGGGGGAGGAGGGTATGTATGATGATTTTGTAAAAAAAAAGGAAACTGGGCGTACTGAGGGGCATCATCAAGTCCATGAAAATCACATCAAAAGCGATATCGCCCATTGCGCAACTAATCGCGTCTTCCCCATTAGGAACGACCACACAACGACATCCCAACCTGATCAGAATCGTCTCCAAAACCTACCAATCAAAGTCAATTTCAATTTCACCTCCCCCCCCCCCCCCGCAAAAAAAAGAGAAACATTTTAAGAAAAAGAAGACATACTTTAGAACTAATAGGATTATCTTCAGCAATCAAGCAATCGACGGTACGTTCCTGCAACGGAGGCAAAGATTTGCCCGGCGGAGGCGGAGGAATCTGATTCCTAGACGCAGAGAAAGAAGAGGAGGAGGCGGAAGAAGAGGCTGAAGGATGGAAGAGCGGGAGCGAGGGTTTGAACGGTTTTCCCGGCGAGCTGAGGGTAGATTGAGTACCGGAGGTGGACTGTTGTTGTTGATGGATCCGTTTACGCAAGACTGGCGGGGTGGGATGGTTGTTGAGGAGCGAGCCCGTCCGATGACGAGACCGGTCATTAGATTCGTTGTTTGCCGGAGTAGAGATAGACGGATGATGATTATGATGATGATGATGATGAGGGATGGGAAGAGGAGGAAGAGGAGGGGCTCCATTGGTGCCTGAGAAAGATGCACTACGGATTCGTGAGGGCATGCTGTTCCTGCGCGATGGATCATCGAACGTTCCCGGCGAGACCAAGCGACTGAATTGTTCGGATGGTCGCCGGGTGTGTGGGGAGACGTGTGGTCCGGCTAAGGGTCGTGAGGATGAAGGGGCTGAGGAGCTGGTGGATTCAGTAGGCGAGGAAAGCCCAACGATCTGTGTGGAAGGTGTTGTTACACTCTCTGTCTCTCTCGCTTCAAGAGCCTATGCAATAAAATAGAAAGTAAGTGCTTACCTTGCCACCTAAAGGCAGATGACGAGGATACTTGATCCGTTCGCCATTCTGACCGACCTTAAGTTTGCGGATCACTTCTTCATTAGCGCGTTCAAGCACGGGAAGATTCTTAAAGTTGAACGTCCCAAAGTCATCGGAAGGTCTCGAGCTACGAGAGGACAAGTTCTGACTTGAGGAGTTTTTGAGTTCCGCAGAAGATGAGGGCACTGAGGAGATGTTGCGGAACTGAAACCCAGACAGACTAGCGGTAGTGGTTGTAGTGGACTGGACTGGCAATGATTGCGCGGGAGTTTCTTCCTCATCATGGAACACTTGTGCGGCCCCTCGAGGGTCGAAGTAATCAGTCGACTCGGGATCAGTGACCGATGGAACGAAGGAAGCCTCGCTCTTGAACAAGTTGGCCCAATCGATATCGGCCAAGAACGGATGCGATTTGACCTCGGCTGCCCCTTGAGCTCCTAGTCGATGCTTAGGATCAGTGCACATCAATCGATTCATGAAATCAATCGCCTCAGGCGAGATATCATCATCCGATTCTGGCCATTCCAACCGCCGCGAAAGAATCTTATCAAACACTTTATCCGGCGTCTCGTCATGAAACGGTGGAATCCCATAGAGAAACCTATTTTAAAAAAAAAACAAAAGGTTGTAAGACTTCTCTGTCAAAGTCTAAGTCAAATTTGATTGATATCCACTCACTCGTAACAAACTACGCCCAAAGCCCACTAAAAAAACCCCAAAGTTAATACAGGAAGCCAACGATACATACATAAAAAAAACAAAAAACTTCTTACCCAATCCACCATTTCATCCATCCCGATACCCAGAATACTTTCAGGTGCCAAATAATCGGGTGTGCCGACGAAATGTTTATGACCAGCGTCGGAGGCTTTACTACGATGCTGATGATTATAGCCTGATGTTCCGGGGGGAGCAGTGGCCCCACTACCGGTAGCACTGGGTGGGAGAGTAGAGGAGTGGGCGAGGGTGGATTTTTGGAGCTTACGAGAGGCAAGAGAGGTGACGGGATCAGAATCTTTGGAAGATTCGCTGGTGGGTGTACCCAAGCATTCGAGCTCATGAGAAACCAGGGTAGGGTTCACGGGCCGATTCGCGCGGGAAGTGAAGTACGAAGAGGTGGGGGCCATCGGCGACAGGTCGGGTGTCGAGGTCGCCGAGCTCCGTCCCGGTTGCGAGCCCGGATTAGTCGAGGGCGTCAAGCCACTGCCGCCCAAGTTGAACAGCTTCCGTTTATCGAGGTTCCCATCCCGCGAACTGCTTGAGAGACTCATCGGCCCTCGTGGCTCCGCCGCCTGTCGGCCTAACAATCCGATCTTCGACAGTCCGAAATCGGTCAGCTTCAGATGCCCCCGATGATCAATCAATAGATTGTCAGGTTTCAAATCACTTGATCATCCAAATTAAAATTCATCATCATCATCATCATCAGCTTTGGTATCCCTTTTGTATACATATATATTGTCTCTGATCTGACTCACCGATGGACGACACCGGTTGAATGAAGATACTCCAATCCCATGACGACCTCAGCAACGTAATTCCTCGTCCACTCTTCAGGGAGATTACCGAGGGCCTTAACCAAGGCAGCACAATCACCGCCGTTAAGATATTCCATGACGAGATAGAGATGATCTCTGGAAGAGAAGGTATAGAAGAGTTTGACGACGAAATCAGAATCGGCCTGATTCATCAAAATCTTGCGCTCCGACTTGACATTCATGATCTGATTCTTAGCAATCATATCCTGTTTCTTCAAGATCTTGATCGCATAATAGTCTCCTGTCGTCTTCTTCTTGGCCAACCAGACCTGTCCAAACGCGCCCTTACTGATTGGCTTGAGCATATCGAAATCCTTGATCGATGCTGCCGACTTGGATTTCCCAGGCACGGCCGACGGGATCCTGGGTGAGAGAGGCGCAGGCCCCAGCGATCCAGCCTGTCGCGCATGCGAAGTTCGTCTAGCATGGGCTTGTTGGAAGCCTGGATGACGAGGCGAGCGGGGTGGGGTGCCAATGCCGGAGTAGGGTTGAGATGTGGAGATCCCCAAGCCTTTGGACTCGATGGTCTTCGTGTCGATCGGAGCCAGTCGAGAGGCCGGACTAGCCTTAAGCCCAGAGATATTGGGAGTGGATGATCGCCGGCGTGGTCTGGGACGAAACACTTCAGGAAGAACGTTGGCATCGGCTTTCTGGGGAGCCGACCTCGGCCGATCGATCTCATCACCCATGATCGGTGACATAGCCGGAGAACAATCGCTTTCCAAGCGCTTAGGCAAGGCCATAAAGGCATATTGAGCCTTAGCCTCCCACTCCATCCTGATCCTCTCTGCATACAAGATCGTATTCCTCATTCGATTGACCGCGTTACACTTGTGATGAGCTGCCCGCACGACATCGGACGCCAGATTGGCCAGGGCCGGGTCCTCGTACGCACGCAACGACCATTTGGCAACACTAGCCAATTTGTTCTCCGAGGTGGGAGACAACAGTCTTAGGTTCTCAATCGATTGGTCGGCAGCCTCGTCATTCGAGGAAGGTGTCGAGATATCGAGAGAAGTATTCAAAAGTTCACCAATCTCATCCAAGATTCCTTTGACGTTGGCCCGCCACGAATTATGATGAGGCGATGAAGAAACGGAGGCTCGACCAGGGTTGAGAGGACTGAGGACGGATGAGGGAAATGAGGAGAAGGTTTGAAGAGACAAGTTGCCATAGGAGAGCTCATTGATACTCCCATTCCGATCCAATGCACCCCTCAACTCGTTGATAATATCTCGAAGGTCAGTAAGCCTGTCATTACACTCGCTGACTTGCATTTCTAACCTATGAGTTTCCGCACAGGTTTCATTATGTCTCTCGAAGTAATAAGCCGGTAGATAATGTTCACATATCCGGCATAGTAACGGCTCAGTGGAAAGAGGAGCGGGAGCAGGAAACTGTGCAACCGGGTCACTATGGGATCGAGTGTGATGTGACCCCTTGGTCTCCATCGTAGTTCCAGTGGACACCGGCGCTTTCTTGTGTGAGTTAAGTCTGATGACCCACATCGAATGTACGCCTTCCCCGGTGATTCGATCGACCATTAGCATTCCTTTAGCAGTCATCGGCAAGAAATGATCCCTGGTGGTGATCGACCGACTGGAATCTCCTTCTTGATCACTACTGGCCAAGGAGATTTTAATCGTGAACTGAAGCTCCACCGTATTACCGACATCTTCCATCAACCGTCGGTTAGCCTCATTGAATAGCTCATAATTCCCATCAATCAGTTCTCCCAACGGGGTTCCAATGACCGATTGAGGGTCCAAGCTAGAAACAACACACACCAAGAAATGATTGATTAATATTATCTGCAAACAAATGAACAATTAGAGAATATAATAATCACCCAGTGACTTTAGTCCAACCAGGACTGAGGTAAAGAATCACTGCGTTTTCCAAGGAGACTTCGGCAAGAATAGTTTCGGTACGAGCGAGTTCGATGGATTTCGTGAAGTCTTTATCCAAGTTATGAGTGCCCGAGGGTGCGGGTTTGAGCAAGCCAGCCGACTGAGGATGTTTGACTTCAGAGACGGAGGAGACCGAGACGGATTCAGCCCTGACGGATTGAGGGACGTCCATCGGTTTCTTCAAGTGCGGCTCTCTGTTGGTCACAAATCCCTGTTTCTCCATCTCTTGGTCCACATCAGTGGCCGGAGGGGGCAGGGCGAAGGACTCGACTAGTCTGCCTTGGTTCAAGCCGGCCTCGCTGGTCGTTTGAGGCGTATTCACCGGCCCCTGTTCGCCATCCGCAAACCCGTGCGGCGTTCCTATCACGTCGATCGACGCGTTGACTTGTCCTGGTAACACCGCCGAGCCCGCCGCACTGGAATGTTCAACCCGTGTGGCAAAGAAACAAATCTCTTCCCCATCATCTTCATCCTCAGGCGCAAAATTCCAAAAACCTTTCTCGGCATCCCACCATTCTAATACTCGACTTAGACCAGCAACTGCTAACAAAACTCGAACTAGTTTTGCAAATTAAGAATCAAAATGAAAACGTTGATCGTAGATTTGAATCGACACACAAAAAGGAAAAAAAAAAATGACATACCATACCATCCACGATGAGGCCAATCGTCATGCTCATCCCAACTTTTACCAATCTGCTGAACACGATGAATGACGTCGACACAAGCATGAGATTTAGCGGCGAGTACGCCGGCAGGAGTATCGAGGATCTCGGTAGCGATCGAGCTAATTTCCTGCAAGGCAGCCACGAAGGGAGAGTTGTAAAACTTTTCATCACTGGGAATGGGGAAGGGACAAGGGGGTAAGCTGATCGTGTTTGGATCTGGGCGGGGAGAGCTTCTTCGATGTGAACTGGAGGAGAGTTGCCCGGTCACTCGTGGTAGGGGTGATCGGGAGCGCGAGGTCGATCGGGAGCTGGCTTCAACCGACTCTGAGGGCTGAGTTGAAATGCTCACGCTTCTCGAACCCCCTCGGTTGGGCGATTCGAGACTTCGGCCTATGTGGGGGGTTGCCGTAGAGCCGATCCCACCCCGACGGTGGACGAACGACGGCCGTCGAATACCTCGAGGTGGTAAGACGGCCGAGGAGATCGAGCCAGATGATTGAGGACCCCGTCCCTGCCGTGAGCCTTGTCTGCTGAGTGAGCTCGAGATCGGGAGAGATGTAGATTCGGTTAGATCTAAAGGATTGACGGAAATCGATCGTTGATGGTGGAGAGGACTTGAGGCGGGAGAGAGAGAGAAATCGGTGGGAATCGATAGGGCTCTGTTAAGGCTTTGACGGGGTGAACAGGTGGGCGTGGTAGTTCGAAAAGGTCGATCGATTGGCAAACTCATCAAATCGGGATTGGGCTCTGATGGGATGCCTTCCTGGTGGACAACGTTGTGTGGTTGTTGTGGATCAAGTTGGGGGTTGGATTCAACGGGGGAATACCATTGGCCAGTGGTAGTTGCTTGGATTGCCTCAGACACCAAGGCGAGCTCGTGTTGGATCCGATCTTGTTCACGTAAGTTCTGAGCTTCTTTTTCAACATAAGTCGTGATCTCGAGGATGATGGCCTTCAAAGAATTATCACAGACGGTCTTAGCAGTCGACAGTCGATTTTTGATGTGCTGACGGATAGTGTGCATCGAGAAGGATGTTTGGTACTTTTGCTCGGGAGTAGGTTGACTACTTGGTGGAGGGTTAGCCGATTTATCATCTTGCGATTTGCCTTCCTGTTGAGTACTCTTGATACTCTCAGATTGCGGAGGAATCTGTCGAGTTGACGAGCCGCTAGTGGAACCAACTTCGGACGGGAGGCCCAGTTCATTGGGGGGTTTGGCAGTAGCAGTTTGCTGGGTAGACGAGAGCGGACGAGAGTTATTGCGAGTCTCTGGCATGTCGTTATTACTTGTGACTGAGCTACTAGCCGCCATAAACGGGTCACCAAGCACTAGACCAGGGGTGGAATCCCACATCCGTTTGCCTGTGGGACTCAAAACGGGAGTGGGTTCAGGTCGAGTGATATCCACGAGGAATTTGTTACCCTGTGTTTGGGAATGAGAAGGCGTAGACGGTGAAGCGGCAGATGCAGCAGAAGGGGGGTTCACTTGGACAGTGGTCAAGTGTTCTTGGCTAGAGGATCCACGAGGGTTGTGAGTCTGGTGATTTGAGGAGGAGTGGCCAGAATGGGAAGACGAGTGACCAGGTCCTCCTTGCTCGTTAAGATTGCCAAAGACATTGGAGAGTTCTGAGGCTGATAATCGGTTCAATTTGAGCGTCAGTTGTGGGTTACGTCGGCGTTGGTCGTGGGTTAGCCGGAGACTGCCATCTAAACTCGACGGAGCGCCAGCCCCGGCGCCATCGCTTGACCTGGCCATGATGGGTAGGGGGGCCAGGGCGCCGGATGGAACAGACCTGGGCTGATCTACGGGACGGATCGGCAATGGACTTGCAGAGAGATGCGATTTTGTGATGGTAGCCAGCTCATTTGTAGCCGGCCTTGATCCGCAATCTGATAGAGACGAGATGGCTCGGATCTTTGGATTGGGTTGATTAGCAATGAGATGTTCGGGGAAAGCTGGACTACTATTGGCTGGACTTTGGGTGGAAGAAGCTTGGAGTGCGGCAAGATTGGTTCGATAGCTTGAACTAGTCTCACTACTCGAGGCGTTAGTCTTGTCCTCCGGATTCAATGTAAAACTTGTTCGCACGGCATTCCACCAGTCATCGATCTTCTTACCCAATGTAAAGTTTTTCTTGGTTTTCCCAGCCGGGTGGGCGCCTGGGATACTACTGCTCGAGTGAGAAGCAACCATCGGGGAATTTGTGTGGCTGAGATCGGCCTGAGAGCCGGTGAGATGTTTGGAAAGACGGGGACGGGAGAGGCTTCTTCGAGACCCTCCACTTAAACCTTTGCTAATCAAAAGAGACAAATTGCTCCTCCTTGACGGATTTCCTTCGGGCAGAGAAGGTGATGGAGGGATAGAAAAGCCTGAGTCGTGTGGCGAGTTGTCTGAAGTTGGAACGTTTCCAGCCTGTTCACTGGCTGGCATTTCCATTTCAGAGGCCATTGAGATATCAGAGACAGGCGACACGGCTGATGGGAGGATATGGCAAAAATTAGAAATACAAGTCAGACAGAAACGTTAAGGAGCATAGGGTGGTGATATATAAAGAAGAAAACGTAGCACTCACGTTGAATATCTGTCTGAGACTGAGAAGGTAGCTCGAGCAACTGAGACTCAGCAGGAATGGTGGTGTCAATAGTTGGAAGTGGAGGCGGGGCCTGAACCGGATTACTATCAGGTTTGAGATCTGAGTCGGCCAAGCTCTCCGATCTCTCATGACCTTCGGCCCTCAACTTAGCCTCTTTCATCCGACGATAGTCATCCAACCAATCAACCCATTCAATCTCACGTAGCGCCGTCGGTCCGCTACTGCCACTAGATGGCTGGAGTGAAGGCACGGTGAGGTTGGAGGCTGATTTGCGCATGGGATCAATCGGCGGAAACAACCCATCTTCGGTGAAGCCAAGTTCGGATGGTTCTTGTTCGGATTGACTTTTGCCTGCTCCAATGGTCCGGATGGAGGAAGGTCTCCTTTGGCTTGGAAGGCCTTGCTGGTCTGAAGAAGATTGGCCCGATTGATCGAGATTAAAATCTTCTAGACAATTGCTAGTAGATGGCAACTGTTCCGGAGGGTTGCGCTCCTCCTCCTCGTCGATCCGACTGCCACTGACTTTGCGTTTACCGGCGACATTAGCAGATGATGGGGCAGCAGTGAAGGAAGGGATCCGCGGGCGCTCGGGGACAAAACCCTCGCTGGGCTGGAGGAAGCGTTCGCTCATCTCGTGATAATTCAGGTTATTCTTGGATAACGTTCTTCCAGTGATTGTATTACTTGATAAGGCACTTGAAGGCGTCAGTTTTTTGAAGCGACTCCCTTCGACAATCCCAAGCGAAGAACCATAGGTTGAAAAGGGTGCATCCAATCTGCTGGGACCTTCACGTTGGTTTGCTTGGTCCCCTTGATTAGAATCAAGCGATGCAGAATCAGAAGTTGGGCCAGGTTGTTGACCAAACAGGCGCTTACTATGAGTTTGCTGTTGTTGCTTCCACTTTTGGATCTTGGCCGATCGAGATTGGATAATTATCTTGGCAAAGTCTTCGGTCGATGGGCCACTACCGGGTACGATTGATGTCCGATGATTTTTGAGAGCGGCGCGACGCGAAGAGACGGAGTTTGAGAGATGCCTCGATAGACTATGGGAAGAGCGTGGGGCTTCAGTAAGACTGGTGGATCGTTGGTCAGACGTAGACTTGGTGATTTGCACCGAGGCTGGGAGACCAGCGTTTTGAATGTGGTGGTAATTCATGCGAGAAGAGGTTGAAGAAGAACTGGATTCATTTGGGGTCCCGACAGATAGTGATGATGGATTGGTACGGTATCCACCACTAGCACTAGCCAGCGGACGTAAGGCCTGCTGTCCTGAGGTGGTTGTTGACGCGTCAATGAGTGAGAATGGGGACATGCTGAGCTGGTCGCTGCTCTCATTCGCACCTGAGGTCACCCCATGAGTTGGTACAACGGCGGATCGACCGGCTGGGTTGGATGAACTATCATCGCTGCTGATCAAGCTGAACAGACTCGTCGATCGATCCCTTGGAATATCTTTACCGGCGAGTCGATTTTGAGCCAGACCTCGCTGAATGTTGTACGGACTAGAAGGACTTGAGACTTGAGAGAAGAGGGAGAAGTGTGATCCTGGTTGGCCCCTGCTATCGTGACTACTGCTACCAATACTGCCACCCCCTTCGCCAGAGCCAGAGATAGATGAGATAGCGATAGGTGATGCGAGACTGGTTGGCGAGGGTTCCAAGTTTCTACTCGGTCCAACGCTTCCAAGCCCAAGACTCATCCCTTGAAGACTTCCGCTCGACCAGTTAGAAGATCCTTCGTGGCCACCCGAAGAGGCATCGGCTGATGGGGTAGTAGATGCCGCCGCACGGGCCGGATTGCGCGAGCCAAAGCCGCCAGGGACCAACTCGGCGGGACTTTGTGAACTGACTGAGTGCTGTTCGGTTGATGCGAGAGCAGGGGTTGTATGATGGATCATGGAGACCTGAGGAGGGGAGGCTAGATAGGATGACATTGTATCGGGGGTCAGGGTGAAATCGGCCGGCGGATCTTGTTGAGATCCATGGGGTAAGGGGGACCTGGATGATGAGGATGATGATGATGCAAGAGAGGTCTTGAGCAGAGGGGCTGAAGTCAAGCCACTGGATTGCGAGTTGAGATGAGTGGGGCGAAGCTCTTGAGCAACCCGGACCGAAGTGGGAATCCTCTTCAATTTGATAGCTTCGATAGGAGGGAAGGGAGGAGCGGTGGAAGAATTGTTAGCCAAGGCGGCGGAGAGGGCTGATTTGTTGTAATGATGATTGGGGACGATAGATGAGGAGGAGGAAGCGCCAGGGGTGAAGATCAACGAGTTTCTTCGATGGGCCGATGGGTTTTGTCCAGGTGGAGAGGCCAGGGACATCTTCCGGGAGTGTTGGACTGATTTTTGCTGGTTGCCATAGTTCGAGGGAGAGGAGTGAGCAGAAGTAGGCGAGAACATGGCACTTGGGACGCTTTTGGTAGATGCTGGACTGGTGTTTCTCGAGCTTGATGCGGGAGTGGTGGTTCGATCAAGTAGGGAGGGTGAAGAGGGGTAGTGAATAGGTCTCGAGTGAGCCTTGGATTGAGAGGAAGCGGCAAGGGGAGATACTTGAGTGGGATCACTGGAGCTGCGGGGAGTGATAAGATCGGAGATCACAGCACCAAAAGCAGGAGCAGGAGGGGGAAGGGAGTTGAGGTTGACTGCCTGTGGGTTGTCGGTAGATATTGAGGATGTGCTGGGAGAGGTCGTAGGGCCGGATTGAATGCTGGTTGATGGTGAAGAGGCAGGGAAGAATTGGTATTGGTTGAGTGAGGCCATCGGGTTCAAGATGTATTTGCGTCGAGTGGTGGGCGAGCCGAAGAGTAGGGACTGGTTGGTGGGACTGACGAGAGGACTTGATGAATCGTTGGAGCGAGAAGTGGCTAGTCCTAAGGATGATGTGGAGTGGGGTAGAGTAGGTTGAGGTGCAAGGAGAAGGTCGTCAGCAAGGGCCGGTTGAGAGTTGGGTTTTTGAGAGGTTTCATCGGTTGATCTGGTAGGCTTAGAATCAGATGGGCTGTCTGCGGATGAGAGCCCAGGACCTGGTAGTGATGAAGGAGATAGACAAGTAAGCAATAATAGAAAAGAGAGTTTTTTTTTTTTCAATTTTTCAAGAAGAGTGAGTTAAATGAAGGCTGACTGACCGAGTTGAGTGACATGCCTCAGCGGACTGCCCATCCGTACGAGATCTTTCCTGCTCATCGCAGGCCCAGCGCCAGACTTATTCAAGCTAGTCCTCCTGCCGATGGATTGAGATTGGGAGGGTTGGGAGTGACGGTGTGGCCTGGAGAGTGGATCGAGTTCGGGTTCGTCAGAATTTCGACTCATGGTTGAGCTGCTAGCCCTGCTGGAGAGGGTGGAGCTTGGTTCCAACTTAGGATCGAAGGAAGAGATGGTAGGTTCGTTCCTCTGGCTCGGAGGGTTGTTGAGCGTCAGTGATGGGGGCTTGGAGGGTGTAGAGTGAGCATGAGGGTGATCGATTGTGATGGATGTTGGCAGCTGGTGGTTGTTGATGTCTTGTTGTTGTTGTTTGTGGTGCTCGAGTCGATTGGCGTCGCTCTTGGCGCTATAGGCCAGTGGGGAGGAGAAGATGGGGGTGGTGTTTGGCTTGATGGGATGGCTTAGGCTTGATGGAGGGTAGCTGGTGGCTGATGGCTTTTCGGCAGGCTCCGCGATCTTGGCTGGACTGTTGGTCTCAGATTCCAGTGGGTGTGGTTGTGCTGGGTTGGGATGATGGTGCTCCATGGTTGAGGTTGGTATGATGTAGTTGTGCTTTTGGCTTATTGCTGATTGGGTTGGCTTATTGCTGATTGCAGGTCATCGTCATTGGCTGAGTAATGTCTGTGTTTCTTGAAGGAGCGCCAGTTAGTTGGTTAGTCAGGCAGTCAGTTCTCGGTGCGCTTGAGATGAGGGAGGACTGGCTGACAGCTGCTGGTCATGGTGAGTCTGAGTCTGATGATGATCATCTGACGGTCGCCATTCGAGAGTCGGATCGATCGAAGGCAGTCATCGCTCTTCAACGTTCAACGGTCCGGGTAACATTCCAGAGCTTATCATGGGATGGAGGTGTGAAGAGGGATGGTTGAAGTTGAAAAGACTTCTGCAAGCTGGAGAAGATGAACAAGAAGCTTGAAGTTGCAGTTCGATCGAAACCCAACAACAATCATCATCAATAACAATAAGGTTTTAATTTAGAACAATAACAGACTGAAAAGAAGAAAAATGGGGTCCGGATGACGTAAGAACCTCTTCTGCAATTCATCAAACGGTCCATGTCTGCTATGACGACCTCAACTCGTTGTAGATTCAACCACTCCTCCGCAAAAACAAAAAAACAAAAAAACTCCCCGTCTTGAATGAATCGATAATCGTAACAACTTGCTTAATGTGGAGTGCTCATATATAGTTCTCCTGCATATTATCCACTGCAAGCACAAAACAAATCACTCTTTCTCAGATTCAACAACAAAAACATCAAATGCATAGGGTACTTAGAACAAAAGAAAAATGAGATATACATTGAGAAGTCCAAAAGGCACAAGGCTGTGAAGTTTCCCTGTCTATGTAAAACTACTCACTCCATATTCATACAATATAGGAGTGTGTTTGAAATTGATTATCAAACTGCATTCTAAATGCATGACATCATAGCAAAGCCTTTTATATATTGCAATAAAGGATGTCCAATCAGAACAAAATCTTCCTCCTCAAATCTTTTTTTCTTTTTCCTCTAGCTGTACATTAACAGTTTAAGCTTAAGCAAACCGCCTGAGTCTTCAATAAAAAAAAGACTTTCTGCCTCATACGGGTATCTCTCCCGGATCGTATGATCTAAGCGATGCCGCCAAACAAGAATCATACGATGGACTTTTCACCTTCACGGTAGGTCTCCTTTTATACTTGTGGAATCTCCTTTGTACGACCTTCACAACTTGTCATTGTCCCGATCCACACACCCACCAATCATCGCACCTTTCCTATCCCCCCACACAATAGAATTCTCTCAAAATACCTTTTCTATCATCCTGACTCGTTCCTGCACCGCCTACCTGAATGTTTTTTCAGAACATGCACAACTTCCTCTTCACGCGTCCACTATCGCCAAGGAAATTCCCATTTGCAAACATCCCTCAAAATTTCCACTTAATTCTTTCCTTTTCCACTCCCTCGCTCAATTCCACTAATCCAATTATCACCACTCTTATACCTTCAGATACCACCCAATCTACTCACAAATCACAAGTCCTTTTACCTGTTCCTCCGCTTCAAGCAATGCCCGCAAATTGATCCCCTGCCACCAATCTTTTACCCAACAAGTTTCCAAGACAAGCATTGAATGAGTATCCAAACTCGGCCTGAGCACAGAGTACTTCGAAGGACAGCATTTCACCTCCACCAATTCCACACTTAACCATGTCAAGTTCAGGAAATCACAGATGTCGGTTAGCTGTGTCGGAGTGAGATGGCAGGGAGGTTAAATGAGGATGATAGGGTGACGGAAATTGAACAGGGATGCCTCTACAAGAGATGATTTGTTGAAGAACGGGACAGCTTAACCCACACATGAATTGACATTGCAATGCCTGCTCTAAATTTGATCCGTCTTCCCCTTCCTTTTGATCAACTCACAAACCGCACTCTAGATGTTCATGGATGGGTCATGGTATTGAACATAACACCAAACATGGAAGTTATGCCTGCAAATGAACGCAATGTATGTCCTCACCTTCCGTCACCGCACTTTTTTCGTCTGTTGATCTTTTATCAGAGTGTCAATTTAATCCTCATTTTTCTCAAGCCGATTCCTTCAGCCCGACTCAGCACTCTCAATTTGGGTGACCGGATATGGATTTGTTGTCATTCCTTCAACCAGAATCAATATGGCGTCCTCTTTGGTGTGAGTAACCTTTTCTTGAAATGTGTCGGCACAAATACTGACATATTGTAAATTTGTTTTAGGTTACCACTATAATCTTCGGTTTACCCAATGTTTCCCCAATGTTTTTAAGGGCCCGGGCCCTCTCGGCATTGTCAAGCCGTTGTGAATTCATCATCAGTATAACGATGGAGTGCGAGGAAGGGATACTCTATTTTAATGTAGACGGGCCAAATCTATGAGTTGGGCAATGGAGGCTTCAATATCTTGTGTCAATCTCAACAGTTTTAGATCCCCAATCATAATGTAATGGAGCTGAAGCTGCAGTCTTTGACCAAATTTTATGCTAGAGAAAACAGGGCGGCGCAGCCGCCCCTGAACCCTAGTATACATTATGTAGCAGGGTTCAGATTTGAAGCCTGCTTAAACTTCATTGTGGGTGCACTGTTATAACATAAACCTGAGCAATTGCTGGTCACCCTTAATTTATCGACACAACAACAACTCAACCAAGCAACACCTAAATGTGGCTGAGGTGTTGTACTGAACCCAAAGAAAACATTCGGAGGTCCTTGTCTTGATTGGTTGCATGCTGATCATGAGGTGAGTCACAAAATTAAAAAAAAAAAAAACAGATTTAAAAGCTTATTCTATCCATCTCTGAGACTCAGTAAGCCCAATACATCTGGAAAAATCCAAATGTGAAGCCTGCTATTATAAACCCCATCATCAATTCAATAGCAATCAACCAAATCAAGACAGACTCATATTGTCAAGGCTCAGAGCTGCATTCCCTGGAAATTTGGCTCCAAGCTTTTGGAGCCTCATGTGTTGAGTTGTCAAAGCTTACATGCATATAAAGGAACATCATGCTCAACAACAAAGATTTTTTTGTTTTAGACTTGGAAAACCCAATTATAAGCTGTATTGATGTTTTGGACATCTTATAAGTCATTGTGGGGTTTATGATTGCATGTAGAAAGTGGTTCCACAATTAATTAAGAAGAACCTTATACACATACATCACTTTCATTTGAAAAGAATTTTTGTTTTTTAAATAAAACGTAAAAAAACATATAGTTACATGTACATGAAAATTATCTAGGTAGTAGCAAGAGTGGAAAAACAAATGTATTGATCCATCCATCATGTGTCATCGACACACCTGGATGCATGTACTGGCACATCAACTTGACTGGTCATCTAGAACTCAACATACTGCTTTCTGAAGGCCATATCCAAGTATGAAACAGGAAAGAAGGATGGTCACTTGATGACAAGTGACATCAGCCTAAGTCCAGCAAGCTACCCACCACAAACCCAGCTCAACTCCTCCTCAGCCCCCCTGTAGCACAGAAAGGCAGCATTGTATTTGAGTTGCAGCAGAGTTGGAGTGACAGTGGAGAAGTGATCAATTTGACATGGTGTTCCCTGCCATCAAGTGAGCATTGATTTTTACTGGTGGTAGTTTTGTGCACTACATAGTCTGTGTGGAGCCTTTTCCTTCAAGATAGAACTACTGATTAGAGATATTCAATCCACTGCTTTGATAGATTCCATGTAAGGAATATTGCTCAGTTGGTGGACCAGATCACTCATTAAGGCTTTGATGATTGACTGCATCCTTTTGATTGTGCTGTTAGATTGGCTTCTATACTGACTCCCTGCAAGTGAGTTCAGTCTAGGGTCAACTTATGGTGTGGGTTTATATATTACCATTGGGACTGGATTTCTTGTTCTATTTTTTCAGATAATATTACACATCTCCTGCTCATTCAGAACTCAAATTTAAACAGGAACACCCCCACATCTTGTGAGAAATATTCTTATATTTTCAATTGTCTGGAATCATTATTCCACATGGTTTGGAATCTTTGGTATCAACCAATTTTTGAGAATCATTGGTTGGGTTAAGTTTGATAACCAAGAAATTTTCCTTTCTTTCTCCAAAAGATTGATACTCATGTTGAAGTGGTACCAGATTTCATGTTGCTCATAAAGTGCTAAATAACCTATCTGTAACTTGAGCTTCAAGTTCACTCCTGTTTTGTGGTAAATTTGGAGCTCAAACAGTGCCCTTGTAGCTACAAAAAAACATCTCACACAGATTGCTGGAATAGTGGTCAAAATTTTCCACTTCAAGAGCCCCTTGTGTTTCTATTGTTGGAAAGTCCCGCAGCTAACAAGTTCAATTCCCATTGCAAGTAGCACATATCAAGTGACACAATCATGCAAGCCTTCACCAGCTTGGCCCGATTGGGGCTGGTGTATTCCCAACTAATGTTGCTGGTTATTAGAAACATTAGCCTTAGTTGGGAATACTGTTGAGTTTTCACCTCACTGCGGACTTGCGGAATTCCAAAGCACCGCGCGCACACCTAAGATGAGAAACCCCGACTGCGGACTCAAGAGAACGTGTACCGCTTAGGGTTGTCTTCTCCTTTAAGAAAGCAGGAGAATCCAACCTACTTCTTCTTCTTCTTCAACCAACCTAATCAGAATTCGGTTCAACTATCTAAAATCGCTCGACTCCTCGATAATCATCAATCGTCAAGACTACCGGGAAAAACACTCGTAAAGTAAAGCGACTTCGATAATCAGCTCCCTTGATCTGAATCCTGACTCCTTTGTTTCTGCCTATTCTTTTTTTCTCTCTTCTATGTAGACTGAGTACCCCAATCCTTCACAAACTTCTTTCACCTACTCATAATATCAACACCCCCTTAAAGCTTCTGTTTGTCTCTCGTTTTTTTCTTCTTTCTTTTTCTTGTTGTTTGTTGTTGAAAGAACTAACTCCTTTTCTCTCAACTCTCTTTTCTGAATTCTCTCATGTAGTCTTCTTCTTCCTCTCCAATCCTCATCTCGTCTCTCGGATAGTCATTGTCTCTCCTTGTCTACATTGAATAGAGGTACATTTTCTTCCTCTTTCTAATCCTTAGTTCTTCTCTATGTTTGTGATCTGATCCTTGTTCTTTTTTCTGTTCAGTTTCTGGTTTCTATTTTTCAAGCAATAAAGTCAAATCTCTTCAAATACATCAACCCCAGTAGGTCCAAGCTGGTGAAGGCTTGCATGATTCTGTCACTTGATGTGTGCTACTTGCAATGGGAATCGAACTTGGTACCTGGGGGGCTGTCTGGCAATAGAAACACAAGGGGCTCTTGAAGTGGGTAATGTTGACCACTATGCCAGCAATCTGTGTGAATTTTTTTGTTTTTTTGTAGCTACAAGGGCACTGTTTTAGCTCCAAATTGACTACAAAACAGGAGTGAGCTTGAATTTAGAACCACCACAATGCTACAACTTCTCAGTAAAGAATGGCTTTCAGCAGGTGCCCAAAACCCTTGAACAAAAATTGCTCTATGAAAACATCCCTTTTGGCTATTTGACAAAAAAAACTGTACATTGCTGCTCACTGTTAAGCTACACTATTGTGTTAAATGTCAACATTACACCTTCTATGGTACAGCCAGGTACTCTGCATGTCACTATCTACCTGTACCACTATACCGTGAGCATTTGGGAGCACCAAAATGGCCACCAATTCTGGTTCTTCATGATGGATCCTGAATCACCAAGCAAACTATGAAAGGAGATATAAGCATGTAGATTAACACACATCATGCAGGACCCCGCTGGAATTTTTTTTATTTTCTTAGTTAGTGAATGCATGTAAATATCTTTCAAAAATATGTTGAGTTTTTTCATTTTGTGTCATCTCTTTTTCTGTCTGTGTGCTACTTATGGTGTTGCAAGCCCACCTGGACACACACAAACACCTGTGTCACTCAAATTCTTCGGTCCCAAACCAAAGAAAATGGTGCCATTATCTTTGGTTTGGAACCAAAGAGCTGCCAGAGCTGGGTGAGCTGCCTGGAGCTGGGTCCCCCAGCTGACTAGATTTCCAAAAACACTGGCAGAGACAAAGTCTCTGTAGCTCAGCAGTTTGCACTGGCCCTAACATCTGACCATCCAGCAGGTTGTGGGTTTGATTCCCACTGGCCCCATCCCCTGATGGGGGTTAGGGGGCAGGTTTTTGGGGTTAGGGTTAGGTTTACCGTGTTAGGGGGTTAGGGTTAACCCAGGAGAGGCACAGTACCTGGACAGGTTTGAGCGGAGTAGTTCATCTGCCTGGGTATTGTGGGGCCATTGGGGACCTGGAGGAGTTGTTGGAAATCCAATGGCCCCTGCTTCAATGGGGGGTTAGGTTTAGGGTTAGGTTTAGGGTTAGGTTTAGGGATAGGGTTAGGTTTAGGTTAGGTTTAGGGATAGGATTAGGTTTAGGGTTTAGGGTTTAGGTTTAGGGTTTAGGGTTTAGGGTTTAGGGTTTAGGGTTTAGGGTTTAGGGTTAGGGTTTAGGGTTTAGGGTTTAGGTTTAGGGTTTAGGGTTTAGGTTTAGGTTTAGGGTTAGGGTTTAGGGTTAGGGTTCAGGTTTAGGGTTAGGGTTTAGGTTGGTTAGGGCTGTTTTTTTTATAAAAAAAATTGGCAAAACCGGTTTTTACCCAGCTCACCCAGCTCATATACCCAGCTCACCCAGCTCACCCAGCTCTGCTTGTTCTTCGGTTTCAAACCGATGATAATGACACCATTATCTTCGGTTTGGGACCAAAGGATCCAATTGCCAAAACTCCACACAGAAGTTGGTCCAAAAAAAGGCCAAGCACGCTGTGCCAACCCTGAAGCCTGCTTGGCCAAGCTTAAAGTGCGTGTGACCAACCCCCACTTGACACATGCCAAATTTGGCGGGGTTTGGGACAAAGCCCCGCTTGGCCAAAATCAAGCAAGGATGCCACACCCACCAAAAATGCAGGCCATCAAGAAGGGATACCTTTTTGATGGCTGGTCTACAAATCAGCCAACCTCTCCTCACTGACTGGTATTGTACTGGTCATCAAGGAGGAGGCAGTCCTTTGTTGATGGTTGGTACCATTGCCGACCACCAGAGGGATATGATTCCCTACCACCATCAAAGGGAATCTTTCCCTCTTGGTGGTTAGTGATCTTCATAGCAGGCATTGAGATGGAAATCACCCAAACTCAACAACTGGCTTTGTACCAGCCATTGAGAGGAAATTGTGGGTATCCTTCTCAAAGGCTGGTGCACAAAACTGTGATGGAGCATGTAGTAGGTCAATGACAGTCCTGTGCACCAGATTCATTGATTGACCCAGAGGTTGAAATCATCCAAGCAGGACTTGGCTATGAGCCAAGATCCGCCTCCAGCCCAGCTCATTTGATCAAGCCAATTTCTCTCTTTTTCATGTCTCTTTTTACTTTTTTCATGTGTTTGTTCTATTGATATATTCTAAGCTAAGATATTCTTTCACAACTGTCACATTGTAGCAACAGTGAAAGGATATAATACGATGCAATAAATCACCATGTATTGGTACCACATCATTTTAGTGATGCACACTAAATCAATACCAATGCATCAGAGCATCCGTATTGGTGGCTAATTCCGCGCGAGCTAAGGAATTTAGCCTTGAGATTCAACCAAACCGGGGTGAGCTAAGGTCAAGCTGAAATAACTCGTGGCTCTGATTTCAGCTAATCGTTGCTAGATCTAGCAACGGTTAGCTCGCAAGCTAGCTAAAAGCAAACACCCGTGCATGTGCTTCAATTTGGTGCCCTCCCCTAACTATTACACACCTTGACTTCAAATCATCCATTGCAACTTTAACCTCAAGCCACACCGGTGCGACTGAATTGTTGTCGCTATTGTAGCTTAGTGATAGCTGCAAGCTTAACTCACTTGCTTTTAGCTCAACCGGTAAAGATGCTCTCACATTGAAAAAGCAATGCATTGCATTGGCATTGTATTGGAAAGCAATGCAAATGGTGATGCGCACCAATAATATTGGAAATGCTCCCAAATTATTGTGCATCACATCATGTTGCTGAATTGATGTGATGCCAATACTCAATATCTGGAAAATGCACTGCAAGGATCCCACATCACCCACTCAATGTGATGTGATAAATTACTGATGCATGCATTGCATGAGTTACACTGTTGATCCCTGGGCTCATCATTTTACCAAAATATGCTCATCTTGGTGTCTAAGGGGTGAAAGATGGTAAGCAAAATAAAATTTAAGCTTGAGACAAGCATATAGGGTGCATATTATATCTATCAGCATCTTCATTTTTGGTTTGAATATTTCAAATATTTTGAAGTTGAAATTTTCCCTGTCTCCCCCTACCACAGGCCCACTGGGAATTTCAGCAGAGAATTCTTGATGAATGTACATCCATCCATCAATTCCTTCTGACAAGCTAGTTTAAGGAGAAGCTTTCCGGGAGGGGTTCCTCCTGGAGAGCTGGTCTACAGATCTGCTTTCCAGGAGGGGGTCCTCCCTGCTTTGTGACCTCTGCCTTTAGGTTGGGGGCATTCCTCCAAACTTGAGACTGTACTAGAGACGGCCTCAGGGTATCCGTTGTGGATACCTGTTATCCGCTGGCGGATACCCTCCAGGGCAAAAGGATACCCACCAGAGGATTCAGATTTGGGTTTGGATGCCCCATTCTCCTTGGAATCCTGTCAGGTATCCGGTATCTCCAGGGATACCCAACAGAGGGACCCTCTTGGAATTGATACCATGTACAGTCTCCAGGCCAAGAGGGGTTCCACTTGGCCTGGAGACTGTACCGAGGCCAACAAGGCACAACCTTGTTGACTGGAAGGTCTTCCTTCTGGCCAACAAAGTACATGTACCTTGCCGACCGGAAGGTTTTCCTTCTGGCCAACAAGGGACATGTGCCACGTCAACTGGAAGGAAACCCTTCCAGTCAACAAGGCATATGTACCTTGTTGGCCGGAAGGAAGACCTTCCGGTCAATTGCTGGCCACCCCCTCCAACCGCCCTTGTGCAAGTGGCAGGTATACAAAGATACCCGCTCAGATACCCGCTAAGGCAGAGGAATACCCGCCAGCGGATGTGTATGGCAGTTTCCCTGGAAAAAGCAGCCGGATATCCGGATGCGCCAGGGCCATCTCTACTGTACAGTCCCTTGACAGAAAAAACTGAACCCCTGCTGGCTACAATTGCACAGAGGGGTTCCATTATTTCTGTCAAGGGGCTGTACAGTTCTTGAGGCCAAATGGGGCTCCTCTCGGCCTTGAGACTGTACAAAGAGCCATGTACAGTCTCAAGGCCAGGAGGAACCTCTCCTGGCCTTGATACTGTAGATTCTTGGGGCTGGAGGGGTTCCTCCTAGCCACAAGCCAGTTTTTTTTCCCTTTCTTTTTGAAAAATAATCAGACCCTCTGTGGATAGCCCAGGTTTCAAATGCATATGCATGTATATGTATTCCTTTAGCTCCTGCATATTGGCATGCAGGCCCACATGCCAAAGGAAATGGGTGTGTGGGCATGTACACCAATCTGGGCCTACACCCCCCTTCTGGGGGGAGTGTGGGAGTGGGTGTGCAAGGGGGGCAGAGATCCTTCCTGGAGACCTGGTTGAAATCAATTTGGCTGCCAAGGAGGGTCCTTAACGGTTACCTGATTGGTCTAAGCCAGGTCACCCACAGGGGTCCTACCCAGAAACCTAGCTGAGACCTACTTGATCTTGTTTGAGCCACTGAGGAGGGGGTTTGGGGGCAGGTACGGTACCACCTGTTTTGTTGCCCAAAGAAAGACACCAGGTACCCCACCTGGAACCACTTGGCGGGTACCATCAGGGATGGAGGTGTTGTTGTCAGCCACAGAGTACATGTCACAGTACCTTTCATGTACCAAGTAACTGCAACACCTGTACTTATGTACATAAGTACTTATCCATAATGTTGATTACCTTTACCTCTTGTTATCTTATCATTATTATTAACTTATCTTATTTATCTTATATTTATCTTATCTGGTAATTACTTATCTATCAAATACATATCTGTTTTATACATAAGTAATTATCACTTACCTTTCACTCCTTTGTCCATGAAATACCTGTACCACAAGTTATCCCTGTTCTACAGTATTTTCATGGTCAAATATCATTACAAATAAAGTATTAAATAGTAAGTATTAAGTGTTAATAGAATTAATACATTCAATACATGCACTGATCACAATTATGACTACATTATTAGAGGATCTGTTAAGGACACGCATCAAGAGCAACTAGTACATTGATCAACTAGTACACAATTATGATTTCACTTACAGATCATGACAAATAATGATCAGTCACTCAATTGATGTGCTCATTCTCCTGGCCAAAGCTCCCTTGATTCTGAGCGCTCATTCTTTCCCTCCTTCAATATTCTGGAACTTATAATCCGTGCCTTTTCCACTGATTACTCCCCAGAATATTCAGACACCAGTTAAGCCAGTTAACATTTATATTGATACAGTACACGTAACCAACTTAAATCTAGTCCACATTTATTGTTCTTCAGCTCCAGTACTCTTACTCAACTTATCCACAGTATTCATAGCCTTGCTGAATATTCCCATCAACAATACCTGTTAATCTTCAACTAATTTTGTTAAAGCTTAATAAGTATTGTTAGCCCATTCCCTTTTGGGAATAACCAAATCAATCCCAGGTGAGTCTTAGTACCCTGGATGCCTATTAATACCTTGTATTGATCCGGAATGCGCTGTTGATAGCAAGCCTCTCAGTAAAGACCATACTGATAGAGTGAAACCTCCTCTTTGCAGGACTGGTATTAATCACCCACTACCTAACACTCACCACGCTCAAACACTTCAGTCAACTCATAGTAACAAACTTATACTACTAAATACTCAGGTTAGTTACCCAGAGGCTGACATTTGTGGTAATTTAATATGTAAAAATTTCAATTTTTTTTCTTTCTATACATTTTTCAAATATCCAATCAGAAATCACACAATCCAACTTCAGAAATGGACTCTACGGACAATTTCAGCCTAGTTCACCACTGGACGCATCAATGGAACCCTCATGGATTGGAAGTTACACCTCTATGGACGCATATCACAAGGCCAATAATCAATCAAGCACATGTCACACTCCTCAAGTCACCTCTCAGTTATTCTTATAAACAGCTCACAGTATAAACATAATTTCCCACACCTCTTTATCTCCACTGCATAAATTAATTTGGTTTTATTTGTCACCTCATGCACTGCCTTTGCAGGCTGCGCAGTCTTGATTAAATTACTTTTCCCACAGTTTATTAATTTTCTCACCTCACTTATGACAACAGCTGAATTTTTCCCACAATTTATTGCCTCATTTTACACTTTCTCACATTATTTACGCACTGCAGCACAGCCTTTGACATTAATTGTACACAGCCTCACTGGTTAATTTCCCTCACTTGCATGATCAGACTAGCTAAATTCACTCATTTGTACCTACAGGCCAGCTAAAATCATGCTTTCTTGTCTGCCCTGGAGCTAAATTCCCTCACTTTTGTCTATAAAAGGAGGCTCTCTTCCCCCCATTTGTTGACTCATTCATCTCAGACTCATTCACTCAGTCAATTACTCAGAAGTCAATCAATATATAACTCACCAGTTACAAAAAATTATATAAACCTTTCACCTGTTACATAACATAACAGTTTCTTTTATCAGCAATTAAATATTCAACCTTTATTTTCCATAAAACAAATTTTATACTGGAACCGACCAATCCTATCACATTATTAAAACTTTCCAAGCTAAGCTTGGTGGGTCTTGTTTCTGATAGTATAGAAGGGCAGAGTTTGCACCTCCATTTTTTCCCTTCTCAATTCAGCAAAAGGTTTTGACAACCACTTTTGAGTCTTACAGCGTACCCACCAATGGGTGCTGGGTAATGCAAGGCCTTTCTCACAGCAGTGGGAGGTTATGCTACCGGTAACAGTAGTGTAACAGAGCTGTAACAATTAGTGCCACACTAAATGCAACTGTGTTTTTTTACATTTTCTTTTTTCTGCTTTTTATATTGTTGTTATGCTATCCACTGCAACTAAGAATGTATAACAAACACACAAGAGATTTTACCCTTTCATAACATGGATATCAAATTGTTTGTGTTATTTTTTCATAACAAGGAGGATAGTCTCCTTTGTAAAATTACTTTCAAGACAAAAAACCAATCATTCTGGATAAAGCTGATGGTGCCATCCATTGTACTGGGTATTCATGTTAAACTTTACAGAGATTCCTTGAGATATCATGACATATTTAACTTCCTAGTGTTGCACCAACTTATTAAGTGATGTGAAGGTAGAATATTTTCTCAGGAAATCTTCAAAAAAAAATTGAAAGCCACTTTTCTTAAGCTTGAAATTGTTGGAATTTCCCCTCCGTGTCCTGCTCTCTCCGCTCTCTCTGCCCTCACTTTGTTCACTCCTTGCTCTCTATCCTCTCTCTCTCTTCCCACTTCTCTCTCTTTCTTCTTATTTCTTCTCACAACCACTCCATTTCCTCCTCATCAGACTCGTCGCAAGCCTTCTCCTCCCAATATGTCCAAGCCTCACGACCGACAAGTTAACCTAACCTCTCATCAACACTCAACCACAAGTTGAGCCATTCCTCAATGAATATAAAAGGCTACTCAAGTCTCTCATCAATTACAACTTTCCCCTCAGCAGTCTTCAACATCCAATCACCCATATTCTCATCCACACTAACTATTCTGCCCAACTGCTTGGCCTATCACCCTCAACACTCCTCATTCACCACTTGGAATTCAATTCCTTTTCTGATCCCTCAAAAGAGGAGAGCATCAGGTGAGTTTATCATCTGAGTGATGAACCTCCTGAAGAAAGAAATAATTACATTGCACTGATCACAAAACGTGTGATTATCAGCAGAAATAGGCTGTTCAGCAGATGAACAAGAGAAAAGCACAATCACAGCTTATGTATCAAGTAGTGACGTCACTGACGTCACTAGCAAAGAGAAAAATAATGATCATGATTGATCATCGAGCTCTAAGTGAGTCTTGATGAGTTGAATCAAAAGAACAAGAATGAGAAAAAGATAGTAATTGAGTTCCAATTCTTTGTTCAACAAATCATTATTAAAAATCTTTAGCTCTTACTTGCACAAGCCTATCAAACAAAAACTTATTACTCAAATCTTTCCACCGTTAGTCGGTGAGTAAAAGGAAGAGAATTAATTGCCTTTTTCTTTATACAGAAAAAGAGAAAAGTAAAATAACTAATCTATTGTCGATGATTCTTTGCTAGACTCATCAAACAGACAGGATTAATGAGCAATTACTCAAAACAAGAAATTTATTCTTATCACTCAAAGTAATGTATTTTCATTACTCTTGTGCTTAAGAAATATTATACTTTGGGAGAAAGACTAACATCGGAATGATCTTCTGATAATTTATTCAGCTGTTATAATTATCTTTATCTGAATAATAAATTAGTCCATCCAAAGGCAATTTCTATTATTAAGTATCATCTTTAAGACTACCAGATCAGTACTGCCTTCAGGTACTGATCTGATTTCCTTTTTATCAGATTATCAATTGTATTTATTTAAAAGAATGTATACTTATAAAGAAATGAAACTCTTCAGTTCCAAAATCTTTCAACCACCATTAACAATTCCCTTCTTTATCTTCCTTTGACTACGTTTCTTTTCTTCCCTTGTCCTATATCTTCTCTCTCTATTATCCCTTCTTGCTCACTCTCATTGGCGATGTCTTCTCATCCTCTCATCAACAACTTATCCTCCACTTCTCCTTATTCCGCCAACTCTTTCACTAGAGATACTCATTTGGCTATTGCCAATTTGGTGAGAAAAAACTCATCCTAATTTCTCTCTTGTGTTCTCATGACTAAAAAATTAACCTTTTCTCTTTGATTGTTTCTCTTTCTATCTTAAAACAGTGTGTGCTACCTGTCATTGTTTGATCTCATATATTTCAGCTTTTCTGTTCTGTCTAAATCAAAAGACCAATCTACCCATGGTAAATTTCTCTTATTTCCTGTTTTTCACCAGAAATTCAGTTTCTTCTTGTGGGAAATCTGGAACTAAAACCATGCCATGATGACTAAACAGAACATCTGCACACACACATTGTTGGCATAGTGGTTCAAGTCACCCACTTCAAGATCCCCCTGTGTTTCATCCTTAAGCAAACCAGGTACATAGTTCAATTCACATTGCAAGCGGTGTGCCACCCTGATCAAGTAAACAAACCTTTGATACAATCATGCAAGCCTTCACCATTTTTGTCCAACTGGGGATAGTGTATTGCCAAGTAATGTGCTTTGTGCTTGCTGGTGACCTTGTGAAACCCCCATTCTGCTACAACTGCCATAAGCTGGATGGATTCCGCTCAAAGCCCCAGGTTCCCACCCTTGAAATCCAAATGAATTGTGTATATGGAAGCACTACTTGTCGTGTATTGAGCAAACATGCATGCCAGGAGCCAGTTGAGGCTGATTTATATGTCTGCAAAGTGTGTGACCATTATGTATTCTATGGTAGGGAAAAATGCCCCAAACAACACCACCAACCTGTACCACATTTCTTCAATTGTTCAGAAACCACCTGGCCACCACCCTTTATCCGTAATACAAGATAAAGTGTCAAGGAAACTATTAAATGGGATAAAATCATGTACATACACACATGTATCCTCTCTTGGATTATTATTTTTTTCATAACTGAAATGATCTCAGCATCTATGGGGTGAGAAATAGCAAGCAAAATCTGGATTTGGAATTGAGAAAGAATATAATATTGTCATAATTCTTTTCTGGATGGCAAATTTTATCAAGATGGTCAATTTTCTTCAATCACTCACATTTCAAATATCTGAAAAGCAAAAAAAGCTCCTCTATCTACTCAATGTAGCTGAAGACATTCAGCAAAATTAAAACAATTTCACAACAGCAAAGCCCTATTGAGCACGTTGACGCACATCCTTCAAGAAAGAGATGCAAGTAGTCATGAAGGGCCTGACTCAGATCACAAAGAATTGAAAGAAACGATGGAATTGGGATATCGAGACGCGACTATTGATCGGGACTAATCGCGCGGAGTCCGCTACTTTGCAAGCGATGTTGGTGGTGGTGGAAGATGAGAAAGATCTTAGACTTCGATGGCATGAAGAGGACACAGATAAATTCAACAACCCGAAAAGTCCAGGCGGATCGAGCGGCGAGGTAGTGCGATCCAGCTGCATTGAAAACATCGTCCAGACAGAGACTGCGGGGCTCCCCCGCTCCTCGGGGCCCGTGGGGGTGCCCTGGGGGCTCTCGCGGGTGATGCATGCGGCCATCGAGCGGCGCGGTACATTTTGTGCGCGGAAAATACAATATCCGTCCCGACGATGTTCTCAGAAGCCGGAATGACAGTCTGTAACGATTCTTCTGGTTTTCTCGACATCGTTCAAGTCGGTGATCACGATTGAGGATTGGCTTATCAATCGATCAAAACGCAGCATACATTCTCCTGATACTCAACCACTTAAAGATCCTTCGCCGGGCATTCGATAGCGAGACAAGTCAGATGACTCGGTATCCTCAAGTAGGAGTACAACGGTCAGCGAACACATGAATCTCCTATAAGACCTTCCGACCACCAAGTTTCAAAAAGGCAACACAAGTTCGACTCCGATCGCATACACTTCTCGCTGTCAACACACAACGCCCGAAGATGAAACTCTTGACCATTGTCGCGCTGACTCTTGTGACTAGCGGAATCTTCATCGTCAACTGCGCTCTCATGTGCGACATCTGCAAAACCCCCACTCTCATCAAAGACTCAAAGAATGTCGTCTGCTCTCGCCTTGCCAAGAAATATTACAAATGTAGCAATGAAGGGTGCATAATGGGAATGTACGTCAATGTCCGAGGTCCGGCCCCCATTTGCAGAGCGCCCATGAAAGGGTGTGTCCATTGTCAGGGGGCTAACAAGCACAAGCTCCAGTGACATACAAGCAGACCGGCTGTAGAGAAATTCAGGCAAGCAAAGAAACTCTTGTGCAGTCTAGAGTAGTTGTAGCAAAAATTGTACAGTGCATGAATTCATGGAATCACAAGACACTTCTCTTCTCACATTTCTTTCTTTTTTTTTCTTCTTCTCATTTTTCTCCTTTGGATGGTGGGGTGATTGTTGTTGAAATTCAATTAAAACTTGTATCTTGAACTGTGATCATATTATCAACTGGGGGGGTAATGATGGCTTTGCTTCCCAAGTATAGGACTTCTTACCATCATCACACCTTTGACTACAAAATCCTGGCCCATGATCATTGTATTTCGATTCAAGGGGTGATATGTAGCATCAACATCAACTGAACTTGTCCCAACTTTCAAAGCACTATATTATTGAATGCAATATTAGGGTCTAGGGGTGACTGTGCTGCTCTTCAAGTCAAAACAAAACAAAAATGGAATTTCAGCATGCAAATGAGAATGTGAAAAACAGAGTACAATTTCTATCTTTCCACAAAACTGATTGCATTGTGAGGTGTGACAAGTTTCTCTGATTTAACAGGGAGCATCCCAATTCTGAATTAAATCCAAAACACATTGATCAGCTGTCTAGCAACATAAATGGTAGCATGAAAGGTGCATACCTTGCTTTCACCCTCAGCAGGTATTTGTCATAATACCTCTACCTGCTGAATAAACTGGCATCACAGGTTCTGAAAAGACGGCATATGTACCAGTGACCACCTCCTGGATGTAAAAAAGGAGTACTTGATCTGTCTCTCAATGATCAAGGGTGAGACAAAAATACAAATCAAACACTGTGATACATCTGGCATTTTTGGCTATTTTTAACAATAGAAATCTGCACAATGAAAATACTCCAGGTTTAATGCCAAGGTATCACTCAATGCAAACAGTCACTTGTGGCAGACCTCTCACACCTTGAAACACTTTTAATAATCCCAAGTCCCAGTGGGAGATTTGATGGAGAATTTGGAAAATGCAGTGTGAACAGAAAGATATAAACTAAAAGAACATTTTGACACAAGTCATAAACTGGCCTTTCCTAGCATCAACCATTGTGGATATTTGCTGTGAGCTTATTCTGTCTTATCTTTGTCATCAGTGTATTCCTTGCCACCCAACCTGGCCTTGATCACTTCATATTTGGCCTTGCCATCCAATTGGTCTTTGTCACCCAAGCCATCTTCTCCATCCAAGCCGTCCTCGCCACCAGATTGCTGAGTGTCATCTTCATCAAATTCTTCCACCACAACAGTTTCTCCCTTGTCCATGGTACGTTGCAGCAGGTTGTTAAAACCAGAGATTTGCATCAAGTGTTCAGTTGCAAGGCTAAAAAGCGGCTTCCAAGATTATAGCCACTGGCGACCATCAACAATTGCTTGGTGATTGACTCCTGGATCATTGCTTTCCAACAGCGAGTTCCAATACTGTGCCAGGATCAGAGATAACTCACAGGCGTGATTGAGATCATTTCTCTCTTCCAAAACGGCTTCCAGTTCATTTGGCCAATGTAAGATTGTTCTCACAAAATTATCCACATAGCTATCAGTCAGCTTTGTGTGTTTGACCAATTGTATCAATTGATCCTCTGTCATATTCACCAATGGAGCCACAAAGATTAATGGCTGAGTGCTGGTTGGTTGCTCAATTTTCTTGAAATAAACACGGCATAAATTGAAGACTGGAGTTGCGGCTTGAAATGACTTGCTTCTTGCTGTTTCCATTTCAAGAATGAGCTCTTCATATCCATTAGGTTAGTTGGGGTCAAAGGGGTTCAATATTGGTCCCTCCAGAGGATATTGGAACAAAGTGTCAATTTCTTTGACCAAATTTTGCCATCCTTTTCTCAATTGGGCTTGTAGCTCCTCCAAATCAAGATGAAATATGTATTGATGTGTTCCAAGAGGTCATCAATGTTGGTCAAGTGGTTGAGAACCCCACTGTACCAGGATTTCATGTCATTTTGCAAGCAAATGAGGAAAACCATATCATTCTTTTCAACAAAGGCAGGATGGTCCGTCCCAAGCTTTTTGGAGAGATGTATTTCTTGAAAATATCCAAGTTCTTCCAGGAAGCATGGCCACACACTCAACGTTATAGATGACTGATGACTTCTTTGAGAATTTCTTAACAGATAGATTTTTTATGTGAGAGGTCTGTATCAGCATCAATGAGCTCATGACCTCAAGCAGCATCTTCCATGCCCCAAAGATGCACCTTTGAAGACCTGACTTTCTCTGCAACTGTTTCATATGCCATGACACCTTGTGAATCAATTGGTTATGTGTACAAATACAAAGCAAGAACTTCAATTTTTCTTTTTCATGGGATTGATTCAGGGTTCTATTGACCAACGGCTAGGAATTTGTCCTGATCAAACATCTATCTCCCCCGGGCCCCGGGTGAGCCAACCTGTGGCAGTATACATACTGGATTAACCCCTGGCCTACCCAAACCCCGCTTAAGTGTTTCCACCGGGCTCCCAAGGTCAAAAAGCACATTTTGCCTCATCAGTCATCCTTGCTATGTAGACCAATGCTATGGATCTAGCACTGCCATAGCTGCAGCTGCATATTCAATATATCACAGCATGTTCTCATGATGTTTATTCCTGTTTCACCTCCCCCCTTTACTTGTTATCACTCAGAGCACTCTTCTCAAGATATAGATATATGCCAAAATCAACCACACCAACCAACCAATTCCCCACTTCACACCCCTTCTAACCCAGTCCCAGCCCCTCAATCTATGAAGGAGTCCCTTCACACACAGATTAGAAATTTGCTGCATTCATCAAGTTCAGAAATCAGTGCTGCAAGCAACCTGCACTAGCAGAAATGGTCTAATGACTTGGCTGGATATTCCATAGGTCATACAGTCTTTTTTTTATTCCCAATTGTATTTGAAGATTAGGGTTGTCAGAGAGAATTGTGTAAGAAGGCACATCAATTTCCAAATGGGTGTGCTTTTAGCCAGTGCATTGGTAGTGCATCAAGGTGCCAGTGTGTCCATGTTTTTTTTTGGTAGTGAAGGAGGATTGGTAAAGTTAAGAAGCCCAAATTTTATCTAGGCCCCTCTTCTAACAGTAACACCTGTCTGGAATGGCTTTCAGGTTCATCTGTGGTAGATTTCTCATAAGTTGTCTTTACAATCCCAAGCCCATTCCACAAAAATTTGGTTAAGAAACCACATTGACCACCCACATTTGAGATACTTTAAGTGGAAGTAGTGTACTAAGGTAACAAAAAAATAGTTGCTGTGATCCTATGAATTCATCAAACGTGTAGATGCAAATTCTACTACGTCCTACTGGACCTATATCTTGAACATGGGGACTGTTTTTTCTCTCTTTCTGTTTTTCTAATTGTCATGGTCTGGTAGTCCTAAGAAGTTGTGATACACCGGGGCATTACTATTAGGCTGAGATGGTTGGGGAGTTTCTTCAAGCCCTAAGAATTTATGATACACTGGGGCTTGAGTCTGGGATCCAGATGGTTGAGCTTGAGGCTGCGATCCAGATGGTTCTTGTTGTGCCGGTTGGCATAGGGGTGATGTTTTAGGATCTAGGGGAACTTTTCTGTTATGGGTGCAACCTCGGAGATGAAGAGGGGTCTTTGGACTTGGCCGGGCATTGAGGGAAGACCATTGCCGACAGTCCTTGCACATGTAATACCTCTTCTGGCGTTCTTTCAGGCAGTATGCGCCCCCGCCCAGAGGTTCTCCGCAGGGACCGGAGGGTTTCCAGCCTGTCTTGAAACGTTCGTAAGTGGACTCCTGGCGGCAGTTAGGCCAGGGGCACTCAATACACCCGGGGGCGATGACAACACCTGAAAGCGAAAGAGTCACCAAGACAGTGTGCGCGATGGCTGAGAGTTTCATCTCTCTAGTGTTTCGGTTCGAGACGTGTCTGCGAGAGGAGTCGAACTCTTGTTGATTGGTTGAGACCTGATGGTTGGGAGGAGATATCGCGGAGGGTGTTCGCTGACCGTTGTCCTACTTGAGGATACTGAGTCTCGTGTCCAATGGCCAGCTAAGGATCTGAAGGATGAAGAATGATGGTGTTGTGTTGTGTGCTATACTTTGATCGATATTCATCAAGGCGACCCTCAATGCTCATTTGCGCCAGCTTAGTATGTAGGGAGGGGCCCATCATGTCATAAGAAAAGGATTGCCGACTTGTGCAATTCGGTTTTTCGAATCAAAAGGCATGAGACTTGGGTTGATCGGGCACACAGTTTCAACCGGTGAGTGGTCTGCGCCACTTTTCATTGGCGGGGGCGGGGACAAAGACATTTCGGGAATGGAAAAAAAAAACAAGAGGCTACGCCAAAACCGCAAGCTTCCTTGCCATGAACACGAATTCCTCCTAATTCGCATGCAGATCGATCACCAATTGCCGAGTAGACTTTTAATTCCCGCCAGTTTTGGAGGGAGCCATCACAAAGCAAAAGGATTGCCGACTTGTGCAATCCAGTTCTTAAGATCCTCGAATCAAAAAGCGCGTGGCTTCGGTTGCTCAGTAATATAGCTGCAAAACCGCATGCTTTGGTGGCGACAGCTATGACTAAATTGAATTGGCAGCGTTTGCAAAAGATTGGTTGCTTGCTGTGAGTCTTTCTGACATGCTTGCTTGCTTCCGTTTGTTCCGGGACATCAAAACCGGGCGCACGGACTCCGCCCCAGTGCCAATGGATGATTGATGGACTCTCCCAGGTTTGCACACTTATCCAACCTTTTTCTAACAAAACAAAAACCATATCTTGATCTCATCGTTTCTCTGGGTTATTTGTTAACCGGAGTCTAACGTTTAGGCCTATTCACATGCATCCGATTCCACATCAGTCATCTTTACTCGCTGCTTGTATGTTAACTTGGCCAGACTTGGCCACAACTATGTCATTCCCACTGCATCCGCATGCGAAGCATTTCTACTTGTACTTCTTTTGACATCTGCTGATCTGGTTTAATGAATAGCTGATCACTTGATACATACTGCCAAAACCCCAGAAGTGTCCTTCTCTCGTCCTGTTACTCTAGTCTAGGTCGCAGCGCAGCGGCCGCAAAATTTGCCATAATGCACTAAGTGAAGCTTGCGTAGCTGCTTCAACATTGTACTTTCCGACTGCAGGAAGACATGTCCTTTGACAGTTTGAGACATTGCCCAATAAAAGATGTGATAATAAGAAGGTGGCAAGTGATCTGTGCATTTTTTATTGATGGGGAATAACCTAACTCAAGCCTCTGGCAAGGGTTCAGGGAAATCACTCAAATACATCACAGTTGAGCTTTTCCAACTAGACTCAACTAACAACTCATGCCTGGATCCAGCATGCAACTAAGCCCAAATCACTCTAGTGATGTATTAGCGGCCATGTACCTGTTTGCCCATATTGATTGTAACAGTAACTTCAAGTGAGAAACTGAATATCAGATATTGCATATGTTTTTGAGCATCTATTTTCTTTTCCTCAACCTCATCCAAAACTCTGCAAGATGAGAGCAATATTTGCAAACAAAGGATCATTTTTTTAGATTTTTTTTACTCTGATCTTGGGTTGTGGATCTAGTTCATTCAGTTTGTGATGTTCTAAGTGTTCAATTGATCAGTGAATCAACATCTGCTGATCAGTTCATTGTTAGACATAAGTTATAGTGATTACAATATATTGAGAAAGTAATTTTTCACTCATTCAAATAATTGGTACCCAATTGTATGCAAATAAATTTGATGTACACCCCGGGACTAATTGGTCGCCAGCCGGGCGCCGCCCATGGCGCCTCTACAGCCCACCAGGCCAGGGTCGCCATGGGGACATGTGTTGGAGCATGCCCTTGATGGCGCCCAGGGGATTCGCCCTAAAGTCGAGGGCGGGATGTAGCCAACACGGGAATGGGGGCGCCGGTTCTGGCCCACCGACTGGTTATGTAGCACTGAAAAAAAGATCGCTCATGCGAGGTTCGAACTTGTGTCGGAACTCGGATCGGCTCCCCCACCGGCGGAATGGTCAACTTCACCAGACCGCCAGTGCGACTTGTCAGAAAATGTCATTTATGAAGTTATCTGCCAGGTTTCACCCCTGAGAGAGCTCTGATCCAAAAAAAAAAAAAGCGAAGTCCAAGAAAAAAAAAAAAAAAAAAAAAAATTGGCAATAGTTTTTTTGCAAGTGCCACGTGAAAACCATCCTTCCCGATGGTATTCAAGAGGGCAAAAAGGAGACGATCGACCTTTGACCCGGGTCGCAAGGATGACGCCGCCCCAACCATAAACCGTCCCTGACGACCCTGGTCTCATGGCGCCTCGGTCGGTGTCATCCCCATGGCACAAGGATGACGACCCCACAGCCATGTCGACCCCGAGTCGACCCCCCCAATCGCCACCGGGACGTGCCTCTTGTGGGTCGACCCGATCACGCCTCAGGGACACCATGCTGACCCAGAGCGCCGCCCTGACATGCCTCGGGGCGCCTGTACAACCCTGGGTCCCGCTGGCGCCCTGGTGCGTCATGTGGTCGCCCTTCCGGCCGGGGCGCCGGCACGGCGGTCGGGATTTCTTCGATCCGTCCCGCTGTGTAGTTTAGAAAGTTTATATTTTGATATGGATCATTGATGGGTTTATTCCATGGGATCAATCAAATGTAACAGCAACACTAATGGTAGCATTAGCACAGCATAATGTGGTGGAATTCTGCTGTCATTTAGTGTAGTGCAGCAGAATTCTGTCACAACTGCACTGATGCTACGTGCATGGGCCATGAAAAAGGGCCCACTACACTGTGCCACAGTGCATGTTGATGTTTTTTTGGCCATTTTTGCTGCTAAAAGCGCTTTAACGCAGCAGAGTGGCACTAACAGTGCACTAAAACTACAGGTTTTTGATTGCTATTTTGAGGGCTGCTACAATAATGTCAGTGGGCCGTTTAGCATATTATCGCCTAGCACCTATTTCTGGTACTAGCCACCTGTACAGCAATCAAAATCAGATTGGGTGTGTAACATATACAGTAACATTTGAAATCCAGGTTACAGATCACTCCTGATAATGCCAAATTAGTCACAACATCATTGGTTATGATATGAAATTTCAGGAGTGTTGAAAAAACAGCATGATCTACTTCTAGCTGATTGTTAATTTGTTCTTGAAAACACTAACTCAATTTGATTGGCTGTCCCAAAGTGGTAGTTTAACTGATTACACCAAGAAAACTCCAACAAAGCACACAATCAACAATAGAAACCAAAGAAGATAGAGCCTAAATCCACATGCTATAAAGAGCCACATGGAAACCTAGTATTAGGGTTCCAACCCAGACCTTGAAAACCCGGCATAACCTACTCAACCCACAGACCGGATCAGGGTTTGGGATCAGCCTGGGGAGACCCGGCATCCAGTTGGATGCTAAAAACCCCCAAACCTTGGGGGTTTTGAAGGGAAATCCCCTGGTACACCCCGGAAGGGGGCTGCTGTGCACTGTGACTTTTCTTGCATGACAACCTTCTTTTGGTGTAATACAGCAAAATATGCATAAAAGAATTGTGTGGAAGATTCCAAAGAACCCGGTGTGGGGCCAGATACCCGCTAGGTTTGGCTGCGGGAGGCTTGAAACCTATATCTGAGGCACCGGGTTGGAACCCTACTTAGTATGAAGCATCAAAAGAAATTAAAAATAACCTGAAAAAAAAGTCTAGAATGAATTGCAGAAGTACTCTATAATAAAATGAACTTATGTAGGTGATTCAACATGAAATTTGTTTTACCTCAAAATTTATCTGCTTCTTGATGGGATCCAGCCACAAAGGAAAGACATGACTGATGATTGAGAAACATAACTTTCATAGTATTCAGTCAAATCTATTATCCTTGATTTCAAATCATCTATTTTATCCTTGATTATACCACAATGAGAATACCTGTAGAGCGGATTTTCAGGATTCATGGGCTTGTTCTTTCCCAAATTTTCTGAAACAGTAATCTTTAAGTACTTGGCAAGAATTTGAAGGTCTTTTATATTTTTCTTTGAGATCTCCACATTTTCTGATGGATAAGATGGTAGAAAATTGTATTCAAAAGTTGTGAACTTTTTTTTCAGATGAATATGGATGTTTTCAAGCTCTTCGAGGAACTTGAAACTTGAGGACATCAAATCAAACTTTTCTTCAAACCCATTTGGTCTTTCTTGCAATCTTTCATATTGAAGTGGATAATACTCTTTCTGATTCTGGATGAGTTGAAACAAAATGGCCAATTCTGTATGATACTTTCCATGCTTATCAAAGACATGAACATTTGTGAAAATATCAATCAATTCTGCAAGAGCTCCCCCATTTAAGTTCAGATTGTAATTTGTGCTAGGAACTATATGATCCATTATCTCAAAATTAAGTCTCTCCTTTTCACTCAAGGGGATAATTCCAAAATCTTTCAATTTTGTTTCAATTCTGTGATTCTTTGGGTACTTGGAAAGATTTTTGTAATACCAAAGAACTATTTTAGTATATTGAGCTGAAAAGTTCTCCATATATTCTGTTCCAAGACCTATTGGATAAAACAGAGTGGAATTGTGAATTGTCAGTGAAGATTTTACAGGCAATCTAAACCATACTTATTGCATACCTTTCAACATGTCCATAAATGGGAAATAATGCCACAATTCCAGAACATTCTTACTACTCAGATAGATTATCTTACTGCTGCCTTGTTGATAGAACTTGTAGGAATAGAAAATGTATCTTGCAAAATCCTTTATTGTATCATAATTTTCAAGCAGAGGTCCAAAATCCTGTGTATCTGTGATCTTATACTTGTAGAGGTAATACATTGTTTTGAAGATACTTCTTTGTAGGTATAGGAATTTGATATCAGGTGTTTTGATTTGCATGTGTGGCCTCATATCAACAGTGAGCCTTAAAAGTGATTCAAGCTTTTGTTTGTATTTTTGCTTCATTGCTTCAAACACTTCCCCTTGGAGAGCTGTCTGTGAATTTCTATTTCTGTCAAATATCAAGAAAGAAGCTGTATAATTTGAACATACAACCTCTATATGATCAAGCTTATACTAAAATGAGACTTACATTATCTCTCCCTCTTTTATGTCAGACAATTCAGCTTCTTCTATGTTGCTTTGCAAATCATGCAATATGACCACTATTGTGAAGAAATGATTGTCTCTTGAATTTTTTAATCGACCCTCTAGCCACCGGGAATGATGTGAAGATTCTAAGAATATTTTCAGGTCATCTCTGAGAGCTTTTTGATCTTCCTGCATCAATTCTGTCGGAAAGATTTAATGATATTCAGTGAGGGAATCGTATAACTGTGATAATGCGTTTATCGGCCGATCGATGAGTGATAAACATACTCTGCTTGTTTGCCTCAAATCTTACAGCCTCCCATGCTATTAGAATGTTGAAAATCAGTTTTTTTCTGTAATTCTGTTGTTGTTGTTAGTATCTAGTAGAATCTTACCATTTGACTCCATTCTTACACCTGAATTCTCAAGCTGGGCCATTAGGGCTACTTTCTGCAAGACATTTTGTTTTTCTTCGGAGGTGAAGGAACAGTCTTGGCTTCGAAGTATCTCAGTGACTGGGATCTTCGCTTCTTCTTTCTCTATCATATCATGTCCGTTTTGATTGGTTTGGTTAATTTGGAACGGTTTGTCAGCACACAAGTGAACATGTGGTTAGTAAAAAGGGACGAGTCTTTCAACATTTTCAGATGATTAAATTTAACATACTTTGTTCAATCAACGGCTGCTTCATTTCTTCTGATACGCCAGACCAACGAAGTCGGAAAAATCCACCTTGAACTCCGTGTGGGCAGCACGCAGCAAGCAGAAAAGCTACGAGGAGCTTGAGAGCAACTCCCATTGTAAATCTTTTTTTTAAAAAAATGCGTCTATATGGCCAGCGGATTGTGAGCAACCTCTGAATGAAGGTGACTAATTGGAGTTGAGATAGAACACTCGCGGTTGCGGTACGTGACTCGCAAGTTTGGCTGACTCCTTTGTGAGCAGTTGATAAAAAATGAAAATAAATGACCGCAGAGCCAACTGGCAAGAGTAGAAACTGGAACAAGCTAAGGTACGTGCACAAAATCAAGACTCGATTGACTCCCTACTTATTCCATGTGATTTTGCCACAGGGCAGCGGACGGTTTCAAATGCACTCCGACTTGTTTTCGCGCGAAGTAAATCATAAATCAGAAGCTGAAAGGTGGATAGCAGCCTGCGGCAAACAAAAATTTGCGTAGTCGGATCTGGTATAGACTTGAATCGAAAGTTTGCCGGCCCAATACTGATCCTCACAAATTGTGATCAGATGAGTGCAAACCGGCATGAGCCAGCAAGTTGACAAGCAAAGCTGGAACCTGTATGCTACAGAGCTAACAAAGTTTCCGCAGGCTGAACTTATCCTCAGCCAGCTCATCGTCCTACAAAACTGATCACCGGACTTTACACAAGCCCACAATTGTTGCTGTGAGCCACGCACTGCGCGATTGGTGAGACACTTGCCGCTCGACAGAGCTCGACTAATCGTGGAAGCCGCTTCACTGCGGGGGAAGTTCCTGAATTTCAAGAACGCCCGGATGGCGGTTCAGTTACGTACCCGATGCAGGCCGAACTTAAGCAAGGAGAGCCATTCATCTAGGCGGACGACGTCCCAGGTCTGCTCGCCGGAGCCAACAAGTATGTAGGAAAATGTGTCGACTGATGGGAATGCGTAAGGGAACAAACAAAATTCCACCGTGCTCTACTAGGGCAGCTCTTCCCGGCGACTGGTCAATTCACCTTCGGATTGGGTTGAGCTTGTAGCGTCTCGGGGCCCGCGGGGGGTCTAGTCAAGTTCAACAATTGGCTGGCCATTGGACACCCAGCAAGTTGCAACCTATCGAGACAAGTCAGCTGACGCAGTATCCTCAAGTAGGACAACGGTCAGCAGACACAATATCCCCTGTAAAGCTATAACACTCCCCGGCCGTTCAGCTCTCAACCACCCGCACAAGTTCGACTCCGATCGCAGTCATCCCCGATCTCAAACGCCCGGAGATGAAACTCTTCACCATTGCTGCGCTGGCTCTCGTCCTTTCGGTCATCTCCATCGTCAACTGCACCATTATCGTTTGTCACAGGTGCAAACGCCAATCTGCCTACGAAGTCGCGTCATTTAGGGCTCCCTGCGGACAAGAGCTGCGTCCTAATAGTGGTCAAATCTGTCAGGTAGAACGTAGCAAGAAACGTTATGTATGTCGCAATGACCAATGTCAATTGGGTGTAGAAGTAAACTGCCGCCAGACCGCGAAGACCCCCGTCGAAGAAAGATCAGTCACTAAAGGCTGTGCGCATGATCGAAACATCGTAGTAAGCGATCCACTATCCATTCGACCCCCGGTGCTGTTCGACTTCTTCCCCGAGAAAGACTAGGAGTAAAGGAACTTGGGCAAACAAGAGGAGATCTCTTGTTCAGACTATAGCAGTTGTAGTAGAAATTGTAGCATGAATTCACAGATTCACAAGACCCTTAAAATCCCTTTTGACACATGTTTTGTTTTTGTTCTCTTTTTCCTTCTACAGAGGGTTGGGTGGTACTATTTTTATTTGATGAAATTCAATGAAAATATGTATTTTGAAGTGTCTTGTTGTTTTCAACAGGAGGGCAATGGTGGATGTGCTTCCCCCTAAGCCCACTGACCATCCTTCTCATCTCACACGTTACATTATGAAAGCCTGTCCTATTGTTATCATATTGCCAATTGTGTAGTACTGGAATCAACATATGGATTGACATCATCATGTACTCATACCTTTTTGAATTCAAGTAAAGAACAGTAAAGCATTATAATAGACTTAACATTTGAGCCATTCAGTATTCGAATAATTAATAATGGAGTCTGTGAACAATGTGACACAGTGACATTGGCTACCATGAGGCATAGGATTGCCCAAATGGCTACCCCACATAAATTAATTATACCAGAGCTTGGAAGATTTAGGGTGAGTGGAGTGTTCACCTCCACCCAATTTTTTGGGAAAAGGTGCATCCAAAGTTGCATGTGTGTGGGGCAGGCATACTTTGGTGCATTTTTCCACAAAAACTGCTACAATGTGCTAAGTGCAGATTATAGTGCTGTTTAAACATTTCTCTCTCCCATTTGGAATCCAGATTCCAGTGCACTGTTAATATGTGGGATTAGTCAAAAATTCACATGTTGTGAAATGATACTCCATCAGAATTTCAATAGGAATATGAGACACTGCTATCTGAAGTCTAATTTTGGCTGATAGATAACAGCATGAGTTTTGTTGGCTTTCCTAACAATTGATGGGGGTAGGTTGACTCATTTCACCAAGGAAACTCCCATAAAGCACACATTCAATGATGAAAACCAAGAAAATAACATAACATGCTATGAAGAGCCACAAAAAGCTTGAATTTGATTTTGAACCAACAAGGTAATTCTAAACAGAACTATCTAATAATAAAATGATGATTCAACATGGAATTCCTTCTACTTCAATATTTATTTGCTTATTGATGGGATCCATCCAGAAAGTAGATACATTACTGGTGATTGAGAAACAAAACTTTCATAATATTCATGTAAATGTATTATCCTTGATTTCAAATTATTAATTCTATCCCTAATTGTATCACAATGAGTGTATCTGTAAAGTGGATCTTCTGGATGGATGGGCTTTACTTTATCCAATTTTTCTGATACAATAATTTGTAAGTACTTGGCAAGAATTTGGAGGTCTTTGATAGTTTTCTTTGATATCTCCACATTTTCTCTTGTATAGGGGGGGGGGCGCATCTTCCATTCAAATTGTTTGAACTTTGTTTTCAAGTGAATTTGAATGTTTTCAAGCTCTTCAATAAACTGAAAACTTGAGGACATCACATCAAACTTTTGCTCAAACCCATTTGGGTTTTCTTATAATCTTTCATATTGATGTGGATGATACTCTTTCTGATTCTGGATGAGCTGAAACAAAATGGCCAATTCTGTATGATGTTTTCCATGCTTATCAAACATGTGGACATTTGTAAAAAGATGAATTGATTCTGCAAGAGTTCTAACTTTTGAATTCAGATTGTAATTTTTGCTGTGAAGGGAATGATCCAATTTTTCAAAAGAGACTCTATCCTTTTCATTCAAGGGAATAATTCCAAAATCTTTCAATTTTGTTTCAATTCTGTGATTTTTTGGGTATTTGGGAAAATTCTGGTAATACCAAAGACCTAGTTTAGTATATTGAGTTGAAAAACTCTCCATTTCTTCTGTTCCAAGACCTATTGATGAATTAGGAGTAGAATTTTGAATATTTCACTCATGATTGTGTATCTGGCAATCTGAAAAATATTTATTGCTTACCTTTTAAAATGTCCACAAATGGGAAGTAATTACAATAGTTCAGAACATTCTTGCTACTTATAGAGATTATCTTACTGTTACCTTGTTGTGAAAACCTGTAGGAATGGAAAATATATTCTGCAAAATCCTTGATTGTGTCATACTTTTCAAATAGAGCTCCAAGATCCTTTGGAGATATGAGCTTATACTTGTAGAGGTAGTAGACTGTTTCAAACACACTTCTTTGTAGATATAGAAACTTTATCTTAGGCAATTCAACTTGAATATAAGGTCTCATATCAGCGGCTAGACTCAAAAGAGATGTAATTATTCTTTTGTACGTTTGGTTTATTGCTTCAGAACCTTTTCCTTGGAGATTTGTTTTAAAACTCCTGTTTTTTCCCATGTTCAAGAAATAAACACTCTAATTTACCCATCAAGATTATACTCCAGTGAAGATAAGACTTACCTGATTTCTACCTCCTTCATATAATATTTCTCAGCTTCTTCTATCTTATTTCTCAGTTCATTCAATCTTACAACTGCATCAAACAATTCATAATCTCCTGGATCTTCTAATTGCTCCTTGAACCACAGGGAATAATCTGGAGATTCTAAGGATTTTCTGAGGTCATCTCTAAGAGATTTCCAATCTTCCTGCATCAATCCTATTGGGAGTATTCAATGATATTTGGTAAATAAGTCACATAAAGCATTGATTGGCCAAAATAATAGTGATGGACACACTTTGCCGGTTTTCCTCAAATTGCCCATCCTCCAAAGCTATTTGAATTTTCAAAATTAGCCATCATTCAGTCTTTTTTATTTTATTTTGATCTTACTTTTTGAATCTATTTTTACACCTGAATTTCCAAGCTGGGCCATCACAGCTATTTTCTTCCTGACATTTTGTTTTTCTTCGGGGGTCAAATAAAAATTGTGGCTTTGAAGTATCTTGGTAACTGGGATGATTTCTTCTTCTGGGTCTATAATATCAGGTTCGTTCTCATCAGTTTGATTAAGATGTTAGACAATCAAATCTAACCTCTTCCCAATCAAAGGCTGTTTCATTTCTTCGGATGTGCCAGACCATCCAAATTGCAATAATCCACCCTAAACTATATGTAAGGAGCACATAGCAAGAAAAAAAGCTATGAGGTGCTTGAGAGAAACTCTCATTGTAAATTTCAACTTCTATTTGGTCCACAAATGATTAGAGTTGAGATAGAACACTCGGGGTTGCGGTACGGAACTCGCAAGATTGGTTAACTCCTTTGTGAGCAGTTGATAAAAAAATGAAAAGAAACTGGCCACAGAGCCAACCGACAACAGCAAAAACTGGAAAAGGCTATGGAATGCGCACAAAATCAAAGCTCTTTTGACTCCCTCCTTACACCATGTGAGTTTTCTACTGGACAGGTGCGGTCGGCTTCAAAGGAATAGCGTTTTTTTTTCGCATGAAACAATTCAGAAGCTGAAAAGTGGGTAGCATTCAAGATAAAAAATGTGCGCAGTCGCATCTCGTATAGTGTACTTGATAAAAAATGTGCGTAGTCGTATCTTTTATAGAATTGAAGCAAAAGTTTGTCGCGCTTGGCCTGCCATACTGATCATTGCAATTTGTGATGAGATGAGTGCAAACCATCATCAGTCATCAAGTGGATGAGTAATAAGAAAAGCTGGAATCTGAATGCTGCAGAGAGGAACAAAGTTGCCCCAGGCGGAACTTGTTGTGAGCCGGTCACACTCCACTCGTCCTGCAATAATGTTCATCCAACTTGACACGAGCCCCCAAATAAATTCCTTGCTGAAGAAGTCACTCACTGCGCGAATGGTGGGGCACTTCAAGTTTGACTGATGATTTGTGGCAACCTCTATGCGGGGGAAGTTCCTGAATTTTAAGACCGCCCGAGTGAGGGTTTAGTATGTACCCCCAAATGCACCAATGACGATGCAGGCGTCTTGCTCAAAAGTCCCCAATCCATCGAGGCGGACGACGTCCCAGGTCCCCACGGCGGAACCAACAAGGAGGAAAATATTGATGAGAGCGAATTGGAACAATCAAAATTCCACACAAGCAGAATCAGATGCCAAATGGATGTGTATGTCCCTGGCCTACCAGTACCGAGGCAGCTCTTGCCAGTGAGCTGGCCCATGCACCGAGGAAGGCAACTGATTCACGGGGAGCTGCTACAACTGGTACCACATTGTGGGGGTTGCCGTAATCGTGAGACAAAGAGGTGTAAGTTTCTTCACTTGGGGATGCATTCATGATGATCGATGGAGAGCTGGGATGAAGACAGACAGTCCGACCGATTTTAAAGCGTCACGGGCTCTCGCGTCAACGGCTCACCTCGCGAGGTTTCCCGGCCCGGACCTCTGAAACAAGGGATTGGGAATAAGTTATGATACATCGACACTTGGCTGGCCATTGCACACTGAGCAACCTAGCGCGACAAGTCAGATGACTCAGCCTCCTCAAGTAGGACAACGGTCAGCGAACACCTTACGCCAAGTAACACTCCTCAACCATCACTTCCCCCCAATTAGCACCACACAGTTCGACTCCTCCCGCAGGCATTTGTCGACCTGAAACACCAGAAAGATGAAACTCTCAATCATCGCATACACCGCCGTGCTGACTCTCGTCGGTTTGGCCGTCTCCGACGTCAGCGGACAAGTGACATGCGAGCTGTGCAAGGAATTAACTGCTGACCCACACATAAGCTACCGCCTTAAACCTCAAGCTGCCTGTGGGGAACCCCTTGATGGAGGCTTGACTTGTCAGATCCAACGCCCGAAGTTATACTATAAGTGTAAGCGATCCGAGTGTAGAGCGATCACCTCCATCAACGCCGTCCCAAATAAACGCGACTCCGCCACAATCAGACGCTTGCCTGTCGAAAATCGACCTTGCTTCCATGAAAATAAGATGGTGTATAGGGACCCAAAAGTCAAAAGAAAACCTGTTGTGCAATCAACTCAGAACCCAGTTGTATTCCATGACTTCCTTGGGCTAGCAGATAATAATCCTCATTAGGTAACCAAAGCAGACATTGTGTTCAGTTATTAGAAGTTGTGCTTCATGTCTTCATAGAATTGCAAGCCCCTCAAAACCTCTGTTGACATTTGCATGTTCATATTGTCCTTTCTCTTCTTTGTGTTGAATTGGGTGATGAGTATTTTTTTTGTAGAAATCCAAGGCTTTGTTGCACAGTCATAGCAGTTTAATTATTTGATTTCAGATACTGATAAAAGTAGTCCTGAAAGCAGAAGAAACCTATATGCTGCCTCTGTTGACTAGTGGTCCTGACATGCTGTGGTGTAAGGTAGAAGCAGTTGACTTTTGTATAGCTATATCCAGAGAAGATCAAAAGTTCATCCCCAAAACCCTGTAGTGAAAACTCTCTATTGGCCAGTTTGCTTGCCTTTTCCTCTCACTTGAGGGTGAGGTTTAGCTCCTGCTGCCAACTCAAGGTGATTAGCATCATCCGATTGGGTTTTTTGACAACAGTATTCTGCTTTCAGTGCATGAATTAGCTTTGTGGGTGCAAGGTTTGTTCATCATGCAGGAGACACAAGTTGACCAATCTTGCAGTAAAGAAGTGAGTATGGATGTAGAGCATATATGTCCTTGGGTGTGTAAAAATGATGCATTCAATTACTATCTTGAAACAGTATATTATAGAAACTCAATAGAAGTAATAACTGATAAATAAATGGTGGCTGTGGTTTTGGGCCTTGCAGTCCCTAGATGTGGGATAGGGACTGCGGTGGAGATGCTCTTAGGGACTTGCAACACTGTCTCCCAAAAATTGGGAAAACAACTGCCCACTTTTGGGGGCTCCCAAGGATCATCCTAGGATGTGAGTTTTTTTTTCATCTTTTAATGTTTATTTTTTCCTTTCACCCTGGGAGGTGTGGCCAAGTGCGCAGACAAATGACCTGCTTGTCAAGAGGGCAAGACCTCTTGATGAGCAGGTCAAATCAAATTGCCTGTGTGTGTCCGGCCACAACTCCCAAGGTGAAAGGAAAGAATTAGGAATAAATATGAATGAAAAAAAGACTCTCATCCCCCTTGGTACAATTGGGAAGAGTGATGAAATTTAAGTTGATGAGGGGAAAAAGTTGGCAGAGCCAAAAGCAGACAGAAGTCTGAGACAGGCTATTTATACTTAATCAAGCGGGCTTAAGTGCACTTGAGATTAAGACCTAGGGGAGGCTAAAGTGTCCACTTCGGACCAGTTCAAAATAACTACAACTGATGGTTCAATTACTTATTATCTAGAGCTCTTTAAGTAATCTAGATACGTGATTGATCAACTTGTGGGACAAAGTGATTCACATTGAATAAGGAAAAAAAATTCATAATCACTAGCAGAAAGGAGTGACATGTTTGTGAAAAGAAAGAGAAGGGAGATCAAGAACAGGTGAAATTCCAACAAAGAGGATTCACAGGACCATCCCAAGAGACCATTGAGAGTTGGTCCTTGGGCCATCCCCCAAATGTTGGGAGTCATTTTCCTAACTTTTGGGAGTTGATTTTCCAACTGAAGTAAGTCCCTTGTTTCATAATGTATGAGAAAAAGCAACCTGAGAGAGCATAAAAGGAAGCTTCAGAGGCACAAAACATAAAACAAAGCAATGAGATGTGGAGTGAGTCCCTATGGATTGATCGTGACTCCCCCGTGTCTTTCCGGTGATTCCCCCGTGGCTACCACACCTCTCTTGAATGAGCTGCTTCTTGTTTGTATGATGGTCTTTCTTCTCTTTTCTTTCCTCTCCTTTTCTTTCTTTCTTATCAAAACCAACACAAACAAGCTCAAGTCTCGCTCGACTTCCTCCTGTACATTATCGCTCAGTTATGGTTCCATTCAGTCTGCCATCCTTTGCTCCTTCTAACCTCCAACATAACCTGTTGTCCTATCTGGTCCGTCGTTTCCTAGGACCCTTACTCAAACATGGAGCACAATCCCTCGACCACCAGCTCAACACTCCCAATCAACCTGGAACTTTCAACCTCAAGGATGTCCAACTGGAACCAAAGGTCAAACATATTCTCACTTCTTCATCTTGAGTAATACCAATATTATCCTCAAATAAACTAAACTGACTCATTACAAAACATTTCTCGGTCTGCTTTTTTTTTCTTAGGCCCTTCAAGATCATCTTTCTGGATCATTATCTCCGTTCACGATTCAAGCAGTCTGCGTATCAGAACTATCACTTCAAATAAACTGGCCCTCATGGTCATTCTCCCTCCAAGGATACGTACCAGATGTCAAAGTGACACTCAAGGATATTCAACTCACCCTCGGCCTCACTGAAGAACATCAAGCCAATCATCAATCATCATCTCATCTGCTCAACAGTATCAACTTGGACGAAAACCTGGCGACGATCGCAAATGATTTTGTCAGCCAAGAATGGACGGATTCCTATGAGGATCAGCTCGAACAGGACTTCCCAGGCGCATTCACCACCGGCAAAACCAACCAGTCATCTACTTCGTCTATTGCCGACCAAGATCAGCGTGGATTCTTTGCCGGCTTAGTCCAAAAGATTTTAGCAAAATTCAACTTCGAACTCAACCATCTCACCGTTCTACTCCACCATCAAGATGTTCAAGTGCTCCTCTCGATCGACCACATCAAAAGCTTAGACCTGACCTCTGATGACGATCCCCATCCCTCAAGCTCTATCTCGCGAGAGATTCGGACTTCCTGTCCGGTCATCTACCTCAAACCTCTCTCAGATCAAGCTCAAGCCGATCCTTCCCCATCTCCTAACTCCTCATCAAATCAATCTTTTGACTCTGAACATGATATGTTGATGTCTCAAGCTACAGTCGATCTCCGTCGCCCTGCTCCCCTCTTCGTCTCGGTTGCTGAAACTCTAGATCCAATCGACCAGCAGCAGAACTCGCCTGAGAACACACCACAATCATCTCAATCAATCATCAAGTCTGAAAATATTCTGGCCGAATTCATCGGTACATCATCAACAAATGCATCCAAGTCATCACCAGAACCTCCTATCTCACCTGAAGAAAACTCCTCAGAAGAAGAAGAAGGCACAAAAGAATTATTAGATCCAAAGAACTCGCTCAGGTTTCTTTTCTGGCTCGTCAATAGCATCTCATCTAATTCAGCTGAAGAAAGCAAACCTGACAGCATCAAGCCTGATTCAACCGGCCTTCCTAGTCAAGATGCGACACCGCAGTCCAACATTCAACGTTCTCAGCTGAACATTCAGATCCATCTTCCAATCGTAGCTGTTTCGATCCGATTACCTCACCATCTGAATGCCCTGACTCGACTTATTTCAACAATACCCTTAACATCCGCCAGTTCCCAAGCCAACCGTCCAACGCCCACATCAGAAGCCACATCATCGTTGGCGATCTCTGTGACACTCAGATTACAAGAGCTCAATTGCACCCTAGCTTTCCCGACTCCATACCATCAATCAACCACCGGTCATGAACAACTGTCGTCTCTAAGCGTCCAAGCAACGGTGATCAAGTTAGGCTACCAGAATACCTCATCTGTGCGTCCAGGTTCTGACGAAAAACAGCCCACATCCGAAGTTACGATCCGGGTAGACCAGGTCCAAGGTCGATCTGAAATCTTACACACCCCATCATCATCGCCAACCAGACTTCATTCCGCATTCCTTCTAGCCCCCGCTCGCGATGATCATCCTAGTCCGGCTGTCTCTATCTCGCAAACCGTCGAGACCTTGCAGATCTTATTCAGCTCGATTTGGGTGAACTTGGACCTCGAAGTAGTGGCGATTTTGATCCCCGTATTCGAAGCTGTCCAGGCATCCTTCATCGCCAATCGTCCTGACTGGAATGAGTCTTTTGGCGACGAGGAGAGGGGGGATCCAATCACCGACCCTCATTCGCACGAGCAAGGAGAATCTTCGCGCTCGAAAGAGAGCCAACACAAGCAGACGACGACGACGGTCTCGATTCCCAGTCTGTACATGGACATCAAGGCGCCCACTCATCGGGCCCCATCGACCAGTCGAAGGCCCTCCGAACTTGTCCTAGGATCGGTGCTCAAGAGCGTCCAGATGATCCTGACATCGGAGCGCCAGATCGGCGGCTCGGTCTTCGAAGTCGCGCTGGGCTTCCGCGTCGCCAAGACTAAAGACGCCCGACTGCATCCCGCCCTGGAGCCTTTCTTGGGCATCGCTCATCCTACCATCCCGGCCTCTTTGGACCAGCAACACCGGTTTCCCGGCCTCCGTCTGACTCACATCCTTCCCCCTCCTTCTCCTCTGAAATTTGGACATCCTCCAACACTCAGAAAACCCAGCTCTTTGAAACTCGAAAATGTGACGATCGATTTATCTAAAGATCAGTTCGATCGACTCCAGTATTGGATCGACGATCTTGGCCGATGGGCCAACGATCTCTTCGCCCCTTCTTCTTCTTCTTCGTCTCTTCTTCTTGATCCTCCTCCTCCTGCTCGTCCGAACCACAAACTAGCTAAAGAAGCCGTCTCAAAACCTCGACAAGAAAGACAGAAAACAAAGGATCGTAATGATAATAATGGCCACAAAGATCAAGAAGAGGGAGGAGAAAACGTATTAGGAACGTTGATGGTGTCGAAGATCGCACTGACAATTCGTCTCCCATCGGACAATCTCGACTCCACTCAACGAAAACAACAAAAACAACAACACCAAGAACAACCTCTCAAACTTTTGATTCAATTAGATTCTCTGTCGATTATTCAGTCTCGATTGTCCGTGAACAAGAAAGGTCCTTTCGACTCGCAGATCCGGCTGCTCATTCGCGCTTGCTCGGCTTCCCTTCTTCCCTCTTCTCAACCTCCTTCTTCTTCGACTTCTTCTTCGGCTACTACTGCTGCTAATGCTAATGCGACTGCTGCTGCTGCTGCCCCTGGTTTGTCGATCTTGTATCAATCGTTTCCGAATCTCCCTCGTTCTTCTGTAAGTCCTTCCTTTTCTTCACCTCCTCCTTAACATCCCATTCTTTCATCTACATCACAAAGAAAACATTCTAACTGGGTTTTTATTGTTAATGTTATAGGATGTCGCAGCGGTCTCGATGATAATCTTAACTTCCCAACCACAGAATAATTCTCGGAAGAATAATGGCGAGGATGATCAGTCAGAGGTGAAAAAGATGGACGTTCATTTGAAAGTCGTGCATTCGACCGTTCGGCTTGGTCCGTGTTGTGTCTGGACCTCCCAGCTCGCCCGGTTCCTCAAAGCGCCTGTCGGCGTAAGTCTATCTTCCATCTGACGGTTTTGTCTTCATACATATCAATATTGAGTTTGATGATGAATGAATTTTTGAAAATCTAGGTCTTCGAGGCTGTAGGGCCCGAGTACGAGTCGCGGATAAAGGTGGACTTGGAAGGATGTGCGATTGAGCTTGTGACCCCATCATCCATCTCCCCTTCTACCTCTTCCACTTCAACTGCTACTACGACACCAACGACAGCAACAACGACAAGAACAGCTGCTTTAGGAGGCGACGAGCTCCTTGACAAAGCTGCCTCTCCCTTCATCCTCCGCATCCTTGCTCCTCGTGCTCGTCTTGTCCTCCACTTGGATCCTACCGCCACTCTCATCTCGCCTTCGTTGGACGCGTCGTTTCTGGTCCAACTGGCCGAAGCTGTCCCTTCTGATCAAGTTGCGTTTTTTTTTTTTGGCGGGGGGGTCTTGAATAAAAAATCGGAAACTTATGGATGTTGATTTTATTTTTTTCCTCTCTTGGTCGTTCGTTCGGGGTGCCTTTTTATAGGTAAGCTTTGCTCCGTTAATCGAGTTGAATGATCTTCGCATCTCGTTCGTTTATTCGTGGGACTCTAATCGCCCTATTTGTCGAGTTGAGTTTCATTTTTCTCCTCCTTTTTTTTCTCCCTCCCTTTTTTTACGAAGTCAAAAAAAATCTTCTTCTTGCTTTGACAAGAGTAAAAAAACGCCAATTCAAATGTTAATGTTTTTTCTTTGCAAAAAATGTTTGTTTACAGATGACTTTGAATCGGGGTAATCTTACGGTCTCGTTTTGTGCGGATTCGGCTGATAGTCTTGTGGAAGTTCTTTCAAAACTATCGGAGATTTCTTTTCAACCCAAGAAACCAAATCCGTCAGTCTCTTCTCTTTTTCACACCTATATAATCTCATATTTGTTTCCTAATTGAGTATTTTTCTCTTTTTTTTTGAAGGTCTGTTGATCAAGTGAAAGTCTCCCCAAGTGTTCAACGGGTTGAAGATCCGATAGTCGCATCAACCATGCTGAGTAAGTCTCCCTTGTCTTATTGCGAACGAGGATTTCTCCCAGTGGACAATTAATTGATGATTTTGGCAATGATAGGGTCGGCGATGAGAGAATCATCTTCTGCTTCGAGGACTATCCTCATCCAAAAAGATGAAGATCTTGCAGAAGAAGATTACCCGACTGATGTCGCCTTTCTCGATCAGACTCGACCCGCTTCCTCTCACCGTCACCACCACCACCATCACCATCATCCGCTGGTCAACCAAAGCGCGCCTGCTATTCTTCGTCCTCTTGCGGGTCAAGGCCTCAATATTATTGATGATTATCTGTTGAAAACTCCAACCGCTTCGAAGGTGTCACGCCAGTAAGCCAAATATCTCGCTCATTTGCTTTATATGCCAAGCTGATGAGTATTTTGTTTTCTCTTCGAACAGGCCGATTGAAACTGAGGTTCAGGTGGAACATCTAGATGTCTTGGTCAGATTTTACGACGGCTATGACTGGAACTCGACCCGGCAGACGATCCAACAGGCGCAAAAGACTGTCCGCAAGAGGTTACAGAAGATTCGGCAGCTGTTGGCGACTGGAAATCCAGCGGATGCTCGCTCGATGGAGGAAGATTTGGGACCTACGACGTTGTTCAAGTCGGTCCAGCTTGGTTTGGATTCGTCCACGCGAGGTCTTAGCACCGCCCAGTTGCTCGACGCGATCGACGATCAATTAGAGAAAGAGCCCGCAGAGCCCGTCGGCGATGAAGCGGAGAGTATGACGGGCAGTTGGCAGTCGTTGGCCGCTCATCCGTCGAAGGACCTTCCCCACCCTCGTCTGGTCTCTGTCCCATCCTCTAAGCAGCGACACTTAGGCAGATCCGCACAACCGATGTTGAAGATCGTGCTGAATGGAGTCCAGGGACATTTCCGGAAATATCAAGAGACTGCCCCTCAGGCCGATCAAAACAGGAAGAATGATCGATCGAACAACGAATGTAGATTGAGTAGTCTTCAACTCAAAACCGACGCGCTTACGATCATTGATAACATTCCCACATCCACCTGGAAAAAGTTCTTGACCGAACTCAGGCCTGGCGAGGGCGGCTTGATGCGGCCAACCGATGCCCCCATGCTTCGGCTCAAATTCCTCATTACCCCTTCCGCTCAAGACTCTCGTCTTAAAGAGGCTATCATCAAACTTAAAATCTCTCCCCTTAGACTTTATGTGGATCAGGATGCCGTCGACTTCTTGAAGACTTTCTTTGCCTTCCAAAAACATTCTTCTTCTGCCACTGGCTCGTCTCCTCCTATTTCATCCGCATCCGATCCACCCGCACCATCACCTGATGGACTGTTTTTTCGTAAGTTTCATTAATATCAATTGATCAACTTGAGATGACCTGTTTTTTGATGATGATCATTGTTGTTATCTGCAGAACGTGTTGAGATCTTGCCGATTCGAATCAAGCTGGACTACAAACCTAAACGGGTTAATTACATGGCTCTCAAGGAAGGCAAAACGATCGAATTGATGAACTTTTTCCACTTTGAAGGATCGGATATGGTATTAAGACATGCCACTTTAACCGGAGTGGGTGGATTAATTTCTCTTGTCTCTTGAGGGAAAGACCCATCGCAGGAAAACGATTAATTAGTATTTTCTATTTTGAATCGGAATGGAATGCAATTATTTAGATCTCAAAGGCGAGTAAGATAGGAGAAATGTTACAAGAGATTTGGACGCCAGATGTGAAAGCAAACCAACTAGCAGATGTGATCTCGGGGATAGCGCCGGTCCGATCGGTCGTCAATCTGGGGACGGGGATAGCGGATTTAGTGTTACTACCAATCGAGGAGATGAAGAAGAAAGACGGACGATTGAGTCGGGGGCTCCAGAAGGGCACGAGCTCGTTTGCCAAAAATACGACGTTGGAGATGATCAAACTGGGCGCCAGATTGGCGATCGGAACCCAAGTGATTCTCGAAAAAGCTGAATCGATGCTCGGCGCTAAGCTCACTAATGATCAGCTTTGCGGCGAAACTATTGACCATCTTCATCATCTTACTACTCCTAATCCGAACGATCATTCCCTCGATCATAATACCAATAGTCCTCATCTTCTTCTTCAGGATCATGAACATTTCAGTAAATATGCCCTCCAACCTTCCGATTTCAAATCCGGCGCTCAATCCGCTTATCATCATCTAAGAGACAACTTCCGTTCGACCGCTCAAACAATCTTAGCAGTCCCTTTAGAAGTCTTCAACGAAGTAAGTACCTCCAAATTAATGCAGCTATTTAAACAAGGATCATTGATGATTGAATTGTATTGTGGATGTGTATAAAGGGATCAGGACAAGCAGTCGTCAAGGCTATCCCGATCGCCATCCTTCATCCTATGGTCGGCGCTACTGGCGCAATCAGTAAGACTCTCTTGGGCCTTCATAACTCTTTGGACCCGCTCGGATCTACCTCTCATCTGCTCGATAAATATAAGCAACAACAGCATCATCCTTCTTCTTCTTCTCCTTCTTCTTCGTCAAACTCTCATGCTCTTCACGATCCTGCTGGACGACATCATCATCATTCTCCTTCTTCGTCCTGATTCTGATCCTGATTCTTCAGATCGTTTCACTTAAAACTGTTACATCGAAAAAAAAAAAAAAACAATCATCCGCAAACTGATTTCCTTTCCTTCTCATCTACCTGAGTTCCTCCAAAAAGCCCCTCTGAACCTCAAAAAGAAAAAAAATCCTAACTTATTTTTTTTGACCTTGCACAAATACCTTCTTCTCTTTATCCTTCGTATGTTATCATTTCTCTTTTTTCAAAGAAAAGATAGCTACATGCTTCAAATTCAATCAAACTTATGCAAATCAATGTGATACTATTTGCACCAATCATATGGACACAAACAAAAGATGATATCTATTAACTATGTATGTACCCAAATCTTTACATTCTTCCTATTTTTCCCCCCTTTAGCTGGGTTTGCTCCAGCTGTGTAGATATGTGTTGTGGGTCTTGTAGTTGTGTTACTGTTGTATTCTTCTTCTCGTTTCTTTTGTTGTGTCACTTACCCCCCTTTCAAGCAATGCAATGTCATACAACATTTTTTGCGTGTGTTTTTCCCATTGGGGGTTTTACTTGATCGGGATCAGTGGCCATGCTTTGGTGTCCTCAAAGGTGCGTTTTCTTGCATGCTGAGATTCTTTGTTTTTGATATCTATCCCCCCCCCCCAAGTCATTTGTTATGTTTGCTTGGATATCGTTTGTTGTCCCTTTGTCTTGAAATCTTTTCCTTCTCTCTTACGGGAAGAATGTGCTTGAATTTAAATGAGCAAAATGAAATAAATTAATTAACTATTACATTTTTTTTTGAAACAAAAAAGTGGATGATGATGATGGGGTCATATTCTATGTTAAGAGAAAGAGAAAGAGAGAGATGGTGATCTATAACAATGGAAAGGAACGAGGAAGAACGAAAAAAAATGTGGTATGGTTTGGGGTTTTCTTGTTTCACAAGATGAACCAGAAAGATTAATACGAAAAGGTAGGGGGATATGTACAGAAAGCCAGTGATTTGACGTGGGATTAGGAATAGAAGCTGCTCAAGAATCGTCGGGGCGATGATCGACCTTCCAGCCGACGCCGAGGCCGTCCCTGAACTCGCGGCGGACACAGAGGTGTTCGGTGAGCAGGATCTGCAGGACGGCGGAGAGGAGCAGGACGAAGTAGAACCATAGCGACGACGGCAGATGGGCCGAATAGTATGTGCTCAGGATCAGGTGGTTCAGACAGATCGTCAAGGAGTGGTCCATGATTTGCTTCGGCCTTCTTACAATCTCGTATAATATTAATACCCTTCCAAAAACAAAAACATTCTTCCTTTTTCGTTAGTTTTTATATAGCTGTCATTGTAAAGAGAAAAAAAAAAGAGAAAGAGAGGGAGAGAGAGATGGGTGATGTACCCTATTAGTGAGGATATTAACCATGCTGAGGAGATCACCCAGGATCGATTCGAATCATAATAAAGCTCGGCATGGCGGGCAGAGTAGTTCAAGTTTTGGGGGACCCAATCGGGGCCGAGTCCGCGGGAGATTTTATCGAGCAAGCCGGGATCAGCCGAGGAATCGGGGGTAGAAGAATTGAGATGAGAATGTTGAGGGTTTGGTGGATGATTGAGGAGAGAGGGAAGTCGATTACCGATTCTGAACGGTTTACGGCCGAGGGAGTTAGGCAATCTGCCGAACCCGGCGGCGCCGTCGAGCCGATGAGCGTGTGGGGAATGCAAGGTAGTCGCGCCGGCCATGGCTCTCCAATCGATGATCATTGCGACGTTCTGGGAGCCTCCTTCGAGTTCGAGCTGGTCGGGTCTAGCGAAGGCGCGTAGGAGCGGAGGGGTGATGAGCGAGAGGAGCAGGTAATGGAGCGCCTGGATGGCCAGGATCTGCGAGATTATCAGCACCGGATCCCACCCCTGGATCCGGAACTTGCGCGTATCTGACTTCCAGTTCGTCTGCCCTTGTTTCGCCGGCGGATGGTAATGGTGGTGGTCTTGTTGTGCTGCTTGGCCCGTCGGTCCGGCTGCTGCTGTTGTTGTTGTTGGGCCGCCATGTAGGAGTGGGGTGGGGTCGTAACTGGTGATGATCGGGGATAGTTCTTCCTCCGTCTCGCTGTTCGTTTCCTGGATATTCTTGCTCGAGTTCATCCTTTCCTTCTCTTTCTCTTTCCGTTTTCCTTTTTACCGTTTCCGTTTCCGTTTCCGTTTCCGTTGATGTGTGGTGGTGATGCTTCGTTGTTTTTCTGGTTCGTTGGAAGTTTGCAACACTTTGAGACTTCCGATTGAGTTTCCAGCTCACCGGGCCTGGGCTCACAACAACAGGCCCGCCCAGGAGTAATCACAATGATGATGACAGCGCTTCGACCACTGACACACCTCATGGCCAGATCCTAGCTTAGCACAATCCCCTCGTTCCAGAGGGACGGGGGAATTTGTTAAGCTAGGGCCAGATCGAAGTTTGACACCCAATGCACACCAATGTTGCAAGTACCACTAGGTGGAAGAAAGATTTCCTTATTCAGACTCCAGAGTCAAGGACTACAGCAATCAATCACTAGGAAAGAAAACCCCTTGATCAGGATCCAAGTGGGTCGGGTCGACCCGCCGGGTCACGGGGCGGGTTTGAGCAGGCTAGGGTTGAAAGTTGACCCGACCCGGATTCAACCCAACGGGTCGGCGGGGCGGGTATGATCAGCACAGATTGTATTCGGGTCGGCATGAGATTGACCGACTGACCTGATTGAAAGCAATTAACTGATTATTTGCTGGGTTGACCCAGACCCGACCCAACCCGAGGCACTGTGTATTTGGGCCGGGTTTGGTCAACATTTTATCATTTTTGCCCCGACCTGCCCGCCCCGCCCTGAGAATTTGTCGGGGCGGGTTTGGTCACCATTTTTTGACCCAAACCCGGGCCATTTGGAACCTGACCCCTTGATGATCAAGCTGATTCCAGACTTGAGTCCAGTGCAAGCTCACAACTGGAACTTCACACAAAACATGATACCAATGCTATTACACATTCTTGATGCCAGATGGTCAAGGGGAATGGATATCTTGAGATCACAATTCTTGTCCCATGATTAATGGTTCAAGCATAATCATGAGCAATGTCTAGCACAAGTTAAAAAATCCATTGGCACAAGCAAGTAGCGATTTCTCAAGTATTTGTAGGCTCAAAAGGAGGTTCACTGAACCACGTATAACAATGATGTATGTGCAAGTCTGGTCTTCATTTCTGAGTTTATACAAAAATACTTGCAAAGCGGAGTGATCACAAAAAGATCAGTACTTGATGCTCAAGTATACATGTAGCTGCTCAAGAGCACAATGTTTGGGGTTTCAATTGCTCCCCTGTAGTATATTTGGAAAACAAAACTGAAGCTGATCGTGGGATTCACTTAATTGTGTGGCCCAGCCGGCATTCCAGGTGTGCCTATTGCAGTTTGAGAGGGGACTGGGAGTGGAGGACGATAGCCATCCCTTTTGCCAAAGTCAAGGATTGCCTTGGGGAAAGAAATAAGAAAAGAAAAAAGTATTGATCATTTTTAGTATCATTTGTCCATCCATCCAAGAAACATGTAAATGCCTTCCTTCTTCTTAAGGACAGGGGGGGGGGGGGGGAATTAAATAAAAAAAGATTCACTTTAGCTTTGTCTTTGAGATTGGGCACCGGTTTAGCGATCACACTCGACATAATAACCACCATGAAGAGCGGGATGAAGAAGGAGAAGGTCACGTGCATTCTGTTGTCCAAACTGCTGCCAAGGGAAAAGAAGAAGAAGAAGAAGAAGAAGAAGGAGCAAGTGAGGAGTGTGAACTGATTGGGCACATTATAAACATTGAACAAATGCTTACATCGGGTGAGGTTCTTGATAAACCTGAGGTGGATGCTGGTGGATGAGGTCGTCTTTGGTGAGCAGAAATTCGGAGCTACAGCAAGCCAAATCCGGCCGCCCTACTTATAATGGACCAGGCGCTCATTGACGAGACCTCCCATCCTCAAATTCTCATGACAACTACGGACATGCTGTGCAAGGGTTCTCACAAAAACTTGGTTTCTCAACATTCAAGATAGATATGTACGTAGTTTTTTTTTGCTTGGCCTGCGAGAAATCAACTGTCAGGCCGTTTGTTTTAATTGGTCGGACTAGCAGCTGGGCTGCTCCTGCTACTAGAATCATGGGAAACTGCATATCGCCCAAAGCTGGTTTGGGGAAAGATGTTCAGGCTCACATGTGGGCTTCCCCACTCATCCAAAAGTTACAAAGAGGTCTTCGTAAACGCAGATAAATGTGTGTCGATATTTGAGTACAAAAAGGGAGGTTTAATCGACCATTTTGACGATGCATGAAAGTCTGTCTTCATTTCTGGGACAAGAAAATCCTTGCGACACAGGTGTGTATGGGGTTACAAAAAGCGGTTTGATTGCTCCCAACATATTTCAGAAGAATATTCAAAAAAAAGGCGAAGTGATTTGAGGAATTCACTTAGTGCGGCCCGGTCGGAGTTCCTGGCGTACCAATAGCAGTTGGAGATTTTTTAGGGATTGGAGGACGAACACCGTTGTCCCTTTTTCTGAATTCGATGGCCTTGATAAAGAAAGAAAAGATTTAAGTGCTCGTCAGCATCATTTGTCCATGAGCATTTTTTTTTTTTTTGAGAAAGGAAGGGAGAATAGATAAGAATACAAGATTGGTGAACAAGGAGAAACATTTACCTTGGTTTTGCCTTCAAAACTGGGAACCGGTTTAGCCATCATACTCGATATAATGACCAAGGTGAAAAGTGAGATGAAGGAAGATATCAAGCGCATTTTTCTGTATGGCTTCTAATTGGAAAAATCAAAATGAAAAGAAGCATGTGAAAATTGTTAACTTTTGGACCTCATAAGTTGTAAAAACCAAGGTGTGTTATTTTTAGCTTACATGGGGTGAATTTAAGATAAAATTGAGAGGTGGATGAAGGCGTTTTTGAATGGGTGGTTGGGAGGATTGGAGCCAATGAAGGATCATTCCAGAGGCCTTGATTAAATAAGCGCAAGTCACAAGCTCCTGTCGGTTGCCTCCTTGATCAGGTTACCGGGTTTCATGGAAACTTAAGTATGGTAGGTACTACTCACCGCGTCGGTAACTTCAGTCAGAGTTAAAAGTAAATATTGCTGTACCACATTGACTTGATTGAGTCTATGTTCTTGACCGGCTCCGGTTTCTCTGGTTCTGCTTGGTTTCCTCTTTGAGATTGAAAACCGGAGCCCGGGTGTTGAAGCCTCAGCTTACTACAACACACTCCTCATTACCAGACCTGTTTCTCAGTAAAAATCAAGCACCCTAGGTGAAGTCACATCATAGCACTATTAATTCCTTAGAGACTAGTGATGATGCCTTAGAGACCAAGATTGGTGAGGGATCAGCTCCTTGATAAGGATAGAAAAGATAGATGCTCCTCCTGACATAAGAGTTAGAAGCAAGACAAGTAGCCTAGTAGGCACCCCCCCCCCCCATTCCAGCGACACATCCTGTCAGAAGCAGAAAATTCAACCATCTCATCCAACCACATTCTAGTTTCCCCTTCCAGCCTTTTTCACAAGCTTTCCCACCCTCCTGAATTATTTGTGTTTTTTGTGCTTCAGTATGTTGAGGGGGTGGTCCTAGCACTTCCCTCCCTTCACTCTAGTGTGGCTTGAATTTCTTTCCGTTTTTGTCCACTTGGCAGTGTTTTGTGCTTTGGTTACTTCACAGAAGCGCACCTCACCAATGTGAATTTGGGGTGAATCCAAGCCACTCACTCACAACCCTGACTTGGATTTACTTGGTGGATCAGAGACTTATCAACCAGTAGGACCCAGGATATTGAGAAAATATTCCTGTGAAACCCATTGTAGATTCTAAAAAAAATAGAAGAGGAAAAATGATGGAATAGATGGGAAGGTAGAAAGAACAGAGGAACAGATCAAAAGAGTCAAAAAGCCCAAGTCACTGTACTCCAACACTAGTTATAGTAAAGTAGGCTAACAGGCTTGGTGAGTATTGTGTTTTATCCATCTTAATCTCACAATCCAATCCTCAGGAGGATCCTATATATTGTTCAGATCGTGACTTCAGAGGAGCTTTGACAGATTTGGGAGCTCTTAGTGTGTCTCAAATTGTGAGAAGTTTATCTGTTTGGAGACAACTTCTCCAGCCCTTTCTTGAAACAGTATGGACAATGCCTTATGGCAGCCTTTTGGTGTGTTGAGGTAGTTCCTTGTCACACTTGAGGCTGACAAATCTTATGACCACATAGGATGATCAAAAGGGTCTACAAGCTGCTCTGGTTTGAAATATGAATTTGTTTTCCATCATTTCCACTTCATGACAGGACCCTGGAAAGGCCCCCAATAGGGGGGTGTTGCAAAAGGTATGCTAAGTGGGCAAAAATCCCAGAAACATACTCTTGAAGAGGGTTGAAAAGGTATGAATTGGTATTTTGGGACAAAATGTTACTCTTGCAATTGCTCATTTTAGGTATGTGAAATGGGCCAAAACCAGCAAAGAGGGTTTTCTAGGGAAACAAATCTTTTCAGGGGATTTTGGTCCAAGGATTCTCTTCAAAAAAGTATTAATTTCCCTGAAAGGAGGTACAAATTCTGACAAGATCCAGACTTTTTACAAACCCTCTAATAAGGTGCTAATAAGGTGCTTGCTGTGGTCCTTTCATTACCATCTGCTGGTCAATGGAAGTGGCTTGGGGGTGTTTTAATCCTTGGGCCCTATCTGACATCTAACAAGATAAATTTTTCAAAATGATAGTCAAACCATAATGGGTCCAAACTTTTGACAGACGTGGATGTACTAGTATATTCACTTGAAAGAAAGTGGCAAGTCTGGCATTCAAATCATGACTTACCTGCACCTACAAAAAATGAAATGTGGTGTAGATGAGACAAATTCCAATGAGATCAAACCGACTCATATTTCAAAAAAAATATGATTGAAAATCATCAAGTGGTCATAGAGTTATCATTATCTTTCAACAAAAAGTAAACATTAAGCCCAAGTGGCATTTGTCTTTTTGTGGCAGGAGTACATGAGAAGAGGAAATACAACATTTTTTTGATCAGAAATAATTAGAAAGGATATAAATTATGGATGGAGGAATGAAAATTAGAAATATCTGGCTAGGACATAGGTATATCATTTGAGTAATCAAGAGCTCTTGATGCCAAAAAAAGGAAAGAAGGACATGCAAAGAAAATTATTAGTTAAGGGGGAGGTACAGATGGAAAGGCTATATAAAGTGCCGTTTTATGTTCATCGTTTGCAGGGAGAAAGTTCGGGACTATTGCTGCATTTTTTATGACACTGAAAAATAATGTAACGAGGCAATTTTAGTGAGACTGCTCAAAGATCCAGGAGTGACTTTGGAGTTGTGGGTAAAAAAAAATCGCGCTTACATTTTCGCCACAATCGTCACATCGCAAGAATGTCTTTCTTGAGCCAATTTGTTTATGACAAGCTCCGCACAACTTTTCGGTCTTCGGCTCTTGAGATGGCGAGTCTTTGTGATTCAAGTTAAGGAGTTTAGCGAGCCAATGCGATTTGACGATTGTGAACCGATGCGGTAATAAGGTGAGCGACTTGCCCTCGCCTTCCGCCTCAGATTGTAACAACGGTTCGGATTCAGAGCAGGTTTGACGATTAAATTTGAACATGTCCGGGACTATGGTCAGGGTGCTACCTAGTGGACTTTTGAATACTTGCGGTTCATCTCCCCTAAAGTGTGGGTTTCTGGGGGTTCTGTCTGGCGAAACAGGGGCACTCAGATCGGCTTTTGAGTTATCAAGTTCCGAATTTGAACCTTGAATAATATTGCAAGCCTGGTCTAGTTCCTTCATAGCCAGTTTAAAGGAATCGCTGGTGGATGAAGCAGTGTTGCTTTTGCTGGGTATGGTTGGGATGCTACCCAACTGAGAAAGAATGAACTCTGAAACTCCCGGAGCATCAAGAATTTCGGGAATAGGAGACTCTGAGGGAGTTGATTCAGTCGAAGCCGTTGAGGACGAACGAACTAATTTATCTTCTGTGGTGGGCATGTTGGTGGCCAAGTTCTCTGTTGATTGGAGTGGCTTCAAAAACGCCGAAGGAAAGGTCTTCCTCACACTCACTGGACCAGGCATCTTGAGAGTAGACCCAAAAAAGTCCGCTGTCAGAGCTGTGTCCTTCTTCAGGTTGATCAGAGGCAACAGGCGGGGATCAATGAAGAAAGAATCAATTCCGAAATCAATTATTGACTTGGAGTTGAACGGTTCCTTGTCTTCCAGACAGCTGAGTTTGAGTTGAAGGTTAGGGTCCAGGGTGGATGTGGTGGCCATGGCAGTTTTGGGTATGATGACTTGTCCGTGGAAGCTCGGCATGCGCTTGAAGCTATATTTGCCCACGAGTTTGACGTTCGATTTAGCAAATTTCAAGCTACCGACCGCAGGGACAGTGTTTTGTTTAGCACGCGCTTCATCTTTTTCACCGGCTAATTTTTGATGCTCTTGATGAATGATGAGCTGTTCGATGGAATCCAGTGCAGATAAAATTTCTTTAAGAGTCGGTCTTGAATGACGATCCACTTGGGTGCAACGAAGACTGAGCTCGATGAAAGTTTTGGGACAACCAGCAGATTGAGCTTCTAAGAGCGAGGTGACATCCGAGGATTTTATCGAGTATCTCGGTGGAGCTCGTTGAAGGAATGCAGATTCATCGTAAATGCTGTTGCTACTGTTACAGACACCGGCCAGCTTCATTGAAATCAATTCGCAAAATATTATTCCTAGACTGTAAACGTCCGTCGATAGGTCAAAAGGAGCACCTCGGAGTATTTCTGGTGACATGTACTAAAAAGTGGCGGAAGGCAAACATTAGAGATCACGTTAATTAAGGAATTGATTGGAGGTGAGAAGCATAACTTACACCATCGGTTCCGCAAAAGCTCAATTGTCTAACTTCTTCTGCAGTTCTGGCCTCGAACCTCGCTAAGCCAAAATCGCACAACTTGACACGGAAATTTTCAGTTAACAAGCAATTATCAAGTTTTAGATCCCGATGTAAACATTTCCTTTCGTGCAAGTAGGCCACGGCGCGAGCAATGTCGATTGCGAACGATATCCTTAGTCTCCAGGATAATGGGTCAGAATTCATCACGTTTGCACGTGAATTTAAATAATTGCGAAGGTTTCCCTTGGGCACCTGTTGATACATTCGAATCAATATTCTTTATAATTGATGATAGGAAAAGAGAAGTGGCACGAACATATTCACTGATGATCAGCACACGCGATTTCTTAGCGTTTTTACGCGGTTTCTTTTTCCCGTAGAGGAATTCGTCTTCGCGTTGAGTTTCAGAATAACCCTCTGGATTGTTTTCAATTGATGGTGGAGCAAGACAGAGTCCAAGGTATTGTACAATGTTAGGATGACGAGCCTCTCGTAAGATCTTGCATTCTCTCGCAAAGTACTTCTCCACTGAGAATCAATAATGAACAAGCCGGGCGAGCAAGGAAGGAGAAACAGTCAGGACTTTAAAACAACTGAGCTTCATGGAATGTATGACCTACCATCATAGTCCGTGCGCGGAATGATTTCCTTAATGGCTACGGGAAGGCCAAGATACTGGGCTCGATAGACACTCCCAAATGAACCTTCTCCAAGTTTAGTCCAGGAGCTTTCAATCGATAGATCCTCAAATTTGATGACATCGAACCGGGCGTTGGTTGCGACAGAAGCTTGATCCATATTTCTGTGAGCGTCGGAGTGAGGGATAAGAAGAAGTATTCTTGAAATATGTAAGTCGGTTGGCGAGGCAACTTGAGGAAATAGATGACAAAGTTATTGGTGAGTGTGAGGGAGGGTATTGTCTCCAAAGAGATTTTTGACGAGATTAAGGGGAATGGCGAGTAGCTCAAAGAGGTTGGAGTTCCAGCGGTTGGCAGAATGGTGTTGACTTACTCTTGAAGGCTAGAAAGGGAAGCTATAAATAGGAGAATTTGCCTTCAGAAATGGCTGACAAAATTGACAAGTTAAACTGGAGTGGCGGGTAAGGGGAAAGTTTTCACTGTTCTAGTCAGGGCAAGCTTTCCCAAGATCCGAATACGACCTAGACCAAGCGCAAGCCATCTTTGGTACCTTATCAGTCCAGCTGTTTTCAAAGGTTCTCACCGGAGTTCAGTCTAGGTCTCAATCGATGATCACTGCCCGGAATATCGATGCACATCAGTTTGCCAAGCCAACGGCGTGCAGTGGGCAAGGTTGCAGGAGCACTCTTCACGGTTCCCTAATACGGAGATCAATCTGACGTGTTTGTGGTTTTTGTAAGGCGACATCGCTCAACTTCGATAAATGTCTAAAGAAATGGCAAACAGAGAGGGTGGACATGTTTGTAAATGCTTCGGTCTGATGAGGTCGCCGAGCGGAGGCCACGCTGGATGATGGCCATGCCCCAAGCTCCAAACCTCCCCAAGGGTGGGCCGGGTGGTCGAAAAGTTATGTGCACGGACTGTTCATGATAAGGATCTTTAGGATACGCTTTGGCTGGGCGAGCCATTGTCGCGTTGTGCCAGAAATTAATGAAATGTGCTGCTTAAGAAAATACGTATCACCCCATCGCACCCATTAATCCTATCGGCAGGTGGTAATACACGAGTAACACAGGTGCTGTGACTCATTCACCTCCCTTCACCGGTAATGATTATTGGCACCCTTGAACGAGTACCCAAAGCTGCCCCCCCCCCCCGCCAGCCTGCACCGCAAATCTTGCGAACCTGTTTGACTTTTGACTCATTAAGCTCATCACCCATAAGATATTGCAGTAACCACCACGAATCGATGTGGAACAGACTCAGTCTTTTACTGATGCTGGGCATGAGGTCTATGGACTGAGTCCCATCAATAACCACCAATGCCTTGTTGTAAGAGAGCTTCCTCACTCATGCCCTCATATCGCTTTCTTCCCTGATCCTTGCTCAAACCTTTTGTTACAAAGGGCATCAACCGCCAGGCGAAAGAAGTATGTAAACGAAAACCAGGTGCTAGGTGGCATATCAGATTTTCCCCCGGAGGAACTGTGCTACTGTATCGAATTCCCTCGGCCAGGTCTGGGGGGGAAGCTAAGCTCGCCGACTGGGCGTCTCGTCGAACCCCGGGATCAGGCTTGGCACCTGAACATTTCTGAAGTTGGCTGTGCTCTGTGGTAAATATTCGAGCAACGGAGGCGTTCCCATTCTCATTCGGTATAATCATGTGGCTTCAGCAATAGACAGATGTAATATTATTCATAGGACTCAAGAGTGCTCACCGACATCGATTTTTCTTCACGTCACTTCATAGCTGATATCTTCGCAGACCATCAAAACCGCCTTTAAAGATCTTACAACTCAATCTATTCTGCTTTTCTCCGCAATAGACTACAGAAGACGATGCTCCTGGCCACCTCGATACGTTGGTTCACCCTCGCAGTGTTGGCTGTTGTCGACTTGCGATCCGTTCAACTCGCGGAACCCCACCCACACAACCTGCTGCCAAAGCGCGACGGTGGGGCAGACCCAGTGACAGCACCTCCCCAATTTTCGCATGCGAATGCTGTTCGATGTAGTCAAAATTTTCAAATCGGTGGGAGAGATGGGATTGCTCAAGGGAAAACTCGTAGGTTGCTTGCTACGCGTTCGCGCCCCGAAAAATTCCTTGTTTTAAATCTTGACGAAGGTCTTTTCTATCCCTAGGGTGCGAAAACGATCAAGGTTGGCGGTATGAGTGTCCAACTGGGCACTGCCACGGAGGCGGACCAAACAACCATCCCAATGATCACCCTTGTGAGATTCAGCTTTCTTGCCACTGAGCAGTTCCTCAACCAACTCCTGTGATGACGTTTGTTTTCCTTATGCACATTCACACAATTTCATGAAATCATGGCCACCAGTATCCGGGTTCCTCTTCCGTGGGTGCAAACTGCAAAGCGACTACCACAAGCCCGGTCCCGGTCAAATAACCGTTAATCCAGATAGTTTCGGAATTGTACCTGGCATGAAGCAACTGAGTATAATAAACTTGTAGTTATGAATTTTAATCAGCTGAATGGCTTGGAAAACTGATATACATCTGCAATTTGGTTATTTACTAGTGGTTTGGGGCTACGCTGTTCCCGCAGGTTCCACAACCCCTAGCAAAAAACGGGTCGGTTATACTTGTGATTGGAACTTGGACACCGATAATAACGCTCGCAGGCCTTGTAAGTGACACCTGAACCACAATTTGCGTGATGAGAGTGCATATACTCATGATGATTTTTATTTTCCAAATCAAATAGGGTGTAACTTCTGTATTAAGATCACATAAAAACAAGAAAACTGGGTTTTTCTACATGATACTGCATCACTAAATAACACAATATGAAAGCTGAGCAACAATGCGGAGAGTGTTCCCAAAAGCCTCCTGGGGTAGGTGAATCTGCACTATTCCCGAAACAATTCAATTGTGGACAAGTCTTATCTCTTAAAATTTTCACATTCAGCCAGTCATCATCAAGTTGATTGTCATCGTATTTCTTTATGGGGCATGTTTGAAATGACCAAACCTTTTCCAAAATCCAGTCAAGACAATGCCTTAACTACGGTGGGATCAAAATTTGAGTTAATATATACCTTGAGACTTACATACCCAATGCAGCACCTTGGCCTTGAATTGCGCACCTAAGGGCTACTGCATTTAAGCTTGATCTTCAAGAAGATTCAGTCCCCGATTGCATTTGGGGAGCTGTGGAAAAGGGGGCTGAGCTTTCGCAGTTTTCATCGCCAAGAATCACATATTCTGGGGATCTGGGATGTAGGGCTCCAGATTATGATAGCATCTGCAGCGGCCACAGGTTTTTGGTGTTTGGGTGCTCAGTGTGGTTTAGAAACTTGATTGAGCACCCATGACGGACTTGCTCAACTATCTTTCTTACAAAGGCTCAACTAAAAGCAAATTGTTTCAGTGATTCAAAATAAAAAACGAATCTGTTCGAGTTGAAATCATTGCAGAATTTCAACCAATACACCAAGGAGATGAATGCTTTTGAAGGGATTTGAATGTGATCTGCGCCAGATTGAACAAAATTGAAACAGAATATAATTGCTAATTAGTTATTTATATGAGGAATCTTTGTTGTAACCATTGTGTTAAAAATATGCAAACCGTAACTTACACTCATTACTATGTATGTGAATACAGTCTACTCAAAAGATGTATAACTGGATTCTCTACAGAGAACAAGGTGACTATCTTACCGCCATGTATTTGAAGTCAAATTCACTGCGCTATGATAGACAAGAAACGGTGTGCATGGCCCACCTATAGCCTCAGTGCTTTTGTCCGAAGAGGCAAAACTCCTCACCACGAGAGTTGTTTTGGTTTGATTACTGTTTTAGCAATTCAAGCAATGTGAGGGCTTCGGTGATCGATGTATTGTCCTCAGATTTATCTTGATTTCTTTGTTGATGCGCGTATCCGAAATAGATGTGAGAAATAGGCCACATAATCGCAATCCAATCAATGAACTCCACAATATTTTCCTTCCGGTTCCAAGCTGATATGTAGTAGATTAAAACTATCACACAAGAGCGTTCATTTTTTTCAGTGATGCAAGATGATTGAAGACATATGTTCAGCAGTTGAAGCTGAGCCAGGCTGAGCGTCCAATCAAATCTTTGCCTCGGGACGACTTGGAAAGCACATACCGAAGATTCCATTCCCCTTTCCCAACCTGATCAAAATGGAGTTGGACCTAGTTCGGCCTTATTCATCCTCCGTTACAATTGATCCTTTTGTTTGGGGGACCGCCCTTGACCATTGCATCCAAAGAAAGATAACAAGTAGACATCGCCAAGCCGATTGACTCAGTCTCTACCTTACCTAGTGTCGTATCGATTATCCACCTCTTTCATGTAGTACTAAAATAATTAGGGGGGCAACCTCCATTAAGCCATATGTATATTTGGAGAAGCTTTAAAAATCTGAGCGCACACCTGTATGTCCATCGCGAAAACGCAAAGGCTCACATGGCTCACAAACAGAGGGCGTGCTTGAGCTCTCTCTGATCTTGAGAGACGGTTAGAACCAAATAACGGGGCTGGCCAGGCGATTCTTGCGCACATTGAATTGTGGGTTATAGATGATAGATACTGCCGGCCTTTTTGGAGGGCTTTAAAGGAGTCCATTTGCCCCAGAGTATACACCGGTCGACCGATGATTGCTAGCTGTAATGCTAAACTGAAAGGCCATTAGCTAATGGCAAGAAATACTCCGGCTCCATTTTCCTTGAGAGAATAAATGGGTTGGGATTCGTGAGATTCCTCGAATCGGTCTCCTCAATCGTTCATCAAAAGCGCTTCATCTTGCCCGGGAATGCACATTTTGCCTAACAAACCGGGTCTTGAAAGCCCTCTAAACTTCAATATCAACCGGTTCAAATACCATTTGTACCTAGTGTAAAGTGATTCGACCAAATTTCGTAAGCCTGGAGAGCCCTCGATTCTTACAAATGCAAATAGTACAGAAAGAAAGTGAAAAAAAAGTCACTTGGCCTAGCGGAAAGTTATACAATGAATAGGCTCAAATAGAATCCGACAAACACGCAAACTCCCCATTGATTTGAGCATTCGATAGTCAACGGATTCCAGTGTTTGGTGACGCGAGTGATGCCCCAGCGACTTGAAAGGGGTTGTTTCCGTACCTGGTTTGGCCTTAAAAGAACCGCTCTCTCCCATCTTTTTCCCCCCTCGACCTCCACTTCCTCCCACACATCCACTTTTTTCCTCCAACAATCCCCCCTCCTGATTTCTATAGCCGTCTGCTGCTTTCGTCCATTCTCCTGGTCCTCCCCTTCTTTCCCTCTGCCCGAGTCCTATATCGTGCTGCTGCTTGCTTCCATTCTCCCACTCTCCACTTCTTTCCCACTTCGTCAGTCTTCGCCTTCGCTAGTCCATTGAGGCTTGATCCTTAAACATCTAGGACTCACTCAATCTTTCCCCTCCTGGAGATTCAGATCTTCTTCCGTTCACTCGCTTCTGAACGCAGAACGCTATCAGTCTGGCACGCCTGACGTTGGTGTTCCCAGAGTAGCGGACTATATCCAGTCTATCTTCACCCTAAATCCTAGATGAACGTCTCTTTCACCATCCTCACTCTCTTGGGCTAGATTTGATGCCGGTTTAGTCACCCCCCTATGTCGAATCTGTAATCGATCTATGAAACGCCATTTTATAATGCTAATTCATGGATCGGAGCGTAGCCGGCTACTCACAGTCAGCTAGCTCGCACTTGGGTCTATCCAGCGAAGACGTGCAGCAGCGCTCAACATCTTTCAATTCCTTCTCTTCAATCGCTTTTCATCTCGGGTTCAGACTAGCGCTTTCTATCTGCAAGAGTCCTCAACCCCCAACTTCGTCACTCAGACTTCAAATCTTCCAAGGTTTATCGCTTATCCGATAGAAGCTGTTTGCTTCCTTGAAGATCTTGAAGAGCTCACAGATCATCATATTGGCCAATGGGCTCGATGTGTCTGTGAAGATATGATCGATCTATGAAACGCCATTTTATAATGCTAATTCATGGATCGGAGCGTAGCCGGCTACTCACAGTCAGCTAGCTCGCACTTGGGTCTATCCAAAGAAGACGTGCAGCAGCGCTCAACATCTTTCAATTCCTTCTCTTCAATTGGTTTTTCATTTCGTTTTCAGACTTGCAGTTTCTGTTTGCAAGAGTCTTCAACCCCCATCACTATTCCTCTGACCTCAGATCTTTCAAGGCATATCGTCTATCCGATAGAAGCTGTTTGCTTCCTTGAAGTTTCTGAACAGTTCGCAAATAATCATCTTTGCCAATAGGCTTGATGTATTTGTGAACACAAGATGATCGATCTATGAAACACCAGCTTATAATGCTGAATCATAGATCGTAGCGTAGCCGGCTACTCACAGTCAGCTAGTCGACACATGGGCATATCCACACAATGTGCAACAGCGCTTATCCTCTTTTACTTCCTTATCTTCGTATTCCATCGCTTTTCATATTTGTTTCAGATCACGAGTTTCCATCTATCATAGTCTTTGACTCAGCCTTCACCTGGTGCTTGAAGCACACCATGTGAGCTCAGTCTTCTGGTGTAACCAGGAACTCGACGCGTTGGATGACATGTGTAAGCTAGAACTAGCCCTTTTTTCAATTTCTTCTCTCACTCAAAACCCGCTGACAGGTTTTCAATTATGTACCTCTAGCATCATAATCACGCAGCGAATTAGTTCATACTTTTTTTGATTGGGCGAACATATCCGCTGAACCGACCTGAACTATTCGGACCAGAAGATATCGTGCAGCTATTGCTTGAGACATGCAACGCGAACTCACTCTTCTGCCATGTCCAGAAACTCGACGCGTTGGATGGCACATGTGAGCTATAGTTTTCCCTTTTCTTATCAGAGGCCTAGGGTCAAGTCCTGCTCTGATTTCGAACACGCTGAACTGACTTTGTTCCAAATCTCTTTAGCATCATAATCACGCAGCAAAGAATTCATGTCTTGATGGGCGCGCCGGAATATCCGCATCACCAACCCAGACTCTTCATAGTAGACAACGCCGTACAGCTTTTACTTGAAGCCCAAGACGTGAACTCGGTTTCCCTTTATATAACCAGGAATACGACGCGTTGGAGAACTTATGTGAGCTCAATTCACTCCCTTTTTCTTCGCAGAAGCAAAAGCCAGGTCTTTTTCTCACTCAGCACGCGCTGACATGTTTTTGGAATCTCTTTAGCATCAGAATCACGCAGCCAAGTGCATAATCTTTGCTTTTCGGGTGCGCGAGGCTATCCGCTAAATCACCCTAAGCAAGCAGAACTGTACTTGAAAAACGACTCCTGGTTACCTCTCTCATCTAAGCACTCCTCACCTGGCAAGTAGACCTTTAAAGGTACGTAGTCGTATAATTTCATGTTGGACCGATCACATGATCGATAGATCCCTTTCTGACTCATTATTCATTTTTCTGCTTGACCATTACTTAGGTTTTACTAGGCCTCCCAGCATTTCTTTGCTTCGGTTCATTCATAATCATCCGGGATAAAACAATCTTGACGATAGGATTCAGCTCGTCGCTTACGCTTCAGCCAGAGCCAACATTTGCTCTTTCGACTTTCCCCCGAGCTTTCCCTACACCTTCGACCGTGTACACAGACCAATGGTATTGACTGGTTGACGCGGAGGATATCTCAATACCTTGCAAGGGCACTTCCCCAGGTAGAAATGATCGGTATGCATCAAGCTCAAAGCCTTATCTTATCTTGACCGATGCTCATATCAAGCTTTTTGTTTGACCTTTCTCGATCTAGTCAATAGGATCTTCTCATATCCCGTTCGATGAAGGCCCGTCGGAGGAGTTCCTTGTATTCAACGCTTTGATTTGGACTCGCTCGACGAACACTGTGTCCGATACGATCACCTTATATTTCATGGAAAACGGATCCGGTACAACGGCGCTGGACAAGCTTAAGCCATCGGCCGGATATGCCGGCTATTCGACAAATTTTAAGCTGCCGCAGCGTTCTTAGCATTGGCAGCAGGAGTATATATGATAATGTATGTTGAATATTTATGACAAATCATCACTCGGATGTACTCGGCTGATAGACCTTGTACTTTGAAACCCGAACAGATCTGTAGCGATCAAGAGCTGATCGCAATCGACCATTTTCGATTTGGACTTGGGCTTGCCTGGAGTTAAATATCCGGTTATCCGGTCTGAGGCCCTAATATCATCCTGTCGGTGGATCACACTATGGATTGGGAATGTGTTTCATATTCACCAGTCTCTTGAGAGTGATGATCGCCGTGAACGGTTGAAGAGCGAAGATATTTCCTTCAGTGGAAATACAACATTTTGTATTTCTCTAAACCTTGCTTGATGCAAGTTTTTTTTTTTTCTTCTTTTTTTTTTCTTTTTCTTTGGGGTTTGATTTTGGAGTGATCCCAGCTTCGAAGGGGTTCTTTCCAGGCTTGCTTGAGATTGCTGCGGAGATCCGGGTCGGCTCGACGGAGCGGAGGAAACGAGAGTTTGATGAATCTGCCTGGCTTGATGATGTCATCCATTCTATCCGGTGTTTTGTGGGTGTTGGTGTTCTACAATGTGGATCGACTACATAGAATAGTGGAAATTAAATTTTTGGCTAAAAATGTCTCCTGCTTGCTTCCATCTCTGCCAGGTCCGATATCACACCGGGTGGGGTATCATCATGGCCGTCATAAATTATAATCAGCTGCTCTCCCGTCCGGCGTTTCAGCGTATCCACTCCGGGGGCGAAGGCTGTCGTGATACGTGAAGGACTTGATGCAAACTGTACACAGCTTCTCCTAAGTTTTGACCTTCAGCGTAAACAAACAATTTACGGACTACTCTTAACTAGTCGAATACCCTCACCTACCCTGACTCGCAAGACTACATACAATTGCCCTTGGTCATCTTTCCACCCGACTCGCTTGGCTGGCTCAGGCCCCAGTGCTTCAGTGACGCGGGCTGTTGTAGTTTTTTTTTTTTTTTTCACACACATACCCCACCACCACCACCAACATCATCTCCTAGCATCTCCTATATATGTTGCGTTATGCGGGAAGGTTAATGATATAATAAGGAATTCTCCACACCAGTATTAACTCTTCGCGCTATTGTCCCGAGAAATATACTCGTAAGATGGGAAAACGAGTAATCCTCATGGCACGTTTTCTTTTCTTTTCTCCTTTTTTTTCATCAAGCCATAACGTGATGATGGTAGTCCAGCAACATTATCAGCCAAGGCGGCTATTTGTCCACCTCAGTGGACCAAAGCTGAAATTCGTCAAAGGATTGCCTCTTTGATGACCGGCCATACATGAGGCGGCCGGGCTATTCTTATGCCAAGTCCGTCATCTACCCCCCCGTCTAAGCAGCCGTACCACGCCATACCAAAGGCATTTTACAGATATAAAAAAGGCTCTACATCCTCTCTCTTTTTTATTTTACCCCTGTCTCTCAACCACCATCCCCTCCACTACTTCTTATCGAATTTGAAAAACCTAGTTTGTTTGTCTTTTGGTTCGTTGCCATACAAGTCGACAGTTCACTTTCTTCCTGAGCAAGCCAAGAGATTGAAATCTTATCTCACTTCTTCGGTTTTATTAGCCCAAGTCTACAGCCGATCAGTCCAGCCACGATGACCAAATGGGATATTCGCAACTTGCCTCAAGATGAGGAAGCCTTGTCATCCGGTAAGGCACAACGGGATGACATCTTACATTTGAACCAGAAGAGCTGACAGATTGATTTTGAACTTCCTCTTGTCTCTCCGGCTGTCGAAAAAATTAACAAGCAGATGACGAGATAGATTTGGGTGAAGTACGCGCCCCAAGAGACAGAGGCCATACGTTCACCGAAACCAAGTCCAGTTTGGCCGATCGTGAATGTGAGTATCGATCGATTATTTGATCAAGTCGACGAGGAAATTGGCTGACTGGGAGATGGTTTGACTTCAGCCTTGTTACGAGATTTGGCCCGATTGGCAACGGTGTTTGATGATGTGCGCGAAAAGCGACCAGACGCATTAACGCGAGTCGACGAAGATGGTAGGGACCCCTGCTTGACTTTTTTTTTTCGTGGTGATAATATCAAGCGTCTTCAGAAACTTACGATCTCTTGAGAGGAGGCTTCTCAGATGGATCGGAAGGCATCGAATGTCTTCAGGAAGGCTCCACCACTCCGGATGAGTCCACTCCCCTCACAGCCGACACCAGTGCGGCCAAGCGCCAAAAAATCACCCTCGAGTCGCCACCCCGCAACCCGGACACCAATGGGATCAGCCACAAGCATCACGCTAGGAAGCCCTCAAGTTTGTCAAAACTTCATTCACTCTTGGGTTCTCTGATCTTCAATAATTGATGCCTTCGTACTCTCCCTCTATCTCCTGCTCGATCAGTGATCGACTGTCGTTCCATACAATCGCCGTCCAAGGAAAAGGAGAAACCCCAAGAAGTCAAACGGGACCCAGGCCACCAGGCTCAAAGCGGCAGCCATCCCCACAAGATCCCAGGGCCTGAGCAGGTGTGTATCCTTCCAACTACCGATCCTAAAATGATCCCTCACGTTTCCTTGCTCAAATCATTACTACTCTTTGAACTCTTTTGAATAGCCCGGAGCGTTCGCCTACCCGGCGAAATCTTCCAAGGCGTGATCCCAACGACGCAATAAGAAGATACAAACGTATGCTCGCACAGATACCAAGCTAATGTATACCTTTGTTGAAAGAATCACAATGGATCACATTGTCCATCACTCGTATCTTCCCTGCTGCTCCATAAAACGCTCTTCTAAACACACATACATATATATAAACATGAATTCTACAATAGGTTGGAAAGTTAATATAAGCTTGGTTCCAAGGCCCTGAAAAATCTCGATTTGTTTCTCATTTTCATAGTTTCTCAGTGGGCCATCTCAAGCCATACATGCAAATGATATATACGGTCAAGTCCGCTTGAATCCTTCTTGGCATCAAAGATATACTGTCCGGATGACTTTTGATCATCCAGATGAGGATGGGGCTCGGAAAGCCTGAGGTCTTGTGCTTCAAAGAACATACGAATAAATGGATGCAAAAAAGCAATCTTCAGAAGATCATGTTATTTTTTGATTGGATGAGTTCTGGTATAAACATTTCTGTATCAGACTCAAAGTATATACCATCTCTGGAGATCTTACAATGCAAAGATCAGTCTTACATCAACCTTGCACTCAAAAAATGTCAAGAGATTGGGGATCCAAATATTCAAGATTTCTAATGGATGAACATCATAAATTGAAGCAATTTCCAGGCCAAGAAAACTTATCCACAGAGCTGTGAGGAGGGAAGTTCACCGAAATTATTTCTACACTACATGCTTTCAAACAATGTTGAGAGAATGCAAAAAACATTGCAAGCGTATCTTATATAGAATGAAGAGCAACATGTATCTATAGCCTATCAACTTGCTGGAAATAAACCACAATCTGAGTGATAAGTTATAGCTGTGTGCTGTTAGAGTAGATGTTCCACTGGATTACAAACAATTTTTCAACAACGATATATTTCCAGCATCACCTCATGATCACTGTCTCTCTGACATCCATGTGGGATACGACTCTTCTTATCATTTCAAATCCAAATCTTAGTTGATTTACATGTTTTGTTTTTTTTCAATTCTTTTGTTCCAAAAAAAAGAGGAAGATGATGGCTGTTTTTAACAATGATTAATGAGTATCAAAATCATGCAGAATGCTGGATGAGATTGTGTGTTTTTTTCTCATCCAGATATGGATGTTCAAATCATCTTTGCAAACATTGATTGTTGGAGTTTTTTTTTTTGGGGGGGGGGGGAATGTGTATTGTAACTCCTGGACAGAAAAGAAAAACACCTCTCACCTCTCTGAAATCTTCCCTCATGACAATTAACTGTATCAGGCCAACTCTCATGTCATATAAGTTTTCTTTTTTTTTGCTGGTAGTGTAACAGAGGATTCCTGATTTCAGACCAAAAAAAGTTAGATTCCTTGATCCAACCAAGACCATCTTTTCCACCCTCTCCCAAATCAATAATTCTTGCACACCACAATGTTGTTTCTCTGAAATTCCGAGAAACCAATAGTTAGAATTCCATCCAGAATTGATGGTTAGTTAAATTGTTTTGTTTTCATCAATTCCAGCCAAAAGAAGAAGAAGAAGAAGTTGTCAGAGTGCTCACCCATCTTTTTCCCAAAGATGCTTCTTAATTTGTGGTAAGCCATGTCACTGTCCAATAGATACACTATCAATTATAGCAATGCCCATACTCTGTTAGAGTGACACATTCAAAGCCCAAACAAACCTGCCCTGTCACTCCATGTGCTGCATGCACAATCACCATGAGATCTTCAATCACAAATTGAAAATGATGATAGGATGAGGGTCTGCAGAAGTGATCATGGTGAGTATTGTAGATTTGGTTGAGTGAGCTAGAGGTTTTGTAGTAGTAGTAGTAGTAGTGTTGATTGTCTGATTATTGATTTTTGAGCTGGCAGGTCTTATCAACCAAGCAAATAACACACAGGCTACATCCAAGCTGTTTTGTTGGACATCTTACAACAATCTGATGGGAATCTTTGTATGCATCAACAACAGATCAAAACAAAAAAAATGCAAGATGGACAGTTCATGTGGGGGTTTTTGAACAATCCACACAACTCTTGAGTGTTTGAAGATTTGGTGAATTTCAATGGTGAGCTCTGCTGAGTTTTAGCTTGATTGATGAAGTCTTTGGCTTGCTTGCTTGATCGATGGATCATCAAGATAGGTATCTTCAGTCTTGACTTTTTTTTTCTTTTGTGTGTGTTGTATTAGTGAAGCTGCTATGAACATTTTAAGTGGGTTTGATTGTTTGTGATTTGACCTTGTGTTAACTTGTCCTGGAAAGTCAGAGTTAACTTTTTTTGCGTTAAGTTTAGTCAATTCGACCCCACCCACCGGTTGGACGATTCCTGAGGCGGCCTGCGAAAACAATCGAGCGGATTGGATCCTGGATTCCTGGCAATGGAAGGAGATAAGTAACACCAAGCTTCGGTCTGCTTCACGAACCAGCCAGTCGTCATTGATGGATGTACGTACATCTTGGCCGAATGGGGTGGTCACCTGGAGACAGAGTCAGGCCGATGAAGGGGAGCTATGCAGCCCATTGACCTCATCGTGGCTTGTTTGTATCTCCTGGGAGCAAGTTCGGATTATTTTTTAGGGGGGGTCATCGCTTGGTCCTCCTGGGCTGAACGCATCTATTCGCTGGCTGTATGCGCTAGTCCACTTTCCAACTGGGCCAACCCCACACAGCAAGACACATAAAACAACACTCTCTCTTCCCCCTCCAAGTCGAACTATCAAAAAAGTATCCCAATCAAAAAAATAGTCAACACCCGAAAACACTTCCAATCCATCATCGATCAAACATGGCCACCACCACTGCCCTCCCACCACCCCTCTCACCAGCAACAGTAACAACAAGCACTGGCGATGACCGAATCTCAGGGGAGGAGCGGATGCAACAAGTCGTCCCCAGACTGTTCATCGGCGACTTGACCGCCGCACAATCCCTCCAAGTCTTGCAAGACTCCCAAATCAGAAACGTCGTCTCGGTCATCAAACACTCCTGTCCCCAGCATCCGGGCTTCAACCATCTCAACGTGCCCCTCGACGATACCGAACGTACCAATATCTGCGGTATTTTCACCTTTCTTTCTTTTGGCGTTTTTTTTTTTCCAATTTCTTACTTATTCATGTTTTTTGTTGTTGTTGTAGAATGGTTCGATAGCGTCGCTAGTTGGATTCAAGCTCGACTGGACGACCCAAACGGGTACGGCGTGTTAATCCATTGTGTTGCTGTAAGCTTAAGGTTCCCTTCTTGACTTTCTTCTTCTTTTTTCCCATCTACACAGCAATCGAAGGGAACAGTATTTCTGAGAATTTATGTCTTGTTTTGGTTGGTTGGTTATAGGGAGTCAGTCGAAGCACGACACTTCTGGCTGCTTATTTAATGAAAGCCTACAGATTAACCACCGACGGTGCGACTCTTTGTGATATCTTATTACAGGTGCAAGTTTTACAAACCGACTGACAAAAAAATGTTTTCTGTTGGCTGGCCGTTTCGCAGAAGCCGTCGGGTTCATTGCATCTAAACGACCCCAAGTCCAACCGAACGATTTCTTCTTCCACCAGCTCGAAATGTACGAACGTTGTGAATGCGAATGGAACCCTGTCAAGGTACATACATACACACTTCCTCCTTCTTCTTCCTCTTGCGGGGGTTACGTTTCACTTGATCTTCTCAACTCTTCTGACTTGTGTTGGACACTTTTTTTTTTCTTTTCAAAGCATCAAGAACAGAGACGGTTTCTGATGAGCTTCGTGGCCGACGAAATGAAAGGTACGCAGAAGCCCTCCCTATCACATCATCCGATCCTTTTTTTATCATCAATTTGCTGACAAAATAATTCCAATTTTAACAATCTTTCAGATGGAGCTGGAGCCCCAAGTTCGTGGCCGATTTGATCTGCTCATGAACAATGAAAACCCTTCCTCGAAGAAAGCAACTAACACGCTTCGTGAACCTTTTTTTTGACTGCTGCGATGAAATTTTTTTTTTGACAGAATTGATATTGGCCTATTACCCATCGCCGGCGCCGTCGCCTGCAGAGAACAGCAGTCTCACGATGACAGCAATGAAGACGAGTTCGGTGGAGACGAAGCTAAACACGCCGAGTTTGTTGACGGGGGCGAGCATCAACAGCCAACCGCTGTCGCTAGCGCAGCCGCCGGCGCGGCGGCGGCTGACGAAGAAGACCGACTCGAGCTTGTCGAACGGCGGCGGGAAGACGAAGGAGGGTTTGTCGGAGAAGCCGGCGAGGGAGGTCGAGAAGCTGGGCCAGGGCCAAGTGGTGATCCATGGACGAAGGTTGCGTTGTAAGATGTGTCGGCGCGAGCTGGCCGGACGGGACCATATCCTCTTCCATTCTCCCGGCAAAGGCCAGCAGGCCTTTGCGCCCCAGAAACAAGATATGGCTCAGTTCCGGCTCGACCAGGTCTCCCCAGATCGCAAGCCCAAGCCCTCCGATCCCGCGGGAACCCGGCCTGTCGTCGGCCTCGCCAGTCTGCGCATCGCCGTCCCGCCCAAACCGATTCCGAAGTCAGAACCCGTGGTCGGATCGACTGAAGCCGAGCATTCAACCCCTGCCTCCTCCTCCCCACCTTCGACAACCACCAGCGACTCTTCGTCCCCTGTCGCCCCTCATCTCAACCTCCATTCTCCGCCGCTCTCGACTTCCGTCGACTGTTCCTCGTACTTCGTCGAGCCGCTCAGCTGGATGGGCAATGCCCTTCAGGCCGGTAATCTGCACGGTAAACTCGTCTGTCCTAACTCCCATTGTCTCGCTAAACTCGGCTCGTTCGATTGGGCTGGCTCGCAATGTAGCTGCGGCGCTTGGATCACCCCCGGATTTCAGGTAAGCCCTCTTCTCTCTTTCTCTCTCTCTCTCTCTTTCCGATCTTCTCTTCTCTCTCTTCCTTCCTTATTAACGGTTTTCCTTTTCTTGCAGATCTTGAGATCTAAAGTTGATGAAATTTAATAAAAAAATTACACCCACTTGCTTCGACTTTCATCACGCCTTCCTTTCTTCCGTTTTCCTTACATACACCCTTCTTCTTTGCATTACTTCAACCGTTCTTAGATCACTTCTTCTACTATTCCCAAACCCATTATGACCCATCAACATGCTCTATATTGACCTGCATCCAACTACCATCGTCGTTGACCCCTCACACAAACACCTCAACAATATGTTTTTTTTTTGAGATTCCTTTGTGATATCTTCACTTTTGTGTGCATTTTGAAGCAATCATTTTTATACGATACGGCTCAACAAAGACAGCCTATCTTTGCCAACATGTGACAGGTAGTCTGTCTTTTTTTCCATGTGGATGATTTGTACAGTGGCTACATAGACCGAAGTTTTCTGCCACACATTGTTCTGGAATCTGGAATCTTAACCCACACTCACTTGGAGTCTTCGGTGGAACGGTGCTTAATATTAATAGGCTTCTGAAATCATTAACATTAAACCAAGTTTTCAGATTTGTGAAAAAATAACTAAGAGGAGCCACTTTTTTTTTCTGGAAAGCTGCATTTTTTTTTCTTCAGAGAAATGTGAATACAAGACATGAAATGAAGTACATTGGGCATAAGATGTTGAGCTGGACGGGTCAGGTGGCCAAGCTGGAGCCAAAAGGGCCACTGTTTACATACAGCCTAAGGCTACAGGGCATGGTTGAAGAAATCCATCAGTGGGCTCACTGTTGGGCAATGACCTACTCCTCAAATGTGTTCACAAAAGTCCACACCAAAGTCCATTTTGTTTTCTTTCATTTTAGATTTCAGACTATCATTTCTTGGCTTTGGGATTTAAAAATATCCATACACATTTCAAACCATTGTTTTATTTTTTGTGATTTAAGGGTTCAAGCCTACATAAAGCAGTGGGCTGGGAGCTTCTGGCTAGCCACTGTACAGTAAACAAGACCGTCAAGAAAAGTGGCTGCTTTGTTTTTTTGCATTCCAGAGCTCTGAAACACATACTTCATGTCACTAGACTCAGTCAACACGGTCCAGAAAATATCCCCCAGAAAATGAATATGAAGAAGAAAAAAAGTCTCAAATTTGGTGGAAACTGACAGAAATGGAGGGGGGGGGGTTCCAAATGCTTTGGTGTTCATTTTGGGGGGAGTGGGAGGGATGAATGATTATAAATGAAAAGAACAAAAAAATCAGAACAAAAAAAAAGGTTAAGCCTGGTTGGGTGTCCGTATTGGAGTCGAAACAGTGAATTCTAGTTTGTGGACTGGTGAATGCCCCACTCAAGTACAGCTGTCCAAAACCATCCGCAGTGATATCCATTTGTTCTGACATTTTCAATTATAAATGTTCTTCCCATTTTCCTTTTGTTATCTCTCTCAGCACTGGAACTCCCCCAATAATGAACATCAAAGCTTTTGGAAAAAAAAAAAAAAACAATTTTCATCAATTTTGGAACTTTGTTTTTTGTTGTTATGTTTGATATTCTTTTTTTGGGACCTATTTTGCACCACTTGACCCAGTCTTGTGATTTCAAGTTTGTGCTTTGCAATTGGAGCTCTGGAATCCAAAACAAGCAGCCAAAAATGACGGCCCACCCACTGTACATGAATTTCAAAATTGTTGATGGACAATGCTGCAAAAGGTGTAATTTGAGATATGGTTTGCTTGAAGCGCACATATTTTTAGATTGTTTCATTGCAAACTATCCTTTATGAAATCCCAAAATGACCCCCCCAAGATTACATACACAGTGAAGTCCCAAATTAACAATGTAATCTAAATTGCAACCAGCTCACATGAGAGCCATTGGTAGAAGGGTTCTGAAAAGATAATTTTTAACCCAAAAATATGGATCTGAAGGGTGTAAATTGAGTACTCCTGGGGAAGTTGTAGATTTTGATGGGAAGTCATCCAGTATTTTCATGATGCAGTAGAAAAGTCTCAAATGTATCAACAATAGAAAGACATATTTGAGGTAATTATGGAAATGTAATATGTATGTAACTGGATGAAGTAAGAATGTTGACCAAGGATTGAAATTCATGAACAAAGAAACCTTTGAAAAGGAGTCAAGTTGAAGGAGATGAGATTTTTGACATGTGCATGTAGAAATTTTGAGAGATCAAGCAGAAGGCTGTTCTGGAGGATTAACAAGGTTGCGACATAATGGACATGAATTTTGCTTTTCCCCAAGGATCCACTTTTGCAGACACTGACGATGGAAGTAATGACCACAGGTCTGGATGAGAAGGACCTGCTCCAACGAATCGACGGAGATCTGCTGATTGGGACCTGGTCTCGGACTCTGGAAATCTTCTAGACAAGCCGGACAAGTCTGCTCATCTGACTCCCCCAATAGGACATCGGATATTCGATTGATGGTCTGGTGATGATGTTCGGGACTGAGAGTTGTAGTGGACTTGGCTTGTTTGCCGTTCTTGTCATTCACTCTGCTAGCCTCGGTGTAAAGATGCTTGATCCAATCCGGAGGCGTCTCACGTCCGCTTGAAGAAGACTGCTCAGTTACAGAGGCATCAGCTAGTACATCCAGCACTTCAGTCAGGGGTACCGTGTCGTGTTGTTTGGGTTGAAATATCTTGACCCGACTCTTTTGTCGCAACAAGCTACTTATTCTTCTCAGCTGAGTCCGCAAGGCCTTGGGCCGTTTGTGGGGAGCTGATGTGACAGCACTTTGTTCAGGCTGATCGACTTGATGCGAGGGGGTTGTCCCATCATTTTTGAGGGCAGATAGCTGGAGGTATTCGTGCTTGGACATATATCCAAATAAGACCGTGTTTTTGATTTCCTTGGTTTCGTCATAACGGCTGGGTGATCCGAAAAGTAATACTGGTTCGAAGAAGGGCATTTCGCTATACCGAGCAACCCAGCCATCCATCCCGCTCGAAGGCGCTTCTCGCGATCGTCCTGTCCTTCTGGCAGAAATCGATCGTCTGTTTGGAAGAAGGTGGGCAAATCGACGGCCGATTCCTTCTATAAGCATTCCTCCTTGCCCGTAATCATGGCCCAATGTATCTCTTTCCGGTGTGCTATCGTAATGGACCTGTAGACCATCTGGTATAAAACACAACATATCATGTCATAACGGCTATATGAGCTCTGATCGGAGAGGTATTGTAACTGTGACGAAGAGGACTCACAAACTTGATATAAGTATCGCTGAACTTCTTCATCGCTTTCTATGTCATCAATCGCTGTAACTTGGAGTGCAATGAGACAAAGAAACTGGACAAACTAACCAAATCATATCGGGTTATTTCTCTCGAATGTCGTCAGTTTTCTTGGGTTTTGTTTATGGCCACTTAATCCAAACATTCAAAAAAAAAACAAGATCTCTCCAAAACTCAACTATAAGCCCCTGCACGAAAGCAAGCTTCATGGTTCCTGACCACCCACTTGGCAATTGATCACTACTTTTTTTTTTCTTCGGCCTGAATATGGTCGTCTAGAGTTCACAAATAATCGATATCAAACCAAGAATAGTCGGGTGAGTTGGTTATCTGTGAGGTCTTGACCTCTGGCAAGTTATGCCCCAAGTCCAACCAAACCATTTTGTCTTCCACCCACTGAGCGTATGAACATTGTGCATGGTGATTGTACAACGCGGACGCCGGGTAAGGTGCATAGCCATATGTTAATTTCCGTCTTTTGATTTTTTTTTTTTGCGGCTGCGTTTCACTCGGTCTTCGCATGTTTTCTCACTTATTCGACCTACTCTTCCCACTGTGTTTAAGAGCACCAGCTGGAACAGACTCTCAGAGACGTTTTAGCCGACGAGACAGCAAAAAATTCAGTATTAGATCCAGCTGGAGTATCTGTTTAGTTCGTCATCGATTGATCTGCTCAGCAATAGGAAATTCAATCCGACGATCACGCACTGCGTGATCGTTTTTGGGAAGGTATCGGTGAGCTCTCCGACCATCAAGAAAAATGAGATTTGGATTTTGGATTTTTTTATTAAAAAGGAATTCATGCGCAATTGTGGAGTAATCCATCCTAGTGTAATAATATGATCCTCAAATACTCTAAACGGTCGAGAGAAAAGAGCTACCACCCGATAAGAAAAAAGAAAACACTAGATAAACCTGAGAAGAAAAAACAAGTAATATATGAAATTTCCTTAGCTATCCATGTTTTAATTAAGCAGAGCAGAATTTTGGACAAGGCACAAGAATTTTCAAATACAAAAAAACCTTGGAGAAGGTGCCAAGTTGTAGGAGATTGAATTTGCTATGAGATAAACCTGCCTGGATTTTACGCCTTCAGGCGGATTTTTTGGGATAGACTGGCTGTCTACAAAATGGACAGCTGTTTTTCTTACACCCAAGGATCCACTTTTGGAGACACTGACGATGGAAGTAATGACCACATCCCTCAATCAAAAGAACTTGATCAAAAGAAGTAGAAGACCACTGATTGTTGGTATCTTGTTGAGGCTCCTGGAACTCTGCTTGACAAACTCCACATGTATGGTCTTCTGGCTCCCCCAATAGGACATCTGATATTTCAAGTAGTTGATTGGAAGTTGAACTTTCCTCTGGATTCTTGCTGGTTTGATGATTGGTCATCATCAAGTCTTTGTGAGTGCAAATCTCAGTTTGCTTTTCCTCAAGATTCAAACCACTGCTTTCACCATTGATCTCTCTTAAATGAACCTTGGCCATCTTCTGAGAAGTGCCAAGTCCAGTTTCATTGTGTGTAAATTTACAAGCTGTGGTGGTCTCTAGAATTTTAAGAGCTTCTGGAAGTTGGACTATATCATGTCTTTTGGGCTTCCATTGGTTTTCCTGATCCTTATGACTTTCACCTTCAGGTTTCTTACCTTCAAGATTCACACTGCTACTTGTTCTCCTAAGTTCCGCTGGAACTCCCTCAATCACATCCCGAGAAGTACCAATTCCATCTCCTCCCTGCTGAAATGTTGAGATTGCACCTAGGGTGCTGGATCCTTGGGATAGTAGAGCTTTGTTGTCTCCTTTGTGATGAGATAGGTATTCCTGCTTGAGTATGTATCCAAATAGTTTGGTGTTTGGGATTAAATCTGTTTCCTTGAACGTGTGGAGGTCTTGGGAATATTCGGGTATGTCCATTGATACAGGAACATATTCAGGAACAAATTGATTCCTATTTCTGCCTACTAAATGGGTACCTGGCCATTGGTATCTTGCAGGGATCCTCTGTCTGTAGGGAATATCATTGGAAAATGTGTCCAAATTCTCAAACAAATCAAAGGGGTCTAATCTATATTGACCACTTCTTGAATAATTTCTCATGCGTTCAGTTGTAATTTGTGACAAAGTCATAGGAACCAGGACACAACAAACCTGAGAAGAAAAAAAAATCAAACAAAAAGTATATGATTAGTTTGTTGATCTTCTTGCTGCATATAATCAGTTTAATTCCAAAAATTGGTCAAACTCAACTATCCCTAAGATAATTTGAAGATTCATAATGGATCAAAGTACTTCTGAGAATATTTAATGCAAGGACAAGTTTGTATAATGATAATTGATATCAAAAAATATATCAATTTGTTTATCTCTGAGATGTATTTGGAAAGAGAAACTTTTTTTCAATTTATGTTGGCTAGAAGTAGGAACAAAAATTATTCACATTCTTTGAATCCTATTACCAAACAAGTGGAAGGATTTGGTGAGTTGTTTCAGAAATACCAAAATGACATCAGCTGAATCATTTCACAACTCCAAACATTACATGATATGGATATTTGGATGACAAATTTCACTCCAAACATTGTTGTCAATTGTGATGAATTTGACAAACTCCAAACATTACATGATATGGATATTTGGATGACAAATTTCACTCCAAACTGTTGTCAATTGGTGATGAATTTGACTATGTAGCTTTCCCCTACTTGTGCCACATGTTGGTGAAACAATTCTTTGATTTTACCAATTGGTTATGTGTGGAGTGTCATCCCACATTCAATCATAAAAACATGTAACCTACTCAAGTAAAAGTTACTAGCAGAAATATTTATGAATATTACTTGTATGTAAAATTCTTCAGATGAAATCTCTTTCAATAAAAATAGAATCAGTGAAACACTTTGAACAATTGAATGAAATTAAAGGTCAAACATATGTAAAAACTAGTAATTTGACCACGAACCCCCATATTTCAGCATCACAAATCTTCTTGTTTTGTTTAAGAATGGTATGTAGGAAAGAATTTTGTTTGGACAGGCTAATTATTTGCATGGAGTGAACAGGAAATGTAGGGTAGATGAAATCTGATTGAACTATTGAAGTATTTAACTTTGATCAGTATAAGGACTGGGCAACTATGCTGTGCTTTTTTCAAAAAAAAGGAATAGTGTAGCAGCACTTTTTTGCACCCCAATCCTGGAGTTTTAGTGGCCCTGTTAGTGGTTTTCTGCTACTCTATGCTTCAGACTGCTACATGTCCAAAACACTGCTAATCAGTGCAGTAGCACAGCATAGTGGAAACATCATTGAGCCTTGTGCATGTAGTTTGAGAATACACCTGGAAGAATCCTGCTATGCTATGCTAAAAGGTAGAAAAATTCCACTACAGTATGCCAATTCTACTGTTAGAATAACTATTCCAGTGCTGTTGGAACTTTTGTATAAAGTTTTATTAAATGAATTGGTAAAGGTCATACTATTTTTCTTTTTAGTTTATTGATCTCTGCTGTTTTTGAATCAACCATAATTTGGCTTGATTTTTCAGTTCATTTGGATAGAAGCTGGGTTGTTCATTTTTTGTATGCTCCATCTTCAAATAGTAGAAGGTTACGGACAACGATGTAACAGATCCGATCCGATACGGTATCGGCCAATTTATCGGATCGGATCGATTTTTCGTTACCAGGTATCGAAAAAAGGGGTATTGGATCGACCACCCGATCCGATACCCAGAGTATCGGATCGCAGCAGGCAGTATCGCAGGGTTAGGGATCGGTATCGCATCGCGATACCGATCCGATACCGATCCGGTATCTGTGGGATCATTTCAAAAGGCAGTTTTTTTTGGGTAAAAGAAAAAGTTTGGGCATTTATATTATTATATGTACATGATTTTTTTTTTTTAATTTTTAACTTTTATGAAAATAAAAATTGGAATGTAAATTTTTAAAGCTAAAAATGGAGAGCCTGAGATTTTTTTTTCATCGCTATTTATAATTTTCATACTTAATGTAAAGAAATGTACAACTTTTTTTTCTTCAAGGGATTTTTTTCAAGTGGAGTGAAATGAAATTTGGGAGACTGAGTGGGGGTTGGTAGAGCCTAGAGAGTAGAGGCTGTGATTATAGGGGAAAAAATGGATATAGTGAAATTAACCTTTGACACTGAAGGTCAAAGCCACAGGTTTTTTTTTTGTCTTGGCTGCTTCCAATTCTGCCTGAGTAGCAGAGATTATGTCCTGGGCCGCCTGGAATGGGCCATCAGGCTTTATCCCTTGAGTGATCCATTGGTGGGAACTTACACATCTTTTCATTGTTTTGGCAGCTAAGTTGCCTCGATCTTGCGGCAAACGTCCGCCGCGGCTGAAAAACATCGCTCCACACTTGCAGACGTAGCACTCGTGGCCAGGAAGTCTCGGGCAAGTAGTGCCACCACTGGAAATTCTGTTGAATATTGCTGTATTTCATCAAAAATAATAATAATCAGATTCTTATGACAAACTCAGAACCTGAAATATGAAATGTTTGAACCCACCTTCCACCAAGTTAAGCAATCAGCAGCCTGTGAAGAGGGCAGCCGATACTTACCCCCAAGGTACGCTGCCAGTTCGTCATAGGTCTCTGGCGCAGCATCCGAAAAGAAGTCGACATCTTCCTCAAGTCCACCACCAGGTGGCAGGGTTGTGTTCTTTTCGGGTGGCGGGGTGTCTTCATCTCTTGCTGCCTGGTCATTGAGGGCCTGTTTGCGTTGTTGGAATTGGTCTTCCAGAAGGGATTGTGCGCGGGGGAAGGCTGAGGGGTACCACTTCTGGATCATTGAGAGGCGGTAGCTGGGGTTGAGAGCTGTGGCGAGAAGGATGGCATCGCATGCAAGAGCCTCGTTGACGTAGGTGTCGATTTTTTTGAGCATGGTGTTGATCATGTTCTTGAATTCATCCTCGGTGATGGTGCTGAGCTTGCCCTCGAGGTATTGCCGCAGGAGTCGGTATTTTGCAAGGACCATTGAAGCTGATGGGATGTCGCCCTCCATCTTCTTAGTGATGTAATAGAATTCCTGTTGATGAAGTATAGAAAAATATTGATTTCATAGGTAATTAGATTATGAAATGAAAGTAATCTTGGAAATGACGAGGAAACGCTTACACTGATGATATCATTTAATTTCTTGACAATGTCCCAGTCGCTTCGTGTGATTTCATATTCATTGAAGTGGTTCTTGCCTCCCTCATGTTCTTGTCGGTCTCGCTCGTTCTCGATCAGTTTGTTGATTACGTTCCTTGCAATATACCCTCGCTCACGGCTCTCAAACTTGATATTCCAGCGGATGCCGTAACCGGCGATCAGAGTGGGGCCCGAGTAGTCGAGTTTTTTCGCCCATGTGTTGAATTCGGCTCGCTTGGCTGATGAGGAAGTGATTCGTTGAATCACATAATCAACCTATTTTAACAGTATAGATCTTGGTCAGGGGGAACTTCTCGAGATGAAAAAAATTATAAAAAGAAGGTCCCAACTAACCTTCTTCAATACTTTCTCAATAACATTGGCCTCCCTCAGTTCTGGTCCTTCATCATCACTGCAGTCGGAGTCTGAATCGTCAACGAAGCCATCAGTATCGAAGGGGTTGGCCAATGGGTCCACTTGGGCTGAGTCAGATGATTCCTCGGATATGGCACAGAGGCCGGGGACAAAACCCAACACGGGGCCAGTTGGTATTTGATCGCGTCGGGGTACTGAGATTGCTTTGAGGCCGGCATTGAGGATGAGGGCTAGCTTGTGACAAAAGCACCGGATATGATTCTTGGCGATTGAGAGGTGCTGATTGTGATTCGCGTCCTTCTTGAGCAATCGGTCGACTTCGACAGCCATTGTGAGGTTATTTGATCCTGAGTCAGTAGTTTGGGCTATAATGTAAATACAACAACCAAAATAAATCCTAATCAGCTGCTATGTCATACAGAGTTTGATACATAATAAATAACAGAAATACTTATCTTATTGTTCAAGGGGGATTTGAGGAGGATGTTGGCCAATGGAATAGCCAGATATTTGCCCTTATGTGTCCAAGCGATATACTTAACCGACAGATGACAGACCTTGAATGTCCAACTGTCATCGATATAAGCCACCGTGATTCCTAGAAACGCATTTCGATTCCCCTTGGTAGTCCACACATCATGGATCAGGCTGAGCTTTGAGGGATTTGACTAAGATGTGTAATCCAGAGGAGCAATCAGCCGACTATTTGCTTGATCAAGAGGACAAAATAAATTCACCTGGAGTGTGTCCAACACCTTACTCTGCAAGTGGCAGTACAGCCGATGGGCCTCGGTGGCCGCCCAGACGCGGGTGTATGGCTTGGCGACATGTCGGAGATATCTGAACGCTATACCTAAAATGAAATCCTCAATTCGAAGCCACGGCAACGAATGTCGAATAATCCAGAGGACGAGGAGCTGGTTGAAGGTGTTGTTGTCGAAATTGTTGCCGTCCACCATTTTCCGCATTGCGACCTGCTCGGGCTCGTTCTTCTGTGCTTTTTTCTCCTTCGCAGTCATTGGGAGCTTACACCCTGCCGCAATTGCCCTGGCTCGTCCTGGGCACGGTTCTCGGTTCTCGTTACCGTCCCGATGTTTGACGAGGTTTGCACGAGTTCCTACCCCTTTCCGATAAGGGTTATCGCACCATTTACATTTGTAAGACAATGGTTCAGTCTAAAAAATCATGAAAATTCAAACCACAATGTCAGTTGTGTAAAAGAAAACAAATAAAATAACATAAAAAAACTTACGTCGCCTTCTTCAAACACAGGGGGGTGAAAATACTCCTCTATCTTGTCAAACTCGGAATCCTTTGGTTGTGCCTTGGATTTGCGAAGCTTGAATCGGCGGTTTGCATCATCTGAATCCTGAGTGAAGTCAATCATCTTTGCCGTCCCGTGCGTTTCAGGTTCAGATTGAGATGAAGCTTCTGAGTCGGATTCAGAATCGGAATCACCGCTGGATACAACGACCCTCTTGCTTTTGTGTTTCTTGGGCGTTTGAGATGCCTTGGCCTTCTTGGTCTTGCGGGCGGCACGTGTCGAGGTTGAAGCCGAAGCGGACGATGGCCTTTGGGGACGTTTACGCGTTTGTCTTGCAGACGTCTGAGTTGCTGAAGAAGGGGGAAGGGCCTTGCGAGAATCGTTGCTGGGCCTGACAAAATTAGGGTCATTTCGGACTGGAGTGGTAATCCTCGTCGAATGTCGAGATGGAGGCCGAGATGCTGATGGGGTTCCTGGAGGAGGGGTGTTGGGCTGAGACCTGCAAGCAGGGGTTGAGGAGGTGGCCATGATTGAGTAGAGATTGTGAAACCGTTGTTTCTGGAAGTTGCAGTGTTGTTGGTCCTTGGTGAAGAGTTTGAATCACTATTCTATGTCTGAAAAAAAAAGTCCAATGATATGTCAGTTGAGATTGATCTGACATTTGATTGAATGATTAAAAATAGTAATCCATTCAATAAGAAAAATAAATAAAAAAACAAATACTCACCTCACACTAGAGACAACCCTGAATAAATGGGAAAAGAAACAAATGATGTCAGTGATGAACCATAAAAAAATAGTGAAGAACCAATAAATCATAATGATAATAGAAAAATTAATTAAGAAAAAGAAATAAAACAAAATAAATACTCACCTGACAATAGACAAAAACCTAAATGAATGGTCAAAAAAGCAAAAGAGGGCAGTGATGAACCATAAAAAATTGGTGATGAACCAATAAATAAT